CTGATGATCATTATATCTTCACTGACTACATTTTTATCTAACAAGTTAATTATGATCAGAGGTAGTCGAAGGGACTTGTTTCATTTTATAGATTTGCATACTAAGCAGTACGGTTTTACCAAGAGTCGTTCGATAACAGATGCGGGTGTAGCATTTCTAAAACATATATTTAAAGCATGGGAGGAATCGCAAATGCTCTTAGAGTGTTCGCTTTCATAGTGCACCAGACACTATCGTCTAAACTGAACTACTACGGTATCAAAGAAGTGCATTATACGATTAAAGAATATCTAAATGACAAAAAAGGCATGGTGTTAGAAATTTTAACCTAATATTATTAACATTGCACTTATGTATAATGTGCCGTGTCCTTCAGCTATTGTATTAGAACTAGGTTCCTTAATTTATTGCATAAGTTAATTACCTAGAGTAGTCACACTCTCTTAAAAATCTCTGCGGTAGTCTCGTATGCGTCGACTCGTTACGTTCCCTAAAATACGATTGATTGAAGCGATGGCTGGCTTATGCGTCATGCTCGTGAACGGGTGCTGCCAGTGAGGATGAGTCTGCTCTAGACTACTTAATGTGTCTATTTTATTTTAGTATGAATACTGTACATTGTTTTATCATTGAGTATATATGACTCGACAACCAGCATATTAATCAGTAATCGAAAAATATATGTTTTGTTATTTCTAATATTGTAATGAAGTGACTTCATAGGCTAACGAAGTTACTGTCAAATAAGTTTTGTTTGTATGAAATAAAACAGGGATAAAAAAGCCGCCCTTGCTGAATTGCTTGCGGGTTCTTCTCAGTACAAGGTCTCCCGTTGTAGATTCGCGCACCGATGGCATAGCTTTCGACTTTCACAAGTGCTTGTAACTAGACTGAATAAATAATTTTGAATTTAATGTTGTTGTGCTATTATTATTCACTTTACTGTCTATATTCTATGATCTAATAATAAATAAGAAATAAAAATATTATCAGAAAAGAAGGGAACTCGCATTCATTTTTTTATAAATAATTTAACCTTAAAGTTAAATTTAAAATTCCATTAATTGTATACGGCGACCCTTGAGCGATAGTATACATTTTTTAGGTGAGGCTCATAACACCTTCTGAAGTTAACTATATTAGGTTATTTTTTAAGACACCAGAATCACCCTTATATTGCCTCTCTGTTTAAAAAAATCATTACTACTTTTCAATTCACTTTATAATAATTAAAATTTGCTCAATTTGGTCATTGTTGTTTTTTTAGGGCCGATTTTATTGATTAGTAGTGAATATAAGTTTGCCTAAAATGGATAGCATTTGGTGTTTCTTGTCTTATGTAGGCGACTGGCAACCTAATCTTTGATACAAGATCATATCATATTATTTTATTAGTACCTACTACTGTTCAATTCATGAACATATAATTATTGTAAAAGTAATTCATTTAATAGCTCTAAGTGATATCACTTTATAGCATTTTTTTACCTGTCATCAAGGTCTTTAGCATGACTTAATCTATAACTTTTTACATCTAAATCTCTCCTCAACTGTCCTTACATAAGAGCGTGATAGTAAAGTGACATAATATGAATTAAAATTACTCGCCATCTCTGACATTTTTTGTGTCCGTTTAGCTTATAGATCTTAAAGCGTGTATACAAAATACTTTAGTTATATATTTAAATTGGTTTTAGCAAGCCAGCTCTATCTATTTATATCTTCACAGTGTCTCCCTTTCGGAGTAGACAGAGACCTATTACTAAGACTTCGTTTTCTGTCTACCGGTCTGTCACCAGGTTGTATCTCATGAACCGTGATAGTTACACATTTGAAATCTTAACAGATTATACAATTCTCTTGCCGATATAACAACACATACTAAAAAAAACAGAATAAAATAAATATTGAAGGGGGCTCCCACACAATGAACGTAATTATTTTGCTCGTTTCCGATACGGAACCCTTCGTGCGCGAGTCCGACTCACACTTTGCCGGTGTTTTTTAGATTTCTTCTGGTACGAGGGTCAAACTGAAAGTTCTTAGAAAATCAAAAACTGATTACATTAGCCAGTTATTAGTTTTATTATATCTTTTCAAAATATTGTCCATTCACGTCAATACACCGCTGCATGCGATGGAACCACTGGGAAAAGCACTTTGCCCACTCGTCCTTAGGGGTCTCTTCAATGGCATCGCGATACGCAGCCACCGCTTCTTCAGCATTCATAAACCGCTTTCCTTTAAGTTTTTCTTTAATTTTTGGAAATAAATAAAAATCACAAGGCGCGAGGTCGGGGCTATACGGCGGGTGACCCAGTAATTCAACGTTTGATGTCGCCAAATAGTCGATCGTTCGCTTGGCGGTGTGCGACGAGGCGTTGTCGTGGTGAAGGAGGATCCTACTGCGAGGTCGTTTCTCTCGAACTTTTTCCAAGACAAGTGGCAAACAATTGGTAGTGTACCATTCTGCAGAAACTGTTTTTTGATCCTCTAACACAATTGTTGCAAAATGACCTATCCTCCCAAAGAACGAGGCCACCATTTTTTTTCCCGCACTTCGATCTCTCTTCACTTTAGTTGGCAACTCCTCGAAAGGAAACACCCACTGAGCAGATTGTCTTTTGGTTTTAGGATCATAACAGTAAATCCAGCTTTCGTCACCTGTTAGTATGTCGAACACAGCATTTGAGTCACCTCCGTTAAATCTTTCAATCATTTTACGACACCAATCCACACGATGGAGTTTTTGAGCCTCAGTCAAATTATGAGGTATCCACCGGGCGCAAAGCTTCCTGACCGCTAAATGTTCGTGGAGGATTTTGTGCACTTGACTCATACCGATGCCTAAGCTTGTCCGAATCTGTTGATAGGTCACTCTTTTGTCAGTCTCTATCATACGCCGCACAACACAGATGTTATCTTCAGTCGTCGCCGTAGAAGGCCGTCCCTCACGTAAATCATCAGTGAGATTAGTGCGACCACGTTTAAACTCATTAAACCAGTTGTAAACAGTCGCACGAGATGGGGCTTCATCGTGAAAGGCCAATTGTAGTCTATCATAACTTTCTTGTTGACTTAAATGACATCGAAAGTCATAAAAAATCATTGCACGAAAATTTTCTCGTGTTAAATTCATGATGACGTGACACAGACAATTTTCAATTTGCCGCCAAATCGTAAAACAAATGACAAATGAATGAAATATATACTCAGTAATATTGGCAAAGAGTTATATTTTCAAATTTTAGAATTATTTTTTTATTATATTGTTTATAAGTGGTCAGTTCTAAGAACTTTCAGTTTGACCCTCGTAATTGTACTCTTTAGTATAGGGCAAATTGATAAATATAACGTGTAACACTTTTATAATAACCGTAATGGCAATTGCAAATGATCTCTCTTAATAAGATTAATATTTGCAACGTTCGCGAGGATTTCACCATACTCTCCCTAACTATCACATTGCCGGACTAATGAGATAGACAGAGCAATCTTTTTACTTTACCGACCATTAACTTTAAAACTACGTAATATATTTTGATGCGGTTTTCATTATAAGATAGATTCTTTCTTGAGGAAAGTTTAGGCTGGGTCTCTAGTATAATAAACATATGTTCATATTTACAAACACCTTTGTGTATGTATATGACTCGCCAAATTTTTTACCACTCACACCCTAAAAACGAAATTTACCAACAAACATATCACCTGCATAGAGTGTTCCTTCGCTTTGAGATAACATTGTTAAGAGGAAAGACTTATTTGTTTGTACGTTTGTTTGTATTGAATAGGCTCTGAAACTACAGGACTCATTTTAAAATACATTACGGCGACTTCACCCATGTTTGATGTAGCTTACTCTTTCACCTGAGTAAGCTACATCAAACATGGGTGAAGTCGCCGCAAAACAGCTAGTTTCATGTAAAATAAAAGAAAACGTAATTGTTAATTCCCAGAATATGAACGAGAAATAAGATGTGCATTAACTTTGTGTGAAAGTCGTCTATATGAGGTTAGCCGCCGTAAGCAGGCTCATAATAATGTTATTATTTATTTTCAATCTATTTATCATATAAAGTATTTAATTCATCATCTTATCTGAAATGTTAAGGGAAAATTCTATTTTACATGCTATTTTATGAGTGTTTGTGACGCTGATGATAGTCGGAATAATAATATAAAAATTACTTACAGTAAACTGTTTCATAGCGTACGTGTAATCGTATCACGAAAAATTGTTTGATATAATAGTTTAACAATAAGGGCATTTTATATAAAATTATTATATTGAATTTCAATACAAAATAGATTTATTTATTTATAAAATAGTTTTTTTCTAAAATTTGATGGTTATATATCAAATAAAATGCCACATCACACAGTATCGATTGCTCGTTCGGCTTAACATCGCTACATTCTTCTAATGCTCCATATAGGGACTACACGGTGCTACGAGTACGCGGTGCTACTGGCTACGCGCCTGCTACGTGCTACATGTTTGCTACTGGATGCTTCAAGACAGTTTTGTGCAAAATTATAAATCATTTAAAAACAGAATAATAAAAACGGTATCGCGACCCTTGAATCATTACTTCGACCATAGGAAACATTTCGATTGACATCACTCGAGCGGCACCTCATATTTTTAACCAAAAACAAAGTCCAATCAATACTATTCTATCTATTGAATTTTCACTATATCGAGGCACTATTTCGGCACGGGGTATGAATAATGCAGGTTGCATGTGCAGCGTCAATCTACGGCAGAGCGAGAGGGACAGGCATATGCGAGGCAGGCGCGCGCGACAAGGACACCGGCTGCGGCACTCGCTCCGCAGGGCCTTCGCCCTGCGACACTGGTGAACTGAACGCGCTAGGCCCCGGGACGGGCGGCACAAGTCACAGGGAGCGTTGGCTACTGGGGGCTTGGTGGCAGCGCGAGCAGGGCGCGGGGGCCAGATAATAACCATGTCTGCGGGCGTGTCGGCTGGTCACCGTTACATAAGCGAAGGGGGGCGGCGGCCGGGCGCCGGGCGCGTCGCGGTTACCTCTCTGGCCATCGCGGCATGTCCGCCGGAGGCCGCGGGCGGCGCGCGCTCACGCCGCCATCGTTGAGGGGCCAAGCCCGGGACTCGCGTCGCGACTCGCGGAGCACTCGAGCGGCGCTGCGCCGCGTGGGCGGCGATCGATGGCAGCCACACGCCGGCGCGAACGGACTCGCCCGACGGGGCCCGAGCGACTCCGAGCCGAATGCATCCGATACCGCCCTGACCTAATTCCCGCGCGCACACTGACCTCCTTCTGTCGCCGCACCGCGCACGCCGCGTCCGCCCCGCGCCTTCCAATGCACTCGAATAACTCACACCTAACTGATAACGGCTACCTGACATAATGTACAGTGCTCTGCTTCACGGCAATGAATAACTTAGATGTTATAAAACTGTGGCCAGACCGTAATAACCCTCGTGGCGCCGATTGTATGCTCGAGTTAACAGAATGGTCATAAATTAATCTGTTTCCACGTATTATTATTCTGGCAACAAAAATTAGCAAATCGTTTATATATATTTTTAAATGTTCGTACTTTTTTCTATTTCATATTACTCTAAGTCGATTATCTCCTGATTAGGTATAAATCCACCCTATCTAACATAGAAATAATACCGTAATAATGATCCTTATAAGAATCTACGAAACAAAAACCTCTGCGGTTTTAGTTTCGTTATTACTTAATTTAATTACATGTGCCACACCATTACTAAAACCGTAGTTAATTTTATTCTTATGATTTTTACATCAGCAAATGTCGCATCAAAGTTTTCCGACACAACGTAATACTGTAAATAGCTTTTCCATTGATTTATTGATTTGATCAAATAGCAAACACTGTTCGGTGGCGTTGTGGATAAGAGCTGCGGCCCGCGATCGTTGTTGTTAAGCAACTTTGGCAAAGGTCGATTACAGGATGGGTGACATAAGTCAAAGTTAAAATTATCTTTATTGAAGTAGACTTCTTAGAAATACTTTTTGATCGTTCAATTTTTTTTCCCTTCCACACGCTCAGGGCTTCTTTTAGCTGATAAGAAGAACGAGCAAGAAACTCACCATCTCTAATGAGAGTAACGATATTCACAAAACCAGACCAATATTTTATAAATAGAGAAAAAAACTATGATCTTGTTTGCGTAGTTCCCTCACTCTTCAGTGTTCTGGCAATCCACCTAAACAGCCGAAATAATTATGTTTATAAATATTCTTTAATATTTCGTTTAAAATGGAAGGTATTTTTTAAATGTATATTTCTTTAAGATGAATATTTTTAATAGTTTAATAATATTGAAAGGAAACCATAGAAAACCCGAATCGGCCAAAACATGAGTGTCTAATAGGTACAGGAAAGAAGATACCCTGCAGATTAACTTGTAGCTAATAGCATTCCAATAAACTTGTTTAATCTACGTCGAAACCTTAAAAGTAACGAGGTTATAATAGGTAGGTTGTAATAAATGCCTCTTGTCTAAACTTTAGACTTTAACATATTTATTTAAAATTTTACATTAATGTAGGGGAAACAATGACCTTTACCGCTATCTTTCATTCATTTCATTTTCATTATACATGTAGAAATTGTGATCAATACGCAGATAAGTCATTAATACAAGAATAAGAAGAAGGCAAAACAAATACGCACGGGACTTCACTATCCATGTCATCCAATGGCAAGAAAGAGAAAACTTTGTCACAGGTAAAGATAAAAAGAAATGAAAGCTGAATTCTTATTAACCATAAAAAAAGGAATTATACACTGAATCCTTTTTTATACCATATGAAATTGAAATTTATTATCTTGAAATTGAATTGTCTTGACGGCCAGTCTTAGGAAATGTATGGATGGTAACGTTTCGATATCCCGAAATATCAACGAAACTGCTGTACGTAGCGAAGGATGACATTAGTCTCTCTTTATTTTTAAAGGCCCTATGCCCAAACGATTTTTTGTTGTTGAAGTTCTATTTATATGCTGGGTCATTTCGAGAACATTTTCGTCATAAGTTAGTTCAACAAAACAGTAATTATATGAATCTAATTTTCTAGCCTTGATTCTGGCCACAGGATCACATCTTAGTGATGTTGTGGCGATATTACCGATACAACATACTACATTGATTATGTCTTTTCGTGGTAAAAAATTGGGATAAATGACTTAATTAGTATATACTGCTATCAAACAATCATTCTTTATCGTTCGTTCTTCGTTACTAAAGTACGTACGTTCTCTTAGTTCATTCCAACGCACGCATGACATCATTTGAAAATAGAACATACATATAGCACAAAATGCAATGGATAAATTATTAATATATTTATGAATAGTCTCCAAAATAGGGTTATAATAACAATTTATAAATAGTTACGTATTTTTTTTTGTAAAAGAATTTTCGGCTGACCAATTTATATGTTAATGAAAAATGCAATTTGTAATAATAACGCGGCAACCAGAGAAGAGGGGGATTTTTCTGAAACATCACCAAAAGTAATGATGAAATGAAAGACATAAGATATACTTATTTATTAAAAAAAAACAGATTTAGGTATTTTGGAAACCAGTTGCTATTACTTGTCGGCTATCACAAGTAATAACAAAACTTAACAATAACGATCGAAAACAACAAAAGTATAATAATAATACTTGGTGCGTAATCAACTAAACATCATCCACTTTGTTGAAATAAAAAAAGGAAGATACGGCATACGTATAGATGCATGACCAAAAAATCTATACTAATATTATAAAGCTGAAGAGTTTGTTTGAACGCGCTAATCTCAGGAACCACTGGTTCGAATTGAAAAATTATTTTTGTGTTGAATAGACCATTTATTGAGGAAGGCTTAAGGCTATATAAGATCACGCTGCAACTATTAGGAGCGAAGAAATACTGGAAAACGCGGACGAAGTAGCTGGCGGCCACTAGTGACTGATAAAACGATAGTTCCACTTTTAAAGAAGAAGTATTTTAAGAAAAAAAAAGAAAGCTCTAAAAAAGCACCTCACTAGATAGCGACTCTACCAAAAGTTGATTTTTGCAGGAAACAAGATGTCAATACAAAAACAAATAAAATCTGAGTTGTTTATTCTGTTTCGAAAATTAATTTACTGTTATACATAAAAGAAAACCGGAAAGGTAGGCATGTAGAAATCAAGAAAGTACTGTAGCGACATCTAGTTTGTTTTCGGGAGCTAATGTATTTTTCAAATACTTCCTCATTATAATGCAGTAAAGTGACATTTCCTTATGTCATTTTGTGAAATAATACGGCCACATTTTTTATACTAGTAATCGTTAAGAGGAAACTTAGGAGGGATAGAAGATCAGAAAGAATAAGATAAGATTGTAAAATCGCTATTACGTATTATCGGTATATTTCATTTATTTTTTTAAATTTCTAAATGAAAAAATAATGTACAATATTATGTCATACCAATTAAAAGAAATATATTTTGACAAAGATTGACATACATCGCATTGGACGGAAATCTAACAGAAACCCCGTTAAACCTATTCCATCAACGTTCTCACACAGTATGACAAAAAATAGAGAGTGGGCTCTCGTTTCTTTAATTATTACTTTTTGTGTTAATATAAACAATATAAATCATTGCTGCCTTGGATCATAAGCACTATGGATATGAGAATATACTCTATGGTATGGATAGATAACGATGGTGCGATGGCGTCATTATTTGCTAGGGCACGTATTTATGTAATATGCCCATGGACTTAGTACTATATAACAGGACAGAATACTCCCAGCTGAATAGCGAGCCGAACGAGATATCAAGTACAGAGTCTTTTTGTCTCTTTCTAATAAAGCGACAATAACACTTTAATTAATAGAGACTTTTCGTATGGTTCTGTTATTACACAACTGCGGCTATTATTGTACATAATAATCTTGTCAAAGTTTTTGTTACACTATTTTATTTTTATTATCTATTTTAGATATTTATAGGCTTTTCATGCATATTACCAAGTAATCAGAATATATTCAATTTGACAAAATCAATATTTCAATATCCCTCTTATATAAACAAGTGAATAGCTCGATGTAGTAGTTAACGTGTTTGATCTACGATTGCGGAGATTAAGCGACAATCGCAAAGGCCGGTAATTGGATTGGTGGTCAAATTTTTATTTGCGAAAGATTTTTGATGACCACGTTGTCCCAGAATTATGATTTACTGGGTAGATTGATATCATCCATTAAGAATACCTATGCTTTAGTACCACCAATCCGCATTGGGACCTCCACGTGGACTCCAGTTTTTCATCCATTAAGAATATTTATTTTTTAACGGTGGTAATGCTCATAGGTGCTTTTACGAGGGCCCAGTGCGAAATATTGGGTGGTCGATTTCAGCAATTAAGAATATATGTGATTCAATTCGTATTGGGATTCTTCAAAAACAATGAATCTCGAGTGATATTTTTTTTAATTTTAAATCTATATAGAATCCAATATCGTAGCAGACTGATTCTGTAAACAAATTAAACCTGTTTAATATATATAAAAATATATGTAAATCAGATTTAATAATTATTGAAGAACAATAATGAGGGATGTTTCAAAGCGGATGATTAATTTCCGAAATAACACCCTGGTACGATGCAATATAAATTGACTTTTGATTCGGGTTCAAGCCATGAGTAAAGAGCCTTACGATGAGGATACCTTAAAATAATCATACCTTAAAAATAATATATAAAATGTCAAAATCATATAATAACAGAAAATTTTGTTTACGTATTTAGTAAATTCCTAATTAGTGTAGAATAACTTGATGAGATTTAAATATACAATTATTAATTCATGATATATATTTATTACGTTGTATTACAATGTAGTAAAAATATTTTTTACATTAATTCCTAATGATAAGCAATTTATTAATAAAATAACCTACACATAGGGCGCTTTCAATGTTGCAGTTATTGTAATAATTGGCTTATGCTATTGTGTAGGGATCATATATAATTTAATACTTTACATGAAAAAAATATTTTTTGTGAACATTTGATAATAAGTAAAAACTGTAAAAATAATATTTATTGATTACAGTTATCCTCAAAACTCAAACACCAGACATATAGATTTCACCCACTAGAAGAAACAGTACAAAAATCAGTGAATAAACAGGATACTACACATCACTGTATGAGGAAATAACATATAAAGACGTATGAAATGTTTATTACATATATTAAGGGTTGGTTTATTTTGGAAAAATGTAAGACTCGTAGTTGGTGATAAGTTTTCTATTTAAATCAAACTTATGTATTCTAAAACATTTTGAAAACTAACACATCATTCTGATCCAAACAGAACATCTCATTAGAAAAATTATCGTTATTGTTTATGTTAATGACCTAAGTTCATTTGCCAAAGGCAATAAAATTATTTATATAACAATTTTTTTCTTTACTAATTTGGTTCTACTTTTGCAGGATAAAGCAAAAAGGCTGCCATATCGGAGTTCTCCCGTTACATCAAAGAAAATTCTAGGGCCACAAAAATTTTTTATTACTTGTTTGATATTTTAAATGGCGTCTCACAGTACTCTAACTAAAAAGTCTAGTTTTAAAAATACTTTGACAAAAATAAAAAAAATACTTAATAGCAATTTTAATTATTTCATACATCGAAAATTTCGAAAAAAGTTATTAAAGTACCTGTAGCTCTAAAAAATAGGGAAGAATTCTCTCGATTAAGTCACCTTTCCAACAAAAAATATTTAAATAGGTTTACCCATTTAGCAACAACGACGCTACATACTGACATACACATGCGAATGCACGTCACACTTATAATACCCCTCTTTTTAAGTCGTAGGTTAAAAAACAGTGTTATTTCCATAACTAGCACTCAACACACTTAATTAAATCAAAAACATTGTAAAAATTTTTTGATTGACAAAGCTCCATCTAAGCAATCGGTTATGGGGAATTTTTTTTTTCATTGATAGCAACATTATAGGGAAACTATTGCTATTAAAATACCTATATCTATAGTACCAATAAGTTGTTATCCATTTTTTTAAATCACTTAACGTAACCGCTATCAAATCGCTAATCACCGATATCAACACTGCCTATTTTTGATAACTAGTTATTTTACAACGCTACAAAGTCAAAGCGAATTTTACTCTTAAACAAACGCGATAAAGCTCAATTTTGAGTTGGTTGTTACTTGATCAATCCAAAATCCGAGCAACGTGGAACGTACAAACATATACCTATTTCATTACTATACATACATATACTGACGTTATGTTGTTGTTTCATTTACACAACAGGTTGCACTGTTTGCGATCCATATTATTAAACGCTTTATATTACGCGTTACATTCTAACCGGTTATTAAAACTGCGTTGGATTTTATTGTCTCATACTTGACTGACACAATACAGAGGGTTGATATCAATGGCAAAAGATCCCCTGGATCGAAAATTAAGATGGGTGTTCCGCAGGGCTCAATACTTGGTCCTTTCTTGTTTTTGATTTACATAAATGACTTGCCTTATTTCGTAAGGGATGATCACGAAATAGTTTTGTTTGCGGATGACACTTCACTTTTGTTTAAAATTAAAAGAGGGTTACCTCTAAATGACGATGTGAACAATTCTATCGCTAAAGTAGTACATTGGTTTAATGTAAATAATCTTCTCCTTAATGAAGGAAAAACAAAATGCTTAAAATTTGTACTACCTAATGTTAAAAAAGTAGATATAAATGTTAATATAAAAGATAAGAACATGGGCCTTGTGGATACCACAGTATTTTTAGGAATAACATTAGATTCTAAACTACAGTGGGGCCCACATATTGATAGATTGTCGAGTAGACTTAGCTCTGCAGCATATGCCGTTATGAAAATACGTAGGTTAACTGACATAGATACTGCCAGATTAGTATACTTCAGTTACTTTCATAGTGTAATGTCGTACGGACTCCTATTGTGGGGAAATGCTACCGACATACAAACAATTTTTGTGCTTCAGAAAAGAGCAATTCGATCAATTTATAATCTTAGGATTAGGGACTCTTTAAGGGAGAAATTTAAGGAAATAGACATTGTGACTGTTGCTTCTCAATACATATACGAGAACTTAATGTACGTTCGTAAAAATATTAGTTTGTTTTCTATAAAAAGTGATGTACACAATTTTAATACAAGAAATAAAAATAAATTAACGGTGCCTGTCACTAGACTGCAAAAAGTTAATAACTCATTCAAGGGTCTTTGTGTGCGCTTCTACAATAAGGCCCCAAGCAAAATACAACAATTAGATATCATGCAGTTTAAATCTACTATTTAAAAAATACTCATTAAAAAAGCTTCTTATAAGGTATCCGATTATATAACAGATAAGAACGCTTGGACTTGAGATGATCCAGCAACTGGATAGGTGATTACTTCTAAACTCATTATCTTGTTTCCATTATTATTAAATGATTATGTTATCATTATAAGACCATATTTATTTATTTTTTCTCTATCTCTGTTTATAATGTATAGATCTGGTAATGACATGGTTTTTGTAAATGTCATTACTCTTATTAGAGCTGATGAGTATCTTGCTCGTTCTTCTTATCGGCCAAAAGACGTCCTGAACGAGTGGTAGGGAAAAAAATGTTGGACGATTCAAAAGTACTTTTAAGAAGTCTATTTGAATAAAGATTATTTTGACTTTGACTTTGCGTTACATGACCGTCAATGTCAAGTGTTAATCTCATAAAGACGTGTACGTATCTCTACGAACTGTGATCGACGCTTTTTGGTGATCGCTGTTATTGTAAAGCGAGTCGCCCGAACATCAACCTTAAATGATTTATTTAAGAGTGAATTCAGCTTTACTTTAAAGCGTTGTGGAAAATAGATAGTTATTGTATCACCGACTCACTAGTGATTGCGGTTCAGGCAAATCACTAGTTGAATAACTGTCTATCGTGAATAACGTCCATCGGTAGTATGTAGTTTGTGCTAAAAGTATAATATAAAGTACTCTGTGCTATAAGCGTCACGCTGTAATACGTTTTGAGTATTTATAAAGTTTATATCTATAATTGCCTATTTGGATATAATAAATCTATGATAAGAAGGAATTATATTCATTTCCAAAAGATAAAATTTTCGATTTTATTTGTTTACTAAATTATTGTTAGTTTTTTCGTGATATGGAATATTAAAAAAAATTCGACAGCGGCTGTCATTGTCATGTTATTTGAATGATAATGTCATTTAGACAGTGTCAATATAGTCAGCTGCGAAATAGAAAGAGCGATATATAACTGATTCGGTTTATTAAATTCATGGAATTAGATTCTTTCACATTATTCACAACTAACTTTAGTGAAAGTTTCACTACAAACCATGTCATCAGATAAATTATTACCGATGGCGATTACTACGTGACAACACCGCGTTCACTAGAACACCGCTCATGTATTCTTTCACAAAAAGCAAAAGAACGGATGGAATGCCAATTCTGTATACAGAGTGAGTAATTTTAATTCAAACGTGTAAAGTTTTCCTGTTTGCAGGAATAATCCAAGGCCAGTTAAAATAGCTATGTGCTGTGTCAATAATGAGAGACATAAACAAACTTGTTTGGATCGCCCACGCAAAAATAGTAACCTCCTATACCGTTCCTTGTGCTATATTTAGCCCACAGATTGCATGTCAGAATCAACTGATTACTAGGTCAGTGATAAGTGTTTCAAAGTGCTTGAAAATATATTTTAGTTTTATCCAAAACATATTTCACATTAATTCACATAAAAATTTAAAAATAAAATACAGGAATTCTTATTGTTCCATGACAATAGTAAATTTATTATTGAATGTTATAATAATGGGATTCAAATTATACTAAGACTTCTGATATTTCCTTATTGGTACTGATATTGAAAAAAATAAACAAGTAAAAGAGCTGCTTTTTTAAACATTCTAAGTGATAAATATTAATTCATAGTTTCATTCAAATATTTTGTAAATTAAACAATTTTTTTTATAAATCCCATGTGTTAGTGTCTCAGTGATATGTCTATACAGTACCTGTAAATATATGTAATAAAAAATCTGTTTAAAAAACAAAACAATCTGTTTAATATTCTCAATAAAAAATCTAATGTGTCCCTGGTACTCTGAGACAGTGATTTTTTTTAAGCAATTTTCATTACAAATATTTTCCAGTATAACATTATGAATGCAAAATTGATCAAATTTAATAAATGTCTGTTCAGGTAACAGCCATAATGGTGGGCACCATCAGAATGAGGGTGGTGCTCGGAGTACTCTGCATCGGTGTGATGCTGCTCACACTTTTCTGGAGCCAGTGTGGAGAACTCTCACAACGTCCCAGTATGTAAACTTTACATTATACTGTGACTTATCATGAATATTAAATAAAAATATTTTTAAAGAATTCATACCAAATTCCACTATGACAAATTTTATTTTTTTATTTTTTGATAAATTTATAAAAAGAATGCCAAAATGGTTATAGCACTAATAATTAATTTTTGTTTCTCATGCGTAAGGTACTTAAGGGTCTTTACAATAATTATAATCAATCACTTAATAAAATGATAAAATACATTATATCAGCTATTATATACTTATTATTAAGATTACAATGAAATCGATAAAATAAAGGAATGTTTGTACCATCTAGTAGGATCAGTATTGACAAACAGTCTGTCGGAGCGGATCATGACTGGCAATGATATAGAGTGCTTGATCAACGGAGAGTACTCGGTGGCGTGCCGCCGCGATCGGGACGAGGTCTACATGCCGTTCTCTTTTATTCACAAGTACTTTGAGGTAAATAAATGGTTAATTTCATTCTGATTCCCAACTACCAAATTTACTTCAGCCCTAAATGTCTCTTGCAGATTGGATATTAATAAGTTTCTATTAAATAATAACTCTCATTAGGTTTAAAAGAATATATATAAAAAATTGCCATACATATTTTGCAAATTTGTTACTATTTTAAGCTATAACTTCAAGACGACCTGTATGCCATATCACAATTAATCTTAAGTCTCTAATTAATTTCTCCTAAAAAGAAAACAAATAATTGATACAAAAATGATTTAACTGAAAATCGTATAATAATTGCATACTGCACAGGCCGTGTATTTATACAGTTGGCTGCTAATAGGTACATTTCCAGATTTAATATCTTCAGATGAGGATAATAATTATTATACATAATTTAGGTATACGGCAAGATAACAACGACAGATGGCGAAGAGAAGTTCGAATGGTCACACAGCTACAGCAAGATCTACCATCCGAAGAAGAAATATGACCCTCGAGGTACTTTCACTACATTCGAAAATTACAATGTAGAAGTGAGGGACCGTGTGAAGTGCATCAGTGGCATAGAAGGCGTCCCTGTCTCCATGCAGTGGGAGCCTCGAGGATTCTTCTATCCCACGCAGATTGCGCAGTTCGGTCTAGCTCATTACAGTAAGAATATCAGTGAGCCTGAACCGAGAAGACGAATCATCGATGACAGCGAAAAAAATCTTCAGAACTGGATTGTTAGCAAAGATGCGTATATGGCTAGGGAGTACGACAGCAAGTTGCAAACAAATGTTATAAGATTCTCCACATCAGACCATGCCACTAGTCAGGTAATATCATCTAAAGTATATTGATTTATTGAAAGCAAGCACATAGTAACCTGCAAAACCAAATTGGATATTTAAAGTGGAAAATCTTTAAATTTTTCGAAAAAAATATCTAATTTCCATATAAATTGACTAAGGGACACAAATAAGTTGTTACCATGGACGTTTATAGGAATTATTTATCAAAAAATAAAAGCTTTTCTGCTCTGAAGAACAATTTTGGTTTTGCAGGTTATTACATGTTTGCTTTCCAGTGTCAATATCTACTATAGCTTAAAATATTAATTTTTATATGACACAAAATATATGAATATATTATTTTAATTCAAATGGAAAATAAATAGGTTTGGCTGAAATTGGACATCAGTCAGGACTTTGTGCTTAGCCTGGACCTGCTAATGACGTCCAACTCTTCGCTGACTGTGGTGCTGCAGAATAAAGATAAGAGGGAGACCGTGTACTTACATTATGTTACTAGTCAACAATTGATTTATGCACAAGTAAGTACTTACTTTGTTGAAATAATGATTATAATGTGGAATGTCTCTGTTCTAGTTGTCGCGACTATCAAGAGATAGCGCTAGTGTTCTTGATTTGATGATTCTATTTTTTTATAATTTTATATAACATTATCTTCTTCTTGTTTATTGGCGTTTGTCAGTAATATGAAAAATGTCGCGGCCGTTTACTTATAATATTATCGCTTATGGTCTTGTCGCATTTCAAAAATTGACATATATTACGAATATCTGAATTGAGTACATGATTTTTAATCTTTCATATTTTTTTGATCATGGGATTGGGATACCTATACACTCCTTGCGGTATCAGAGCAAGGACAATCTATATGCACGGGTGGTGGTATATGGTAAACCGGTTCTTCTTTGTTTTGACGGCAATTTTTAGAACACATTAATAATGGGTGTATCTAATTTACATTAAATGACTTAATACAATGAAAAGCACTTAGTCAACGACACTGCATTGCTACAAAATATCTGAGATAGTATAGTCTACATCAGTGGTTCCCAAAGTTGGGCTCTGATCGACCTAACAAAACTTTTGTGTCTTGAGAGATGTCTTATTTGTAGCAAAAAATATGTCTTATATAGTGGTTAAAGGCCTACCACTATAAACATATTTTTTCGCGTTTGGCAAATACTCGTTAATACTTGTCTATTTAGTTCTTATGTCTGCTGGGTATGTCCCAAAGTGGGCGATAACGCCCCCTCGTGGATGCTGCAGGCCTAAGAAAATGGGGGCATTGTGTAGAGGCTCAGCAAGAGTTGAGGAAGAGGCTTGTGTACTACCTACCTATTGCGCTCAGATCTCAAGTCAACTCTTGCGGATTATAGTAAAATTCTTATTTAGTATGAATGTTTAATCTCCGCTAATATAATTCACAATAATTTAATTTGAAGTTATAGTGGTCTTAAATAGTTTAAAAAACGGAGTCGCTAAATAATATTTTATTATCAAAGTCGGCAGGAGACGATATATGTTTGGTCTAGGGTCACCCTAGACCAAACATATAGTTTTCATTTATTTTTCAATAGTACCCTTTTGAAAAACAAAATAATATTACGGAGCTTTAAATAAAACAAATAATCTGTTTAGGATGAGCACGTGTACTACGGCATGGGCGTGTCCCCGCGGTGGCGGCGCGTCACCCGCGACCTCATCATCGACATGCAGAAGGGATGGGCGCTACAGGACAGACCCAAGAGGAAGTCGCCACGCACCAAGTTCAAGGTAATGGTCACTTGCATTAAGAGAACTCGAGAGGCCATTTTCAGACAGGAATATAGACGAGGCAGGGTTCGGCAACCATATGACACAGATGAGCCAAATACTACAATTTACAAAATTCAGTTTTTAAAGAGTCACAGTTTTTTTTAATAATTATCGAGTCATAAATAAGTATGTCTCAATTTAATACCTATACTTAGGTACTCAAATATGAATGAATAATATTTTTTTGTTAATGGGACTTAGACAAGAGCCGCAAATATACATAGAAAGGGCCGCATGCGGCTCACGAGCCGCAGGTTGTCTACCCGTGGAATAGGGTATTCTGGATTTTTTTTCACATACGACATCCCGTCATCGATACAATTTTAAATTTAACTACCTAATATACTCGCTAAAAATGTTTCTAATTAAAGAAAGATCGTTGTTTTTTTTTTGTCTGAACAATAAAGTTCTTATGTCCTTTGATTTTGTATTTGTTTGATAACACTTACGGTTCTGTTCTATACACATTCCATCAGAAATTAACTGGCATTAAGTGATTTGGTCACATAGAAAACGTACTTAAATGTTTATTCTATTTTAATAAACCACGGAAATAAAACCGGTAAAATTATCACATTTTCTTGCCTAAAAATTAATAAGCAAAATTAAATTTAATCTATACCTGGTAAACGGTGTCCGTCACAATAATGACAACATGACAGACAAGACAGATAACTAAATACTATAAAATGAAATGGTGTATAAATAAGACAAGAATAACGCTATCTAGGGATCTACTACAAAACAAATATGGGCGTAATCAATGTTGTAAGCGGATTATATATTGTGACCCCGGAAATTGCACTAACTACTGAGCAATATTAATCAAATATAATAATGATTATTTTTAGTCAGATTGAGGTAATCGTGATTCCTTATAATTTAGATCACACATGTAATCAAATAAATAAATCAAATTACATGACTATTGTTGACTTGAATTATTAGTTAGAATAATATAATTTAGAGTTAGTTTGTTCAAGATGGCGTCAACATCGTTCTTTTTCATCTTCATGTAATAGTTTTGACTCATAAATTGGACAGAATGAACGAACAACAGAGAGTACCATGATTCCTTGATGGCAATTTTTATCCATTTTTTTTTTTGTAAAATAATTAACCCATTTAATATTTAACCCTTATTGCAATATATGCGACTGATTAAAAAATGAAGACGAAGATTTTGTTAAATAATAGTATATTACGATATTAGTGCGTTATGATGGTGTTATAACCATCATAACGCGAGGCGGAATTTCAGCCCGAGTCGAAGGCGAGGGCGTAATTGAGCCGAGCGTGTTATAACCAATACGCACGTATATCGTACGACGTTTTTTTAACACATTTGCGAGGAAACAGAAAGAAAATACATTAAATAAACTCAATCTGTGAAGCTACTAAGAATCTACTGACTGTCGCCGCGCGGCGATTAGTCCGAAATTCGAATAGCAACAGCGCGCGAAATGGCAAATAATACTGTTATGGAATTTGTATGGACTATAACTTAACTATTTGCTCTGGTAACACACGCGTTTTTTATGACCCGCTATACATATTTAAAACCGGTGGAATTACATCAGCTTTATGAGCAAAGGGGTTAAAAAGATTATTAGTGTAATCTCTTTATAAAAAGTTATCAAGATTACGATTACAGATTAATGATCATTAATCATCAAACTAGATTACTTTTTGACTATTGATAATTTGTAACCATTAAATTAATTACATTTTGCCCAACTCGGCTACAAAATAAATGGTTGTTGCAATAAATGACTAGGGCGACAGGTGCAGAAACATTTTTGCCAAAGTGATGAACAGTTTAAAAAAAACTTGAGCTTCATATAATAAGATACAGGAGTCTGTTTTTGATTATCTTATGCCTGTAATAATCAACTTTTGAATGTCAAACGAATGTAATTTGCCAAATATATAGAACGATTGTATCCTATTCTATTTATCCATGAATGAAATTCGGTAAAATTCCCTAAAACCATAATTGTAAAAATTTATGTGCATAATCAGTCCTCCTGAAAGATGAATAATAATTCATCTAAAAAAAGTTTAGTTTAGCAATTTAAAATGCGAGCTTCTATTGTCATTAGACTTATAATACGTTCAAATTTATTTAATTAAACTAATAAGCTGCCTGGAAAATAAGAACGGTTAGTATGGGAAAGACTGAGACTGAAAGCATGTCATCGATTTTATTTAATAAAAAAATCTGTATTAATACATTTAAAAAAAAACTATGTCTCGAACTAGCCATAGTTTTTTACTCGCTCGTTTCATTTAAGACATCATTTTTCATACTAACATTTGGTGTGAAAAGAATAAAAAAAAATGATTATATTTCTTAATAGCTGGTAAAGTAAATTTTAATGGACTGTATATTTAAATTATTTTTGATGTGCCTTAGGATATTGCTTTAGGATATTAAAAAAAGGAAAAAATAGAAAGACAAATGGAAAACTGGATGGAAATATGCACTCACTCTGGTTGTTGTTTGATACTGCAAACTCATCCACCAGTTCAATGGCGGTCGAAGTCCTAAAGCACGTGCTCAGCCAATTGTCTTCAACACTGTTAATCTTCACTAAGTAGCACACTCTTGTAAACAACACATTCTTAATAACTTAGGCTTCATAAGAACATAACACTCACGACGAATAAAGTATTCAAAAAAGCTTGACACAGCGCAAGCGATGCGCTCCGAGAGAGATCAATTATTAGACTAGACGTGCATATTATGATAAGGAAGTGGGTAGGAAACGTAAAACAGCTGTCATAAATTTATAAAATTATTAAAGCACACCTTCATAGCAACAATAACCAACAACATTAACTGTTTAAAACCTACGCAATCGATATCTTAGGAAAAATGATGTGTTTTGTTTCAAAAAGTTCCGATTCGATTTCCGAACCGGGAACTAGTTTTTTTAATCTATGAATGCTGTCTTTCAAGTCCCATACACCACGTATAAGCAACTATAAAATAGTATGGTGGTGTACAGATATCGTCGTTGATACTGAGCGGGGCGGGCAGCGTGGACAACGTGTCCGTGTCGGGCAGCGAGCACATGGCGCAGTTCAGCGCCGCCGCGCGGTGGCTCCGAGCGCACCAGCGCCCGCGCGGCGGCTGGCCCATACCCGTGCGCCGGCGCATTCACGCGCGCCTCGCGGAGCTCAAGCCCGGCTGGTGAGATGTCACTGTACCGCACTGTACTGTACCCCCCACACACTGGCCCATACCCGTGCGCCGGCGCATACACGCGCGCCTCGCGGAGCTCAAGCCCGGCTGGTGAGATGTCACTGTACCGCACTGTACTGTACCCCCACACACTGGCCCATACCCGTGCGCCGGCGCATTCACGCGCGCCTCGCGGAGCTCAAGCCCGGCTGGTGAGATGTCACTGTACCGCACTGTACTGTACCCCCACACACTGGCCCATACCCGTGGCGCCGGCGCATACACGCGCGCCTCGCGGAGCTCAAGCCCGGCTGGTGAGATGTCACTGTACCGCACTGTACTGTACCCCCACACACTGGCCCATACCCGTGCGCCGGCGCATTCACACGCGCGCCTCGCGGAGCTCAAGCCCGGCTGGTGAGATGTCACTGTACCGCACTGTACTGTACCCCCCACACACTGGCCCATACCCGTGCGCCGGCGCATACACGCGCGCCTCGCGGAGCTCAAGCCCGGCTGGTGAGATGTCACTGTACCGCACTGTACTGTACCCCCACACACTGGCCCATACCCGTGCGCCGGCGCATTCACCGCGCGCCTCGCGGAGCTCAAGCCCGGCTGGTGAGATGTCACTGTACCGCACTGTACTGTACCCCCACACACTGGCCCATACCCGTGCGCCGGCGCATACCACGCGCGCCTCGCGGAGCTCAAGCCCGGCTGGTGAGATGTCACTGTACCGCACTGTACTGTACCCCCCACACACTGGCCCATACCCGTGCGCCGGCGCATTCACGCGCGCCTCGCGGAGCTCAAGCCCGGCTGGTGAGATGTCACTGTACCGCACTGTACTGTACCCCCCACACACTGGCCCATACCCGTGCGCCGGCGCATACACGCGCGCCTCGCGGAGCTCAAGCCCGGCTGGTGAGATGTCACTGTACCGCACTGTACTGTACCCCCCACACACTGGCCCATACCCGTGCGCCGGCGCATACACGCGCGCCCTCGCGGAGCTCAAGCCCGGCTGGTGAGATGTCACTGTACCGCACTGTACTGTACCCCCCCACACACTGGCCCATACCCGTGCGCCGGCGCATACACGCGCGCCTCGCGGAGCTCAAGCCCGGCTGGTGAGATGTCACTGTACCGCACTGTACTGTACCCCCACACACTGGCCCATACCCGTGCGCCGGCGCATACACGCGCGCCTCGCGGAGCTCAAGCCCGGCTGGTGAGATGTCACTGTACCGCACTGTACTGTACCCCCACACACTGGCCCATACCCGTGCGCCGGCGCATACACGCGCGCCTCGCGGAGCTCAAGCCCGGCTGGTGAGATGTCACTGTACCGCACTGTACTGTACCCCCACACACTGGCCCATACCCGTGCGCCGGCGCATACACGCGCGCCTCGCGGAGCTCAAGCCCGGCTGGTGAGATGTCACTGTACCGCACTGTACTGTACCCCCACACACTGGCCCATACCCGTGCGCCGGCGCATACACGCGCGCCTCGCGGAGCTCAAGCCCGGCTGGTGAGATGTCACTGTACCGCACTGTACTGTACCCCCACACACTGGCCCATACCCGTGCGCCGGCGCATACACGCGCGCCTCGCGGAGCTCAAGCCCGGCTGGTGAGATGTCACTGTACCGCACTGTACTGTACCCCCACACACTGGCCCATACCCGTGCGCCGGCGCATACACGCGCGCCTCGCGGAGCTCAAGCCCGGCTGGTGAGATGTCACTGTACCGCACTGTACTGTACCCCCACACACTGGCCCATACCCGTGCGCCGGCGCATACACGCGCGCCTCGCGGAGCTCAAGCCCGGCTGGTGAGATGTCACTGTACCGCACTGTACTGTACCCCCACACACTGGCCCATACCCGTGCGCCGGCGCATACACGCGCGCCTCGCGGAGCTCAAGCCCGGCTGGTGAGATGTCACTGTACCGCACTGTACTGTACCCCCACACACTGGCCCATACCCGTGCGCCGGCGCATACACGCGCGCCTCGCGGAGCTCAAGCCCGGCTGGTGAGATGTCACTGTACCGCACTGTACTGTACCCCCACACACTGGCCCATACCCGTGCGCCGGCGCATACACGCGCGCCTCGCGGAGCTCAAGCCCGGCTGGTGAGATGTCACTGTACCGCACTGTACTGTACCCCCACACACTGGCCCATACCCGTGCGCCGGCGCATACACGCGCGCCTCGCGGAGCTCAAGCCCGGCTGGTGAGATGTCACTGTACCGCACTGTACTGTACCCCCACACACTGGCCCATACCCGTGCGCCGGCGCATACACGCGCGCCTCGCGGAGCTCAAGCCCGGCTGGTGAGATGTCACTGTACCGCACTGTACTGTACCCCCACACACTGGCCCATACCCGTGCGCCGGCGCATACACGCGCGCCTCGCGGAGCTCAAGCCCGGCTGGTGAGATGTCACTGTACCGCACTGTACTGTACCCCCACACACTGGCCCATACCCGTGCGCCGGCGCATACACGCGCGCCTCGCGTTCTACCAGAAAAGAAATAAGATGTATTTATTTTCGTTTACTGTCTACACCCGTATTTCGCGATGTTCAATTTATTTTAACAAAACTATCGGTATTACATCAGGCACTCGGCGATGAGTCAAGGTCACGCTATCTCTGTACTGTCACGCGCATATTACCGCACCGGTGACGCATCCTATCTGAGCGCGGCCAAGAAGGCGCTCTATCTACTCGACGTTCCCAGCGCCTCTGGTGGAGTGAAGGCTATGTGGATGGACAAATATGTTTGGTAAGCTATTAATGTAATTATACCAGTGATTTTATCATTCTTTTAATTTCAACAAAACAAAAAGTGGGTTCTGAGAAAGTTGGATATTTTAGTAAAAGATCACATTTGCCGTCAAAATTTTAACTACTATTATATAACCCCACTATTGAGAATAATGTTAAGAATAACGCGAAGTAGCGTTAATATTTGAGATTAAATGTATTACGGATTTCAATTCAATTTAAATCAATCCGAATTTGGTATATTTATTTATTTTAAATATCACGATTAATCAAAAATAGATCTTTAAACGGATCGAACAACATATATATTTAGTTTACTGTTTGTAATTTTTTTTGAAATCTAGGTGTGCAGTTTAGATTATCTTGACCTAAGAATGTTTTCATGTAACTGTAATGATTAAGGTACTTGCCCTTCCTGTCCCGTCACAATAATCTGGCACTAAGAATAGGTTCGCTAAGAAAGGATTATGGAAAATGTGTAACCCCTAAGGGGATTTATTAAATATGGGTTTCAAAATCATGTTCTGTTTTCCACACTTGGATGCTGCGGTAAGAAATCTAGGAACCTTTTAAGCCATTAACTGTACATATTTATTATCAGAAGAAATATCTGTACAAGTCGAACCAATCATCATGACATCTGGCTAGAATAACGTTCGTGCAGAGTACAGCGTGCAAAAAAGTTGTCATTACGAACTTACAATGTTTTATAATGTAATAAATCTTATCTTAATAATAATCCCGAAGGGGAGACCTGTGCCCAGCAATGGGCGTCGAACGGCTGATATGATGATGATGATGAAAAAACTTAACCAATAATAAAAACGACTAACAGAGAAATCTTTAAAATTGAAAAGCGCATTGAGACATAATTATTATGCTATCGCTACTGAGCTCTCATGGCGAGGGGGGCGTTAAGCGCGAGGAGTATATACTTCCGGGATAGGTGTCATGTTAATTCGTCCGATTTGTAGTTATGTGATCATTCCAATCAACACCAGGTACGAGGAGTATCCCACGACACCTCCGCTGTTCGTCCTGAACGGTTTCATATACACACTGCTCGGTCTGTACGATCTACACATCATCGAGGGTGACAACTCCATTTCGTTGGCCAAGAAGATGTTTGACGATGGAATGATCTCGCTGAAGACCCTCCTACCTTTGTTCGACACCGGCAGTGGAAGCTTCTACGATCTCAGACATTTCACCTTAGGAGTGAGCCCCAACATTGCCAGGTGAGAACAACATTTAATTACAAGACTCCTACTACAAAATTTAATATTTTTAAGAGCGATTAAAATAGTTTTTTTTTTTTTACTGATTCTGTTAAGTTTAGGAAATGTTTTTTTCCTTTAATCTGATTTATAGATTTAAATTTGATGATGATGTATTTTAAATTAAATGCAACTGATCTGATCAAACATCAAAGTCAAAATAACCAGCTAACAGACAGTTAATCGGCAGATAGGGATGCGAGTAATACAATCGACAAATATAGCATATGATATTCGATTATTTTCCCTCTAACAGTATAAATTAATGGATGTTAGTCCAAAATTTTAATATTAAATACTATATGAGGAATCAAACTTAGTTTTATTATCGAAACCAATCTAGTTTATTATTCTATTCTCTTATGCTTATCACATAATACATTATCCTCAGATGGGATTACCACGCCACTCACGTGAACCAGCTCTACTTACTGGCAGGGCTCGACGACGATCCGATATTAATCAACACAGCCAAGAGATGGGAGGGATACATGCAGGGGAAACGGGCCGCACACAACTGAACTTAACGTCCAACTTGTTATTGGAATCATCTCCTACAGGACCCGGGATCGATCGGGACGTCTTCGAAAGTTCCCGGCGTCATAATGTGCCTGATTACACCTTAAATCGTGGTCAGGAGTCTCCTCTTCACTGCGACATTTTCGCATTAGTGAGTATATTTCAAGTTAGACTCTCACAAAAATGTTTAAGTGACATTCCCGAAATTTTATGAGGAGATTGTTGAGAGAAACTAGAGGATTACGAACGTCAAAAATGACTCCTAGCAACTTTGTCACATGGTTTTTATAAAAACATTCGAATTTGCATTTGTCTAATTTGTTTGGCGGTATATGAGCAAGGCACATTTGTTAAACTGTCAGTTTTTGAATGTAAAAATCTATTTACGAATCATGATGAAATCGATACGAAATAACTACGTGACATTATATTGATACAATCTTGCGTTTAAATATCCATCTCTTTTTTTACTCGAATTGATATTATCAAATACTATTGAATTATCGATACATTTTACAATAATGAAATCTCCTATCGATAGTATCACTATTAGTTATATCGACAAATCGACAACACTAATGCCAATAGATGTGTTTTTCAATTTCAATACTTATTATTCATATCATTTAGTATTTCTTTCTGGTCTTTGTAGATTTTAGGCTCAAGCAGAACGCCTCGCTAATGTTAGTGCTCTAAAATAGGGCATAATGTAAGCATATCTGATATGACTGAGATATATCTTTACACCCACCTATCTAAAGTGATATTCACTTTTCCAATCTATATTTCTCGAAACTTATGATATACATTTATATAAATAACAGTAGGTAATGTGTATGCATGCAATAAAAGACTAAAAATGTTGCCAAAAGACTTGTATACAGATTTGGCGTATGTATCAGTTATATATAATAGTTCAGCTAACTATTATATGTATTAGAATAATGTGTATGAAGTTTATTTTGCCAAGATTATTTCCACAGGTTGACTAAAATGCCTTTTTTTTCTTTTTACGTTTGTACTTAACCGAAAGATAACATAGTTTAGATTTATATTAAATTATTATCATATCAGTGTATATATATTAGATAAAAATAAATAATTCTATTAGAATTTGATTACATCTAGCGCTTATAAATCAAAGTGTAAATAATATTTTTATGTTATATTAAACAACTTAAAATATTTATTTTATTAAGGGTATTGCTGTCACCTTAAACATAATCATTAAATTTGCAAAATTTTCTTCATTTAAATATTTAATTCAACAATAAAAGGATAGTTTTAAGAACTTGTATAAACCTATATACAAGTTTATTTAATACATTTTTTAATTACTTTTAGGTTATAAATAATATCCATTTAGCTACTAAAATAATAAAATAACAAACCTTAATTTAAGTATCACAAAATATTGTGTACCATATGATATACCTCTATTCAGTGAATCCCGGTGGCCTAATTAAATTAGACCGACGATGTTGTTTATACTTATTTTATTTCTAATTTTAATAATAATTTCTTGCCTTAATTTATTTATTCCCTAAAAAGTTTAAGTAAAAATTAAATGAACTCTGATAAATTAATAAAACCATTAACAACTTTGAACGGGTTTAAGCACTTATTAGGTTAAAGTGACTGACAGATCTATCAACGTACAGATCAAATTGTTAGACTGATCGAGCTGAAATTTGGCATACTAATAGTTATTGTAACTCGAAGATTAACTTAGAAAGGATTATGAAAAATTTTATCCTGAAGAGGTCAAATAGGAGTTTTAAATTCAGGTAATCCACAGTAATTAATTCATATGTTTAATGTTTTCACTGGTTAAGTGACTACGACGCTTGCGAAGGATTGACCGATCAATCGAGACCTCGAAAAATGTATTAAAAAGTCATATCCAATTACTAGTGGATGTGATATATCTCAAAATGTAGTTTATTTTTTATTTATATCATAACGTGTGATTAAGTCTTAAAATAAAGTTAGAATTAAATTTGTGAGGCTGATGAATTTCTTCAAAAACTTATCCCTATGCGATTCGGACTCTATGATGACGGATTGCTACATTACCCCAATGCGATTCGGACCGTACAATGACGATTTGCCAAATTTCGTTTCAAAACGGTTATTATTTCTTTCGTCATAAGGTTATAAAAAGTGCACATTAATAATTACATATTAATTTATTTCCACATTTACGAGTCAAAGCTTTTATTTTAATGCATTAATTTGGAACAATTATCACGAGTTTTGACAGCTGATATAACCTCAAAATAATAGTAACAAATTACGAATCTCCTTGGCCTCCAAATGAAAAGATACGTAGATATTATTCTATTTTATACAAAAACTAATTTAAATTATCACAAATGGTATGTATACACGACCTTTAAAAAAATGTGACAATGTATATGGAACGTGGACATGTCTCTTTAAACTCGTTTAAACCTGTTCAAACAAAACTTATTGAACAAGAGAGTATAATAATTATGTACTTACTGCTTGGTGATATTAAAAGTAATAATTAAGCTTAATGTAAAACTGACACGTCTTATATACGACAAATAACTTTGTAGTTAAATATTATCTAGCTGAATCTGTATATATTAATACTTAAAAATTGTATCATATTGTGTTAAATAGATCTTAGTATTTATATCAACATGGTACATAACGTTTAAGTTGTACAATTTAAACCACTAATATGTCATGATATTTGAAGGTTAATAGATGGCGTTTTTGATATTCAATAATCTCAAATCACAAGTTATTATAAATATTGTATAGTTTAAAAAAAAAAACAAAGTGTAACACTTTAATTACGTTACACTATAAAAGAAAAACATATCCCTATAAACGAATGTTTTAAACATTTTCATTTACATAACAATCGAATCGCTAAAAAAAGCAATATCGTATTATATCTCTAACGCCGTCTGTTAACACTCAAATACATTTTAAAGAATTCTTAACCGTCTCATTATAAAACAAGAACTAACTTTAGTACAAAGTTTAAATCATTATCCGACTAAAATAAGTCAACAAGTGTCAATTTAACGTTTTCTCTTCTGCCTTTGACAATTTGCTTTAGGCGACTAATCGTTTAAACAAAACTTAAGTCTTGTTTTGAAATAATACGGTAAGGATCGGTGCATAATGAGTAATGACCAGTGATCGGAATTAGGTAGAGTTATTCATGTACTTACACTGATTTCATACAGCGAAAGAATAAAGTGGATATGCCTCAAATCCCGTGATTAATTTTAAAGAGCAGAAAAAATCCCGTGATTTTTTAAATAAAAAGTTATTTACTTTTACACAATTTAAACTACTGCACGCACGACGTTGCCAAACTTACATCAATGAAAGAAAAAAATAAAGAAAGAAGAAATAAAGAAATCCCGGGAAGGTCTACATTAATATCAACATTTCGATGCATGTACATAAATAACTACCTAATTCCGACCTCTGGTAATGACTGAAGATCCTTTGTATATTATCGATCGCGTAAGGCCAGAACCGACAAGTATATAATATGACATTGAACCTTGCAGTCATTGCACAGTCAAACGACCATCCTATATACGTTGATACGCTCGACTGACCTTCCGTCAGTGGTCCACCAACCATTATTGTGATGTAAATATCCATGGTCACATATTAATTTAATAATTTATATTTGTCTGAATAGAGGTGATGATTTGGATTCCATAATACCTATAATTACCAACGCTAGTAGGTAGTATAATTTAAAAAAATCTTATAATTGTAACTAAAAAAATCACAGGTTGTCATCAGGCTGTGATAATTGGACAAATCATAGAGAGAGAAAAAACAGGTCAATTTGGTTAATGATAGCCGTAAATAATTAAAATTTCCATCATAATTTATCTTGCCTATAATATGACTGAATACAAACTATGCACAAACATTTCTACCAATCACTCTGTAACATACATATCTGTATAGTAATTATACTTTTCTATAATTTTACATATTTAGTTCGGAAATTGTATACCAATTGCAATATTTTAACTTATACTTCTTGTAAACCGTACAGTTAATATGCACGGTCTCGTTTCTAATAATGTGTTGAAATGTCTTATTTGTATCGGTAAGTTGTATATGTTTGTGGGTACATGATTAAGATGCTCCAATGAAACGTGGTGGAGCGTTATAATTTACCGATAGAATACTTAATACTTAAATAATGCAGAGCGCAGCGGAACGGGGCTACGTGTTGATACGGGCCACTCCGCATCTCTCCCTTCCACCACGCCCCGTTTCACCCCACTCTATTTTTAAAAGCGGGAATCATATTTAATCCACCGGGAAGGTACTTCGTTTTATTCGTTTGCTCGAATGCGCGTCAAGATTAATGAAACCCTGCTCGGAGCGTAGCGGTGGAAACTGAATGTAAACTCAGCCATTAGATATTATATGATCTGTCCAAATCTACCTCCTGCGGATCGGTTTCATACATTAAGTATGGAGTTAGTTACATTAAACTCATCCCAAGTATCGAACAAACGTATATAACTCAGTACCTATCTCGTTTAATTGTCACAAGAGGCTATTATCCGCTAATAGCCTTTCTATAATATGCCGTATTACTGTAACTTTCTGTCGCCAGGTTGCAGCACTAACACATGTAGTAAAGTTTTTTTTATAAACGTCAAAGAGTAAAGTTACAGTGAGTATAATAGGAATGTAATATTCGTGATCAATAATTGGGTATTCTATTCCGTTTGTAAAAATAAATGTGTTTATTTTAAAAAAGCCATAAAAGAAATATTTCGGAAAAATAAAACACGTTTTCTTGCTTTAAAATTAAATAAAAATTTTAACTTTTTATACCCGCAATAACGCTGTCCATCGTATTCATGACGTCATTGTGATATGTACACAACACAGATGCATATAGAAGATTAAAAGATTTCAATAAAATAATGGCCATCTAACGATCGATCACGAAATAAATAAGATATGAACAACTCCATCTAGGAATTTTTATAATTATAATGGTTATATTTTTATGACTCATCCGTCAGTTGTCGCCACAGTGACGTCACACAATAGCGGGATGTGATTCAAGTCACATGGCACACAGACAAAAAATTGCGACTTTTAATTTTAAGATAATAAAGAAAATCAAAGAATAAATTTTAAGACTCAAAATCAGAATCTCTATGTTTATAACGTCGTAAATTCTAGTTTTTGTGCAATTTTGTGATTTTTTCACTACCGAGACTGCCCTATTAGAAAGAGTGTAATATCATTCAGTATCATTTCTGCATATTTGGATATAAAAAGGATGGATATCATTACTTTTCCAAAAGGCTTTGAACGAAAAGGTTTGATTACTACATGTGCTAGTGCTGCCATCTACGCCGCTCTTTACGTAATGTTCACTATTTACGGGAATGAGACCCACCGAGTGTTTCGGTCCGGAATTGTATATAAATATATTATAATGTCGTATAAATTAGTGAAAAACGAATAAGTGACGCTGTAGTGCAATATTTTATAAAACATTCCAATATAAAGAGAGCTTACACTTAGTAGATAGTAGTGTAAATATCTATTGTTGAATTTTCTTAGCGATTTATTTTTGTTGGTTTTGAATATAGAGTTAGAACAACTTCCTGGTAATTCTTATAATGTATAGCATCAAGATCTAGTAAGCATTATGTTGTTCAAACGCGCCTAACACTATAACGTTACAATGTACTGGTTTTGTGGTTATCAACAGCATGTCAGGTTATACAAAACTTTCCAATCGAATTTCAACCTAAATGTATTGATAATAGACTCCAAAATTGATTTAATTTCATATTTTGTGGAATACCTTATTCGCTGCATGTGTACATTCGTCGGGTTGTGTACAGATAGTGCCTTTCCCTGGACTGCAAACTGTTGTCACGCTTGTTGTTTTTTTTTTACCATTTTTTAAACAATTTAAAACTCTTTGTAATCCAGATTTTGTTTTTCCACCTGCAGCGATTTAAGGCAAAAACTGCATTTTACATCATACTATCGCCTAATAAGGCCCATACTTTTTTCACCTTTAGTTTGCTAGAGTCAACTAGAATACGTCTGAATTACAGTCCCGTACCGAATGATCAGGGACAAGGGCAGGATAATATTATTTAAACTTTTTGCAGATGGATTTTTAGTTCTAGCTTGCGTTCAAACGGGCCTTATTAGGCGACAGCACCTTACATTATATATATCAGTATAATTAACGGTTTAATGGAATGTTATTGAAGTATTGTAATCGAAAAAGTTTTTTTACTGTAGTAGACATAATAAAAACAATGGAAATACTCTATATATTCCACTCTGCTATGTTACTCTAAACTACTACATTTATCAGCGTCCTTCATGTTTTTACGTTGTTTTATCTCATATTATTCAATGGCATTGCAGTCAGCAACGGTGAGTGAATTTTTAAAAAAACTTTCACAGACTTATTGGCCGTCGCAAGCTGTGACTCTATTGAATAATACGCTTCAATGTAAAACAGAGCTGGCCTACCGTTAACTATAAAATTGTTTCTATTCATACTACCTCTGCAATATTGTTTTAGTCTTGCGAGTAATATAATTTAGATTCAAAACTGTATATTCCCTGTTAACTACACAGCTTATTTTTGCCAAGTTCTGATACATGTTTTTATTTTAGTGCAACATAAGCTAGTTATCCTTTGAACAAATCTTTTAGCGGGGACTTCACAAACAACGGAACTACTATACAAAACTGTAAAATTCTTCCCACTGGATTAATCTTAATAAAAGCCAAAATCCATTGCAGAAATTTGACATATTGGCTAGAAAAGATTACGACAATAGTGCGCTAGGAGATTGTAGTAGGCCATCTGGAGAGTTTCGAAGGACTCTGATAGACGTGATTACCCTTGTAATAAGATTTTTTTTTTGTTGTGAACTGGAACCTCGGGCGCGTTATATTAAATTCTGGTTTCCTAACCATGTACAGTGATTCTTTTTCATTTGTAGAAATAGTAAATGCACACGTGAATGACAATAAAATGTCTCCAACAATAAATCTTGTTTATTTATTTTGTGTTTTGAACCTTGTGTGATAAACAGTCAGTTGCACAAACGTCCATTAAGGTTTAATGACGCCTTTAAGCTCTAATGAATATCAAATTTGGTAGGATAATGTCGTTATAAACTAATGAAAAATTTAATGGACATTTGTGCAACTGGCTGAATGTCTATCATGCAGTAACTACTGACATTATGAGGGTAGACAATCATACATTGCCCTGGTGTGGAGTGTGGATAGCTATGTACAAAGATGTGGTTTCAGTTGCTTCTGTAGTCTTTAGCAGCGCGTGGTGAGTGACAGCTTTCCCATATATGCCTCAGGAGTGAGGATAACAACTAGTTATGGGTATCTATACTTCTATACTAGTATTATAAAGAGGAAAGATTAAATATAAACTAATTAATATTAGATTGTAGAGAAAGGAGAAGGATTTAATTGTTTGTTTGCATATAATAGGCTCCGAAACTAACGAACTAATTTTAAAAATTCACCTTTGTGAAACTACATCATATGCGGTAGACATAGTCTATATTTTACCACAAAAAAAAAACAATATAAAGAGGTGGGAGTGGAAAATTTGTATAGGAAGACATCACCAGAGTAACCATTCTTTACTATTAAATTTGTCATTGTATATAGGTAATTACATGAAACATAATTATCAATTAAATAAAATTAATTAAAGAAATTAAATGAAATGAAATATTAAAATTGAATTTTAAGCCCGGATAAACATATGGGCTACTTTTTATCCCACTAAATATTTCCCTAGGGACCACGCAGGCAAAGCCGCTGGTGGAACGCTAGTATAATATAGTCAGGCTGGCAGAAGCGTCACGTTTTTGAATTTTGAAAATAATTACTGATTTAGTGATCACGGAACCTGTAAAGGGTCCCAGACGTTATGGAATCAAATATAAACGCGCTATACCCATTCAAAATAGTTTTATTTCATATCTAGTGCGCGTGAAAATATAAAAAAAATCAGTAAATAATCCATTTTAGTCTCTTATTTATCAAGCCGTTACGATGTAGCAAAGTTGCGTAGTTTCTCAGGTAAACGAGTCTTGATCTCCGTTTAAATACAGAGTTTCAAATTCCCAAAACTTTCCTGGTCATCATTTAATCTATTATTTCAAGAAACGTCTGTGAATTAAACAGATCGAGTGCGAAAATGCGGTACATGAAAAAAAAAGTTTGTATGAATTAGTTATACAACGGCTCGGTGTGTGGCCTTCGGACCGATCCCGTTCATCGCCTTCCATGCGAGGGACATCGCTGAGTTTTAGTGGGTAAACTCCTGCTTCTTGTTTAGCCCCTTCGGGGGTGGGGCCGCAGGAGCAGTCCCACATAACCCGTGGAGCTCGCGCTGGGTGAAACGGGTATGCGTAACGCATTTCTTAGCGTCAAAAAAAGGTATACAACGGCTTAATGTGCCATTCAGATATATATTCTATTTTAATGGTGTTTAAAATAGACTTAATGTTTCCTGAAAAGTTAATAAATAATAAATTTATTAATAATGTCATCGTTTTTGTAAATGTCACTACTTCTATTGCAGTTGAGTTTTTTTCGCTCGTCTTACTAATAGTATGGTCACAAACACAAAGCTTTAGCATTATTCATTTATTAGCACCGATATTATATAATCCAGTTAACATCATCATTTTAAATAGCACAACTCCACAGGCATAACTCAAAGCACAACAAGAGTTATTTGTTCCTAGACCACAACACATGATGATTCTTGGCGAATCTGAAAAAATCTCTTTAGTTTACAGATGTGGTCTCTCTTGACAACTTACAGAATAGTGCATGAATCTTCATATATATAAGTTTTTACTCTATGCCTTGAATAGTGCAAAATGTCACAAAAACCAAATGTGAACGCAAGAATATCTTTAGCTTCCAATTTATTTAATTTGTAAAACATCTAATGATTTTGAATAATAAAAATGAAATTTTAGTCATACAGGATCGACACGTTCCAACATCGATTGTATGCAAAAATATTATCTTCTTACTAGGACCGAAATGAGTGCTGCTAGTGAATTATGCAAACAACGTTTCAAAGGGGTCGAAAATTTTCTTCGTAAAATTGCCTTCAACTTAGGTAAGTAATCCGACGTTACGTCTCATTTAGCTGATCACGAAACCTTATGTGTTCCTATGTGATTTCAGGAAACAGTCCTTCGCAAACAGAAGTCAAGATAATATCTTGCATACCAATCGACGTAACAGACTTACAGCAAAAAATAATTTCCCTGGAAAAAGAGCTTGATGCAGTAAAGGCAACAAAACCGCAGACAGTTGTACAGACTGTAGCCTGCTCCACCAACGCTGCCAATCCCCTTAATGTTTACTGCCAGTCTAATAATGTCCAAACAGCGCAAATAGAGCAATGCGAGGGTGCTTACATGAAGCATAGCGGTTCAGGTAACTCTCTAAACGTAGAACCTTCTTGTATGCACGATTGTACCTGCTGCACCAACGATATCACTAATAAAACGTCTAACCAACAAATGGAGACCGACACGCAATGTCAGGAGCAGAATATCTTCAAAAAAGGTAAGATAAAAAACGCTCTCAAGAAAAAAGGGAAAGGCAAAACGCATTTAGTGTATTACACACAAACGGAGAGCGGTCCTTTTGTAAGTTATCAAACCGTAAAAGAAGCTGAAAACAAGGAAGTCTTTGAGGGTAGTGACATTGGTATCAATCATGCTTACATAAATGAGATGGTACAAAAACAATATGCAGCAGTACCCATCTCCAAGGAATTTCCAATTACCGATCAGATTTCGTCACCCGTGTGCTGTGACGTGGACTCCGGCCATTTCAATCAATATGATACGGATATATGCTCTTGCTTACGTGGACCTTTTCACAACACTGATAATCACCAAACAAAATTCGTCTCCGATAAGCCACAGGTCACTTACGGCTGCAATATGAATTCCAATAATACCGATTTCTATGACACGAGTCTCTATGACATGGTGCCTGTTAAAGAAAAACCTACTAAACCTTACACATTACAAGAAACAAACAAAAGAAAATTACTTAAAGGAGACATGGACGAAACATGCTTTCTAGAAAAAAATCGCCAAAGGTACAGGTTACCCCCATTTATTGTCAATTATAGCCAAATTCCAGAACTACCCGTTATCTATCCCAAAAAGTCACCAGTGAAAGGAATTAATAGGAAAGAAAGACAAGTGAAAGGGTTTGCTAAAAGAGAAAAGGTAATGAGGGAACTAGAGAAGAATCAACAAACCATACAAACATGTAGCATTGATTGCGGTGATGTGTATATAAAAAGGTCACACAATCACGGCACTGACAAACCACCACCTATCAATCCAATAATTCCATTGAGTCACAAAAACGCCGAATGCATCACACACAGTGTGAAAGATACAGAATGTCAAACCACGACCTCTCAAAGTATACAAATAGACGACGAATTCACTCACAACGATAAAAAGACTGAAGATACATTGAATCAAATTAAGGTTATATTGCAAACTGTACTTACGGAGGTAAAAACAAGTAGTCAAGGGAAAAAAGTAACAGATGAAAAATCTACTAAAGACGCTGTTGTTCAGAAAGGTTTGTCTCAAGGAATGATGCCCGGGTGTTCCAGTTTGCTACATAGTTACACTTACAGTCCACACAACATGGATCCATACGCAGCTTCATGTTCACGACCCATTTATCCCGGCGTTGTCTATCCAAATGTGCCGTATGCATCTGGGAAATGTTTGCACAATTTTCCTGTTTTTATTCAGAGTCCAATGCGTAACATGTGTTCATGCTATAGAAACAGTTCTACTGCTAAAGAGATCAAACCTAAGCATGGAGCGACCACTGCTACCAACACAGAGGCCAAGGAGCGGGATAAAGAAACGCAAAAATTGATAAAAGAAATTTACAAATCGGTGAAATTAAACATGGAAATACCTAAGGATACCTCCACCAGTGAATACGAAGGCGTTAAATCTACACCGCATCATTCTTTTGAGAAATCTTTCGACGTCGGTAGCGTTCGCGCAGAAAGTATAAAGATATTTGTAAAGTCTAATACAGACGCAAAAAACCCAACCAATCAAAAAGCAGCAACAATTATTCCAACTTTACACGATAAACCGACTTCCAACACCATGAGCTCACAATCGCACGCAATAAGCACGACAGACACCGAACAGTATTTAAGACACAATCGCATAGAAAACTATTTAGAAATTTTGGAAGCTCAGAAATTGAAACACAATAAAATCACCGAGGAGTACGAAGGATCTTCGCCTAGCGTCAGCGAAGATTCCTCAGAGGGGAGTGAGGACACGGCTATACCAATGACCGAACCGCAGAAGGTACCTTATTAATATTTAAGTATCTAACTCCCGACTTCTGAGTTGAGAATTTAAAGTTAAGAACGTCTCAAACTTTAATAAGGTTTTAGTTTCTGATTTTTATAATTTATTTATTACCCGAATAATGACCATCCTAAATTTCTACTAGACACCCGATGATTGAGATACTATCGCCGTCTGGTCTTCAATAAAATTCTGTAGATTGAAATGTGCAAAGCTTCTGTATCTTGTGATACTTACATGTAAAAATCCTTTATAAAATAATATTTAGCAAAAATTCTCACAAGTAAACCATTTTCTTCCAGAAACCGGAAAAGAGGAGTCTATTTAGCAAAATGTTCAAAGGGCCTTTTAAACTTTTCAAAAGTAAACCTAAAAAGAAAGAGGAGGAAATACAAGTGGAAAACGAAACAGAAGAAGACTCAGAAGGTGAATCGGACGACTACCAAACTATTTACAGTCATAATGAAGTAAACAGAGCTCGACACCATTTCCCGTATCCTGTTCGAAGTCCGATAAAAGAGAAGGGTCGCTATAGAAAACCCTTACCTCGACACATACGAGACATGAATCAGGAGAGGCAGAGAAGGTCTCCTTACTTGGAACAAGAATACAGGAGACAGTGGGATGAGAAATTGATGTTCCATGAAAACCAGCACAGGTAAAGTCAGCATATCGAAATTTGCGACACCTTCTCCGAGATCCCGGATAAGATTCATGAAGTTCTAATAGCTATATGTATATGTGTTTTTGACCACCTTTGCTCGTAAAGCTGATGTAATTCCACCGGTTTTAAATATGTAAAGCGGGTCATAAAAAACGCGTGTGTTACCAAAGCAAATAGTTAAGTTATAGTCCATACAAATTCCATAACAGTATTATTTGCCATTTCGCGCGCTGTTGCTATTCAAATTTCGAACTAATCGCCGCGCGGCGCCAGTCAGTAGGCAGCGCTAGCGCGCTGTTAAAATTGCGGGAAAGCAACAGTGTACATTCACAGATTAAGTTTATTTAATGTTTTTTTTCTGTTTCCTCGCAAATGTGTTAAAAAACATCGTACGATATACGTGCGTATTGGTTATAACATGCTCAGCTCAATTACGCCCTCGCCTTCGGCTCGGGCTGAAATTCCGCCTCGCATGTTATAACCATCATAACGCACTAATATCGTAATGTACTATTCTATTCTCGAAGACGGAAGCATACATTATAAAATATTCGTAATACTCCTGGTAATACACCAGGTCAACTGTACGGTTTGACTTAGTATATGTTGTAAAATAGTAATTGTTTCAAGGTTTAGATATATGGAGACCAGTGTTCTGAGCATTCAAGGCTCTTTTGTAACATAAGCGGAGGTCCGCTTATGTTCCCAAACGAGTACGCAAACAAATACGAGCCGTTTGTTTTCACAAATTTTTAATCACAGAAACAAATTAATGATAAAAAAACTTTTGATCATATCAAAAAACCTACTTTTGTAGGTATATATTGATATATAGTTATGATGAAAAATCGATTAAAAAAACCTGTTTCTGGTTTTTCGCTAACAATCATATGTTTAATTATCATACAACGATTTTTATTTGACAAATATCAGCATAACCTTAGAATAAAATTGGTTTAAGAGTGGAAATTTCATACAACCTCGCCTTAACGAGTTTTTTTTCCAGACGCTCTTCTGAGGATCCCCGTTCGAATGAGAGTGATCCCCGAAAGATCAACCCAAAGTACTGGCGAGACTATCAGGCCATGAGCGCTCGAGTCAATCGTAACCGCCTAGTGGACGCAGCGGTCACTCCATCGGTACCTTTTCATACTATGAACAGAGGACTCACTCTACGGATCCCCAGACGATCTAGCGGTCCCAAAGTCAAAACGACTCCGAAGACCATCGCCTGGCTCAAGAAGCACAAACCCGCTTGCTGCGGCCAATGGAAAAAACTTATACTCGAAGGTTAAAACGTTCCGCGTGACATTTTGTGATTAATTTTAAAATTTCTAATGTCAGTGTAATAACAAATTGTGTTAATAAAAATTATTCGTGATATGTATTTCATAAATAATTTATTATTTATTTAAATAGATTTAATTTAAAAATATGTACAACGTGACTAGAATGCTTATGTTAACTTTAAATTAGTTTTCTCGTTTAATCTCGTCGACTGCAAATAGTATAAATCGTCAATCACAAATCTGCAACAAAAAAATATATCGTCATTTAAAACCCAATTAAAACAGCCGAGAAACCGGGTAGGATAGATAGATAAATAGATGCCGTAACATTCCTTCCTTACATATCATGGCCATTGAGCAGAAAAAGCTTGTCGCGATATTCGTATCGGAACTGCGTGTGTTTTAAATTAACAGAAACCATTTTTTTTTCGTTTAGAGTTTGAAATAATGATACCTCACTCGCCCCTGAAACCGTCGCAAAATCGTCGGAGCCGTTTCCGAGATTCAGAATTGCTCGTTTAAAGGTATCAGATGTGGACATTAGCGAGTCTATGAACGCAACAGTAGCTCAGTAGTGACACGAAGACGGCTGCCGTAGATAGGGACATCGCGTTTCCTAGCGTCAACAAAGAAGAGGAATCGGTGACCTGTAGAACAGCAGGGGCAGAGGCGCGGTGGCGAGATGCCACAGCGCGTGCGCGTCCCACACGGCCGCGGCGGGCGGGAAGTCGAGAAGCTCCAGCGCCAGCGCCGCGCCCGACAGCGCCGTGAACAGCGCCGCGCGCCACGCGTGCGCCCGCCCCGCCCGCACCGCGCACGCCGCCCAGCACAGCCACACCAGCGCGCCCGCCACGCCTGCACACGCGCACGCATACACTCATCCGGTCGGTTGCACTCACGTCGCGTGATGCCGCTTTTTTAACACCTTTGCTCGTAAAGCTGATGTGATTCCACCGGTTTTAAATATGTAAAGCGGGTCATAAAAACCGCGTGTGTTACCAAAGCAAATAGTTAAATTATAGTCCATACAAATTCCATAACAGTATTATTTGCCATTTCGAGCGCTGTTGCCATTCAAATTTCGGACTAATGGCCGCGCGGCGCCAGTCAGTAGGCAGCGCTAGCGTGCTGTTTAAATGGCGGGAAAACAACAGTGTACATTTACAGATTGAGTTTATTTAATGTTTTTTTTTCTGTTTCCTCGCAAATGTGTTAAAATACGTCGTACGATATATGTGCGTAATGGTTATAACATACTTGGCTCAATTACGCCCTCGCCTTCGGCTCGGGCTGAAATTCCGCCTCGCATGTTATAACCATCATAACGCACTAATATCGTAATGTACTATAAACTAATGATTGTTGTATATTGAGTCTGTGACCCTCTATGGCAATATTATTAGTCTGTGTATTGTACTTTGAAAATTGTAATGTTTTGATTATAAAAAGGGAATAAATACACATTACAGTAGTTAGATTTGGAAACATAAAAATGATAAGGTAGTCTCTGCATACCCGCCGGGAAAAAGGCGTGACAATACCGGGAGGAACAAAATGACCGACACAGCCGAAAGTTTCAAGTTAGGTTACATGCAAACGTTCATTTTATTTGACAAATATTTAAAAATAGAGGAGGTGTAAAAATGGAGTAAAATTTTAAATTTCTAAGTGTTGACAGCCCTTTAACGCGCATGCGCCATATCGATTGTGCGCAGATTACAACGGTTCGCGGTCCGTTAATTTAATTTAATTATTTACCGATATCTTAATGATAGTCGATGCTGAAAATGTTCAATTCTTCTCTGAAGACAGCTAAGCACGCTCTTTTGCATGCCAGTGTATGCAAAAGATATGCACGCGCAAAACACATCACATTTCACACAAAACTAAACACAATCTTCACTAAACTAAACTTAACACTCTAGTATCTTATTAACAAAAATTCAATTAAAAATGCACTAGAACAAAACAAAAATCGACAAAAAGACGCTTCGCAGCGGTGCGTCGGCGGCGATGCGCAACAACACTCCAGCGCAAAAGGTCGGCGGCGACTAAGCGGCCAGAAAATACCGACAGAATAATGAAGCCGCCTGGCGGCTGGCTGGTGGGTAGGGCTTTGATATCGAGGGACGAACTCGGTTCACATTTTTTTATTCGTCTTTTGATATCACGAATTTTTTAATGTTCTTTTTAAATGCTATTTTAATAACAAATTCCTCAATGTTTTTAAAACAAAGTTCATTTGTGTTAATGATGAATCGCTGGAAGATTTGTGAGTTTATCGAGTTTAATTAACGATCCCGTTGTTAAAGGAGTATTACCCCATTCAAACAATTTTTTTTGGAGAACTGCTCTTTTAAAATAACGTAGGTTAATGTTAGACTGATCTCTCTACAATAATTTAGGAAATTTTACACTCGGTTTCTTAATTGAGAATTTAAAGTTAAACGTCTCAAACTAACATCACTGAGTTTTCGTTTCCGATTTTAGTTTTTTTATGATCAGTTGATAGCAGTTTGATAAAACTAGGACTATTTGACTTGTGAAATTAAAAAAAAAAAACTTAGGTTATTGAGAAAATAGAAATTTTCTACTTTCAAATCAGAAACCGGCTGTTAGTCTGTAAATCGATTTAAGCATTTTGACTGCCTTGTTTATTGATTGTCTGGTAGAATTTGCATGAAAGCAGTCTTATAAATTACAAACTAGTTTATTTCGTTTTAAGAAATGAAGAAGTCAATGACCGATTAAAAACTTTTCCTTGGTACGTCCCAAACAGCTGACTCAGGGTTGAAAATACTCATTTTTTTTCAAAAACTTTGTATTTTAATATCTCCGAAAGTATTTGACCTAGACTTATAATTTTTTTTACATCATATTAAAGACAAATAGTACTCTCAAGGAACCTCAGGAGTGTCGGTCGTTCTGTTCCACTGAGTATAAATAAACAGATACTCCTTTACAAAAAAATATATACGTATGTAAATACTTTACATGCGAGGGAATTGTACAGCAGTGTTACAATTATCATAACAGTTTGCGAGTAATGATATGAGTAAAAAAACTATTTTGTCGCACAATTTGCTATCCTATGTCTCTATCTGTTTGTCGGGCGCAATATTAGTACCACCGGTATTTATATATCGATGGACGTGCGCCCTTCGAAAATTTGTTAAAAGCTGTTACGCTATCGCAGCTGTAAATAGAAAAAAAAACTTACAGTGACATATTATAAATATTTTCTTATATTCCTATCAATTAAAGTTATCATCCATGCAATCAAGCCATCAGCCGGATAGGAGACAACGATATCTTTAAAGGTATTTTGTACTGACATTGTACCCGTCAAAAGGTTAGGCGTCATCCATCAATTACGTCACATGAATTTCATTATTGGTGTCTTCAAATTACGCACGTAAAGTAATCACGCAGCAAATTTTTTTTTAAAAAGGACTTTACTTACCAAAAATTAAGTTAACAAGCATGTTGTAATCGTAGTCAACAATGCCCAAATATAAATATTGCACGTGCGCCGCGTAGAAGAGCAGTGGTCCAATGACCATGAACGCCGCCAATTTCCTCTGGCGGTGGAACACTCTGCGACGAAATAAAAGCAAAATAAATATATGTTTGGTCACATAGTCAACACACCATATTATTAGTACAGTAATTTATATTGTGTTGTAAAGGTCCACTTAGGAAGATCAACTCATGAGAGAAAGAGAAAGAGAGAGAGAAATTTATTTAGTAAGACATGAGACCAAACTACAAGCATAGATAAAATTGACAAAAGATTATAAAATGATACAATGAATTTAAAAAACAGTACAAAGGGAAGCTGGATTGATTTATTTATGTCTCACGACCGCATTAAAAGAAGGTAGCTATTCAGCAATTCCTTATCGAACCCAACGCTGATTTTCAATTGGCTCCTTGCTGTTTTTTCTCCAGTTGGTTGATGCCAACTTCCTCGAGCTCACAATAAAAACACAGTACTAAAACAATAATTATCACATTTGCCATTATACTATTTCCTATTATTAATCAATATTATATTATTCATTTTTATTTATATTTTATTTTATAAATTTATCATTTAAGTATTAATATAAATATTACGATACATAAAATATTATTGAAGTCAAATATTTTTAGTGGTCACACATCACTACATAGTATAAAACAAAGTCGCTGTCTCTGTCCCTATACCCCTATGCTTAAATCTTTAATATACTATTATTTACTATTATTTAATACAGCATTAAAACGGGGTTGCGTCGCACTACCATCGCGATCAGTGCCCCCCTCGACTCTGCTACGACGCGTTGCGCCCACTCTCCCCATATCAACAATATCTTATTCATCTAACGCAGTTCCTAGCTTGGTAGAAAGTGTAAAGATTATGTTGGAAATATTCTCTCCGCTTTGCTTGGGAGAACGCATCTTAATCCCTTTCGTTGAATTGCGACTTGCAATTGGTTTCCTCCAGCGAATTGATATTAGACTTCCCATTTTCTCGAATTTACTCTCTAGTAATGATAATCTATTTTCGAATTCGCATATTTTCACATCAGACACACTTAATGTTCACTTAAATTCCAACATTTCTTGGCGACATTGATAAACTTCTTCCCTGAAGGCTTTAAGTTCATTACAAAAAAAATGTTTCTCTAGTACGAGATTAAGCCTGAATTCTTCTGTGGTATTTTGGGCAGTGTCATCAAAACGGTTTGTACTTTTGATGTATGTTGTTCATCAAAATCCCCTTAATAGGATGTTATCATGTCTCGGCACTCTTAACTAACACCCTGGACAAACCCACAAATCCAGCACTAGTGCTGTGTTAGGTATTACACAAGCCTTATGGAATGTCGCCTTACACTTTAACATCACACTGCATTTGCTTCGAAGAATAAAAGTGATAAAGTTGTAAAACAATACTTTAAAACCATCAACAAATGAAACCATTCTTTAATTTCATGAAAGGTATAAAAATCCTGTACCTTACCACAGCAGCTATGAACAATCCCATAACCATCGACAAAGCACAGGCATAATCCATAAATTCAGTAAAAGGGTTGTCTCTAGTGTGGAATATGGCTGACCAGAACCAAGCATTGATGCATACCTAGAATGTTATATTTAGTTTCTAACGGTTTTCCAATGGTTTGTAATACAAATAAATCAAGTTTGAATAGGTTAAAAAGTCTGCACATAAATTGAGAAACTATTGATATGAGTACAAAGAAAATAGCTCATTTTTGAGTTAATAATATGAGAGTGTTTCTTTGGAAATTCAACTTCCGTTTGATACATCCGTCATTATAGTTCTTTAAAAATAACGAATTTTGACTGTTATTTTTTTTTAATTAAAAATAAAGAAATATTATTATTATATTATTATTAATTATAAAAACCAATATTGTAGCAGACTGATGTCCTGACCGAGACTGATTTAAAATACATATATATATATGCATACAGGCATAATAATAGAACGTATACAGGAATAATTTAAAACCACTGGGAAGATTTTGTGAAAATAATCTTTAAGTAATTTAAACAAACACGTATTTTTTATTTTGATATGTTCTTATACTAAAAAATAATGTTATCGCTTATCAAAGATCGAGATTTTAAAACTTAATTTATGCACAGCGCGCGCCGTGCGTCAGCTGAGCGCTCGCTCGCCGTAGGTATGTACTCGTAGGTACCTATCTACACGGGTCACTGACCGCTCATTTTGTTAGATTCGAACTAGATTTTATGCCATGATCTGAGGTGATTTTTAAGAGTAATTCCAATTTTCCCTTCATAATTTTATGGTTAAGGCCATCAAAATGCAAAAAAATTAAAGAGAAACAAATTCGTTACCTAGAAAAAAATATTAACGTTATGCCGAAGTTACATAGGTACTTCTGCGTTAAGGCGTATTTAAAAAAATTGGAATCAACTACATATTTACAATAATGTTGAATCAAAACAAATACCCAACTAATTACTTACCATGTATTTTAATATTTGTTCAAAATGAAGTCCACGTCTGTCCAGACATAAACGTGCACATTTCATTAAATTGTAATTTAATTTATTTAAAACAGTAGTGTCACTTTTCACTTCACTAAAAGCGTTATTATTTTTTATTGTTAAGTCTTCTAGACTTTGTGCCTCCACTACATCCCGGCGTTTGACTTCTTCCCATAAGAAACAGTCCCTCACGTGTGAACAATGCCTCATCCGTACACAAGTTGTTTGCATCGCGGTGATGTAGAAGCCACTAGGATAAGGCTCGACGTGGTACTGGGTCTAGGTCATGGAACTGCTGAACCGGCTGAAAGCGGTACGGATAGAGACTTAAATACCGCAGGCTGGCTCACACCAAAGAGACATGCCGCATCGTGGGTACTGACTCTGGGACTTCGTCTATTAAAATGGTTCGAAGCATTAGGGACCGTGGGGTTACGGTTCCCAAGGCTCGCATACGAGGTATGCTCTTCGTCGCATACTTTCTCCGAATTGCTATTAGGTTCTCACCACTCAGAAGATAAACTCGCACTATCTCGTAAAATTCACGACGGCGGGCGCGCCGCGTGTGCGGGAACGCGAGGGCACATCACATCGGCGCGTGCGTATGAGTCTCACTGCCGCCACTGTCGCGCGCGTCGCTCGGTCCCGGCGGGGCGGCGGGGGCTGTGGCGGGGGGCTACCGGGCGCGGCGGGGATGCACGGTGGTATACGCAAGAGAAGACGTTTTCGTTGAAGTTTTATTTTAAAAAATGTGTCCATATTCTACCGTTTCAATAGGGATAAAAATATAAAAAAAAATTTTTTTAACTAATTATGGAAAAGTGTTCTTTAACTGATAATGAATCACCAAAAAAAATTTTTGCACTGGAAAAAAAAATTCCTGTATAATTATTTATGAAGAATATTAATGACAGATGTATAAAGGCAGAAATTCAATTTCCAAAGAAACACCCATGAATACAATTAAGCAGATCAAGACATACTGTTAAACCACATACACATATTTAAAAATGTGGCAATAGATTAGTGTATTTTTGAATGAAGAATCAAATACCTATTTTATTTTACATAAACTTACAGCTGCAAATATATGCCAAAAGAGTACTAAAGGAGTGCTCTTTATGGAGAACCTCCTATTGATATCTGCATACATGTATACGTGGGCCGCTAGATTCAATAAAGATGCGAACGCTGACCCTGGCTCTTGCACCCCATAAATTCTTACAAATGGCCACTAAAAACATTTTAAGTTTTATAAGTATATATAAATATTAGACTACCAAATGCATTGCTCAGGTAAAGCCACATATTATGGAGTATCTGAGACAACGAAGGTATCACAACACCCAGACCCAAGACAATATAGAAAAGTTCATTTTCTACATTGACCCAACCATGAATCGAACCTGGGACCTCAGAGATAGCAACAACTTTAAACTGGTGTATGAACAATCTGCTATGGAGATTTTCTTTGTTATTTGGTCATCAATTGTTATTTCTTTATGTATGTATATCACTTTATCTTGCAAAATAAATAAGCTGGAGATAAACTTAAATCTCTTAAAAATATTGTGATTTTTATTGTTATTAATCATTGTTAATGTTGGAGTTGAGGAAATGGTATATTTTGAAAGTTTTAATGTAAATTACCTAACAATCTTTTCATGGTTTAAGAGCTTTATATTTAAGCTACAAGGTTTTAAAATAATTAATACCAATTAGACATGATCTAATTCATTTCATGAATTCTCTTACTTTACCTTGCCATGGAACTTTGGTATCACATAACCTCTCTCTTGGAAAGTTTGCACTGTACGCCACATGCAATTATATCTACATTCATCTCTGCAATTCCATAACAATCTACTCCAAACATCAAGTTCTACAGTATCCTTAAAAAAATATCCATCTGTAAACAAATTCTCGTTTTAAGTTTTAGTCGGTTTTTTCTATGTAAATAAGCAAAACACTGATACAAACAACGCCATAATAGAATTATTACTAAGTAACCTTCTTTACAGCTATTAGTTATACATTTCTTCACACATTTTTGGTAAAAAGGAGATCGATCGCCTTCACTAGTGGATATATGTGAGACTTCATAAAATAAAAATAATAAAGCTACCCTAAGTAAATTCATTTGTGATGTTTATACGACTGTGTAAAATATCGTTACATAAAATTATAAAAACTCCCAACGAGAGTCGTTACAATCAGCACTGTTTGTTTATTTACAAAAAACATACGTTCTATCTATCTCATCTCCTGCTTAGTCTTCTTCTTTTTTAATTCATGGCACATTTGCGTTACACAATTCCGCCAATGTCACGTTTTTGGCCTTTACACGTAAAGAAACAATCATAAATATATGAAAATTTTGATTTTTGGGGTAATGGATAAAACATAAAAAAGGCTCTGAGCGCGTCTATCTTATTATATTGTCAAAGATAATACAAATAGAATTTATACAGAAAACTTTTGCTAGGAATTTAGATAAAATTTTGTATGGGCTGGGTTTCTCCATACTCAAGATACATTTTATATTTGTTGGACGAGGAACTTTTGATCATAAAGAGAGATGAATAATATTTAAAAAAAATAAAGAATCTCCAAAAAATAATGTCACTAGATGGCAGCACAAATTGTTGGATCTAAACGTCAATTCATGACGTTAAACCAAAGAGAATAGAATCGTCAGTGTTGTTCGTCAATCGTCAATATCGAGTTGAAATTTAATTAGTTTGAGTTATGTAAACGCAACTCGATTAATATAAAGTTATCTTTGAATAAATTTCTTTTTTATTTGTATAGAGGAAAATGGAAACTAATATAATGCAAGTGATCACAGAGGTTTTTTTTTAATTTATGGAAATCAATTGAATTAACGCTGTGATATAATTAAAAGTGGCATTTAGCTACGGTATACAATAATATTACTAATAGTTTTTATAAATAAAATACTATGCCATTTATTTATGCCATTGTAGGTTTTTTTTAGTACTAGGAATTTTTAATTATAATACTTAACAAAAGTTCTGAAAACAATAACAACTAGGTAAGTTAGTTTTATTGCTATTAGTTGTTTTTTGAACTTACAGCAACAAAACTATATCAAGTCTCAATAATATTTTTATATTATGTATGGTGAATGGATGAATAAGGTTTATTAATCGTCAACAAAATTCATAAAAACGATAATTTTAATAAAAAATCCGTTATCTATGAACACCCGATATGTATCAAATATACTATGTATTCGTACAAAATAACATGAATTCTAAGTTAAATGACGTTTGTGCAAAGTGTTACGTGCAAATAACTAGTGCTTTCGAAATTAAAACTTTAAAAAACTATGATCAGTTATTAGATCCTAAATTCATAATTAAATCATCTTAATAAACATTCAGCAATCAAGAAAAAATGTCTGTTCTAAACGAACAGCAAGGTTTAAACTTTAAATTTCAAATCACAAAGACACGTACAGTTATTATACTATTGCTAGTGATCTTACATGTCGTCGGCGGCGTTGAGCCATATGTTAAGTTAATTCATACGGTGGGTATGTGCTTTTTGTTCTTAATTCCAAACCTGAATTCGGATGAAAGTTACGAGCAACCAATAAGTTGGCTCATCAACATCACTAACGTTGACGTATAAGCCAAACATTGTTCCTTTACACGTAACATAATAAATAACTTAAACTTACGATTCAAATAAATTAAAATTAACTTGAAAGTTGGATTTTATAAAAAACACGAAACGATGTCATATTTATTAATTTTCTATACTCAATTTACTTTTATACGTCATTTCTGACGTTTGACGTTATTTAACTCGTGATGACGTTTCCAAACATCACGAGTAACATGATTTCAAGAACATTAGGACAATCAGGAAGTATTAAAAAAAAACTTTAGTTCTCAAAATCTAACTAGATGTCGCTACGACACATTCTTGATTTTTCAACTTGATTCTTGATTGTTTTTTCTGAATGTCAAAATAATATTTTCCCACTCTATTTGTAGTATTTTTCCAATCAACATTCCATGAATTTGTTAAATGTTCACGTACTAGCACAAAGAGATCGTGATGGAAAAGTTTGGAATATTATAAAAAGAAAGTATAACAGCTTAGCAGATGCATCATCTGTCTCGTCCCCAAGAATACCAGTGTCCCGGTATCCATGCGAGAATAATGAGCAACTTCTTAAGATCTGTACAATGCTTATTTTTAATATTATGAAAATTTATTTTTAGAACGAAACTGAATATATTATGGACTGTAAGCAACTCTGTGAATCTGTCATCATCAAAGTCATGAGATTCGACAAATAGAATGGCCTCAAGGAGTGCTTAAGCTTCTCCTGTAAATATGTAAGAGAGAGGGGAATTTTGAAATTTAATCTGTCAGCGAGAATCCATACTGCTGATCCAATTGGATAATTAACATGCTGTTTGGATGCATTAGTATACATGGAAACCCAGCCTTCATATTCCGATTCTAATTTCCGTAACATTGTACGCATGGCATATGGAGAGTCTTTGTCGATTCCAAAATCAAGAAGAACGACCGATTCAAGAATAAGCAATCCAAAGCTATTTTCAAAAAAAGGAAGACGGGAAAACCGTTCAATGGGAAGGGAAGGAGCCTGGATTTTTCCATAACTATGAGAAATATAAGGGCCACCACAATATTTCTAATTTCCTAATGAGAGGATGGGAGACGCGTTGTATAACTTTAAGGAAAAACCGATCACTCAAAAATTGCCTACTCAGATAGAGGGTTATCAACGTATTCGATCTGCAAGTGTATTAACCAACACACCGACTTCACGTCCCTCCTCCTTAGTCTTTGCAAAAAACACAGTAAGTGGCAAACCATTCACAGAACTTGCCAGCGCTTACCGGCCCACAGATAAATTAATGGCGGCAACGCCATGGCAACGGACCGGCAAGCGCTGTTTTTTACTCAGTGTTTCGCTCAGTTTATTATTTAAGTATGGTCGACTGTTCCTACGTCCAAATTTACAAAGTGAACTCTGTCTTTGATTCTAATTTTTGCTAAGAAAAATGGAATGTTTGCTAGCTATAACCGGACACTACATAGGTATAGACTCTAAAAATTGCCTTCATGCTATTTTAGCAATTCCTTTTCGCAATAAATGCTTTTGCCTTGCGTTCTAAAATAAGATATGTCCAACCCCAACCGAACTACCGAACAGAACCAATTATTGGCTGCGAAGACAACCAAAAAATAGGGTATTATACAGTTTTCTGAAAACTATTTTAATTGGTTGTTTGGTACATTTTAAAAATGCTGTCGTTATCACAGACTAGTAAGGAAATAGCCAAAATCGTGTGTAAAAACGCTGCTAAATCACATGGTATTTATGACGTCACATGCCGATAAATAAGTCAAGGCGACATAAACTTTTTATCGACTATTTATTTACGAATTATTGAAGTAAAATTTTATGTTTTATATTTTTATCTACTCTGGTTTTGTTTAAAAAAATGAACTACAAATTGTATGCTTAAACGTGTGTCTCTAATAACACTATTTTGACATGACAGTTTCCTGTTTACGTGTGACGTCACATTGGTTACAACGACCTGCTATTGGTTGCAACGACAACTCCAACAATTTGTGCTTCCGTAGTGACATAATTTTTTGTATTTACTTTATTTTTTTTTTAATACTTTCTCATTACAAGGCATTTTCGTCGTTCAATAAATTATTCAAAATGTTACATTTTTCTTTACGTTATTTTACTAATTGAGTGTAGATTCTAAGAAATAAACTTTGTTAGATTATTATTAAACATGCAACTTATTTTTTATAGTGTCAAATACCCTATTCGATATCGATGAGTTATATCGCACGAATCGCACGCCTGTATAAGGTGTATGGAGAATAACAAGTGTTTACTCATGATATTGCACAATCGATCTGTAGGTATCGATCACAAAGTTAGTTAGATATTGGTCTGTGTGTCGCTTCAATCAAATCATAGAGATAAGATGGTGTCCCCCCCCTCCCCTGACCCCTGAGTATAGGTTAGTTTTATGAATTTTTGTACGTAAACAAGGCAAAAACAAGAAAAGTATTTCATATTGAATTATTTATATTCTATCAAATAATCAACTTCTGATTGCGGTTACCAGTTAAAGTTTATTGCATGGCGTATAAATGGTAACATATTTTCTTACTAAGATAGCGTCAAAATGGTATTTATATTTCGAAGTTTATGTGCTGCAAAGCAAATTAAGCGACCTCGTAGCTACCTCAGAAGTAAATTCATTGATTCAGTTAGATTACACGTAAAAGGTGGCACTGGTGGGACAGGCCTTCCAAAATACGGCGGTCTTGGAGGACAAGGAGGATGTGTATACTGTTGTGGAAATGAAAATGCTAGCCTTCAAAATATTTTGTCTTTATATCGTGGCAAAACTGTCTCTGCAGGACACGGTGAAGATAGCCGCAAGACCAAAATAGTCGGGAACCCAGGAGCAGACCTCAAATTAGAAGTGCCTTTAGGTGTCACAGTTTATCGAGAAGACGGCAAGGAATTGGGGACAATAGATAAAGAAGACGAAACTATAATACTAGCGAGAGGAGGACCTGGAGGAAATAAAGAAAATAACTTTCTTGGACATTTTGGCCAAATACATCATGTAAGATTAGATTTGAAATTAATCGCTGATATAGGTCTTGTTGGTTTTCCCAATGCAGGCAAAAGTTCACTTCTAAAAGCAATATCTAGAGCAAAACCAAGGATAGCAAGTTATCCCTTTACTACAATCAAACCCAATAAGGGTATTATACTATTTGATGATCACAGACAGATTTCTATAGCAGACTTACCTGGACTGATAGAAGGTGCACATGTAAATATAGGCTTGGGACACAAGTTCTTAAAACATGTAGAAAGAACTAAATTACTCTTATTCATAGCTGATGTGCAAGGTTTTCAATTAAGCCCCAAGCATCCACTGAGATCTTGTTTGGAGACTGTCTTACTATTGAACAAAGAGTTAGAACTTTATAACCCAGACTTATTAGAGAAACCTGCCATTTTAGCAGTGAACAAAATGGACTTAGAAGGTACCCAGGAAACTTATAATAAACTCGTTGATTCCTATGAGAAGATTGATGAAATCATTCATGATATGCCTGAAGAAATTAGACCAAATAAAATTATTTCATTTACAGATATAATAAGTATATCTGCATTAAAAGATAAGGAAAGTATACAAAAATTAAAAACTACATTAAGGAGGAGACTAGATGAATATGCTGAAGAAAACAATCCACATATAATTGAACCAAAACAACTGTTAAAGAAAAGTAGGGTAGTATTAAGAGAAAAAGGACCTAAAGTAACTTAATACATAATATGTTAAGAGTAAATTTTCTTTTTTATTTTAAATGGCCACACATCACTCTTACACACCACCACAGTAAGCAGACCCATCACTCTACACACCAACACAGTAAGTAGACCTCTGTTAGTGGGGGAGTTCTATATGAAGCTCTGTAGGGGAGCCCACGATGCTAAATTGGGATTTACTCGAGCGTCATAGAGGGCTATTGGGTTGCGAAGCTTAGATGATAACAAAAAAAATATTTCATATAATATATACCTTTTCATCGGTGGCGGAAGCGGCTATAGATTTTTAAAAATGTAAAAAAAAACTGTTGTATGGACATACTCGAGCGCGTCAGATATTAATATCATCGATGTCCTACGCATTTTTAAAAACTGTCGTATGTTAATCTGATCGTTTCCATGATGGGGGTTCCATGGGGGGACGTAAGGGTTGAAAATGAAAAAAAAAACTAATCGAGCGCGTCAGATTTTTTGAGGGGATGTCAAGTGAACCTAAAAAAAAGCTCTCATATAATAATCTGATGATTTGGATGTGACGCAAACGCGTGACCATTATTAGAATGTGCAAAAAAAATCGCCTTTTTGAAATACTCAAGCGCGTCAGATTAAGATATATATGGTTCATCTTTATGCCCCAGACGTGATATCTCATAATCTGACGATTATCTGAAGAGATTTACTTAAACTGCCACTAAAAATTTTTTTTAAAATTTTTTCAAATCATCGAGCTTAATTAAATAGAAAAGCACCGGAATTAGCATGCAAATAAAAAAGTGTATGTTTTTTTTAATGTAAAATACTTATATTTATAAGAAAATGATTATAAGAAAATTTTATTTTTACAGTATTTTTTATTAATTATCATCGCTAGAATCATCTTCCTCTTCTTCTCTTAGTAAATATGTAAAAAGTTTAATTCACAAAATTTACATTAAAATAACAAAATAAGCAAAAACGTTGGAAATACGATGTAAACAATATCACGCCACGAACGAGTCTGTGTCATCAGCTGTTATGGCGTCATGGCAACCGAAACCAGAGTGGGGACGGAGTGAGAGAGTAATAGATAGAAAAAGAGAGAGAAATAGTGATGCGGAGAAGGAAATATAGGTATCACGTAGCTTAAACGCATTAAATCTTATCGATGAATTTTTATTACTTCGGCTTGTGACAATCGTCAGATTATATATTTTTCGTAATACTTGAATGATTCCCTTCAAAATAAAAAAAAATTAGCTACGCTCGAGAATGTCAAAGTGACGTTTTTTTTACAACTTTGTAGCCTTCCACCTTCTTTACGTCACTCTCAAATTGTCAGATTAGAGGTACGTACACATTTTAGCATGTAACTAGCTCACCTTACCTTAATCTGACGCGCTCGAGATTTTCAGATGATAATTTTTTTTTTACTAATCTGATCCTTCGTCCTTGCCGGGCGGCCATTTTTATAGGGCTCATACTTGGTCCAGGTACTTAACTGGGTACAAGGTATCCCCCTGTATATTAATCTGCCGCGCTTTAGTCTTTGGCCATCTTCACCAATCTGCACTAGATCCGCGTGGTGGAGTATGGCCCATTCTCCTGATGTTTCTTAATTGTCTCTCATCACTGCTATATCCCAAACTGATGAACAGGAAAATAAATGATGGCCTGAAATGTTCTTTGAAATTAACTATGATACTGAGTTCTAGCTTGGCCAGACTAACATCAGTCAATCAGCTACACCAATACCCTTATTTATCTTTATTTCAGAATACAAGAGAGTGAAGCTACCAGACTCATGACACCACCAATGTTCTGAAAGTGTTTTTATTAAGGAGGTATTTGGACTTGTATTTGGTTTCTTAGGGGTCCGTAGACTGGTTGGGAAACAGTGGCTCACCTAAAGTACTGATTTACTCTAGAGTTCCAATATTGGATTCCACAGCTATAACAGTTTATCAAAAAGGTGGAGGGCAAAAAATAAAAGTTTAATGCTTGTTACTTTTGCATTTTATTAAAACATAAATAAAATCTTAATATTGATAGTTCTTCAAATTCCTATATAACTATACTATGCATAACTATAAGTTGCAAATCAACTAGTTAGTATAAGGCATTATCACAGTGGCTTAATTTCGAATAGAAAACAATCGCAATAATATTCAGCCATAACAAAATCTTGAGATTTCAAACGATACAGACATTTATTTAATTCGAAACCAATCATTTTGTCGCTATACAATATACGATTACTTATTCCCCATGACCTCCGCAATAATCACAATATTCTTACATTCTTCATTATCACAACCTTTTTTTAATTAGGAATATACCTTTTGAGTTGACCCTATGTATAACACAATGAAAAAGTTAAAAAATTCCAAATCAAAAACTTGCAGCAATAGTCTAACCTAACCTAAAAACTAAGCTTGATCAATAATCAAGTTTCGATCATCTCAATTTGTCATTGTTATACATAATAAAAATTAAAAAAATAAATCAGAATCGTGGATTAGAATAAATATTTTTCGTAAGTATTTATTTATGATATAGTTTATACAAATTTGAGAATATTTTACAAGGAATAAAAATGACATGTCAATGTGTGATTGCAGAATTTTTGACAAAAAAATAAAATTAGTAACCTAGCAAAGTATCACTCTGTCAGGAAAGACTAGAAAAATATCATCTTAAATACTAAATAACTAAATCGGATCGTTGATTTATTTATGCTTAAAAATAATTAAAACTACAATTTTATTCATACTTGATAATGTTTAAGTTTATATAGTGTATGTGTGATTCGCGTCGAGCATAGCGTGTTAGAGCAAACTAATTTTAGAAAACGGTAGGTAAATGAAATCGCTTGTGTAATACTATTTTTAAAATAAATTATTACATGATCTCCTACGACTCCATATTATGAATCATATGAAGAGCATATTTCGTTCCGATATGCAGAGCTCGATATGAATTCCTATTTTACAATTTCACTTACAGGTAATAAACATTTCCATGAGTATAATACCCACGCTTTTTTAACTTTTAACAGGGAATACTATGCAAAGTTAAATGGGAGCATTGGAAACTTAGGAACATTCCCGATCTTGTTACATACAAATATCCAGCAAAGCTGTATTATTGGATGAAATGAAATCCTATTGGGTTCAAAAATATTAAACTCCTACTATGCTCACTATTCTAGTGTGCTAGTGCTACATGCTAGCGACAGAAAGTTGCAGTAATACATTCTAATAGTATATTTGCAGTTAAAACAACTTTTGAATTAAAATTTTCTCACTTTAACTTAATAACAGAGACGGACGAAACAGTTTTAAATTCGGTACACGTATAATATTCGAAAAGATGTCGAAGACAACTCGCCTGTGTTTTCGGGATGTCACTTAAATGTTTTAAATTTTTTAACAAAAGAATATCGATCATCTCGGCGCAAGTTAAACGGGGCGGAACGGGTTCTTTTCCCGTGCATGACGGTTCAGTCGTACCGTTCCTCAGCTTCCGTGGCGGTCTCGGCGGGCGAGTCGGCGGGGGCGGGGGCGGGGGCGGGCAGAGGGCGCGGGCGCGGCGCGCTCTCCTCGGAGCTGCAGGGGGACGCAGCGCGACCGCTCGTGTCAGACGCCGTGGACCCAGGACCTAAGGGAGTGTTAAAAATGTATTAATGAGAACATAATTCGTAGTGCGACATCACTCGAATGAACATGAGTGCCCAGCACTCCTGTAATTACATATCTTTATATAATAAGCAAAGAATATATTTCGGGTCTCGATATAATACACAATACAAGTTGTCGATTAATTCGCCGCCAAATGAGATACCTCCCGACGGCTGGCACCATGTTGGGCGCCAACCACACTCTATCGACTTTACGTTGGGCGCCAACTATAGTTCGGCTTTTAATTAAATGCAGTAAAATTACATTTCACTTTTTACGAAATGTAAATTTTGATAGTAACGTACAATCGTTTCATTCAATTTACATTGAAGTTGCATTCAGTTCATAATTTACGAATATGGAATAACTTCACAAATATATTTTTATCGCTTATTATATTTAATAGATTTTGCATTTAATGTTATCATGTGCCCAACTAGAGATGGGATTTTTTTATCTATAAATTGGAGTTATTGCTTGTTAATAAATAAATGAATTATTAATAAACAAATAATAAATAATTTGATGAACTACCTAATAATTTCAAAACTAATAACACAACCTAATTTCGCATAGTGAAACAACAAGAAACATTTTTATGAAAAATTTAAATTAAATTGTAACTTTTTTACTTTTATTGCACAAACAGTTAGGGGGCGTCCATAAATTACGTGAGATGTTTAAGGGGGGGAGGGAGTCGAGTCAAATCTCATCTAATCTCACGTTAGAGAGAGGGGGGGTCTCGGCAAATATCACGCAATTTTTAAAATAAGGCTTGGTGCGGGGAATCCCTCATAGAGTGACTAGTCTAAGGTTAAGATCATTCACTAATAATTTCATTCGTACTTTGACATTATACATCACTCCTGATTGTCAAACCACTATACTCGTTTTATACCAAATAGCTCAATTTAATTTGAATTTACGGTACAATGTAGCCCGTCCTTTGTTTTCGCGCCACTGTCAGCTGAACGTGTGACTCGATGAATGAGAGCGTACGAGCTGAGTGCAGCGACACACGGACAGGTTCCAACCTGCTTTGTTTATTCTTGCAAATGTTTTACTCGACTCAGTGCATGCTCTTATTAAGTTAAAATGAGTTATCAAGATTTTTATAAGGCATACGTCAAAAGATACGTCTATAAGACGAAGAAGTCCTGTCAGAACGATGTGATAAAATTATGGAATACAGCGAAGGAAAAATTCCCGAAGAAAGAAGATTTAATACATCACATTCAACATGAGATTGAACGGCTTCTCAGGGAAGCTACTGAGAGAAAAGTTCGGTCTACTTTAGCATTTCTTCAAAAGCTAGGTTAAATATATTTTTCTAAGAAAATACTTCTTTTATATAAACTTTATTATTACAATTAATAGCATAAAAAAAAACTGAAACAGTGAAATTCTTGATAAAATGTGATAAAATCATATCTACAAAATATTAGCGCGGTCATTTCTTTTACTGTTTTCAGAGCACAGGCGTGATTTTTTAGGGCAGATGATTTTACTGAAAATCATATGGATATACTGGTTCCAATAGTCTCTCTCGAGACAGTGCATGATTCTCCATGGACTGAATTAGAGTATATATTCCTTTTTTAATCGCAGTAGTTACGAATTAAGTATTCTATTGTTTAATCTTTATTACACTTGTAGCTCTCAGCAATATTGATTACTTACTAGTCTCTAACTAGTCGTATATAAAAGTATGAAGCGATTTTTTTTTTCTTTTTATTAAAAAAATCCAACGTGTTTAAATAAGAAACCCACATTTTGAAAAATCTCACGAGAGATTTGGGGATGGGGGAGGGGATTGAATAAAATCTCACGATATCTCACCAGGGGGGAAGGGAGGGTCAGAAAATTTGAAAAAACACCTCACGTAATTTATGGACGCCCCCTTATTTAAAGATAAGTTTAAAAACTTAATATTATAAAACGGGAAAGTTAATAATTAAAAAACTTTTTATTTCTGTTTCTTTCATAACCCTGGGTTTTAACATCACTAGTCATACTCGTTGAAAATATGGATTTCGTCGATAATTGACACAGTAGGCATGAGCCTACTAAATAGATATGACTCTAGGCTAGGTTCACACTTGCCTCATTTGATACACTTGTGTATTTCATAGAACGATTTACTTACACAAGAGTCAAGTAGCCTATTCGCGATTTAAATAAGACAGTTTATAAAATGTGTCATATAATCAAAATTTTTAATTTTGTAAGGTGAATTACAATTTTAATTTTTGTGTTCTGTGATTATCATTTTCAGTTAACATTTTAATAGAATGCCTGTCCATAACGGTTAGGGACAGGCATTCTATTTTTGGGCCTTACCTATAATATCGATGTTGAAAAATTCAACAACTTTTTTACCATCTTACTAGTACAAAAATTAGGGGATATTATTTCACAAAATGACATTAGGATAGGTCATTTTACTGGAATTAATTAAAAGTCGAACTATCGATTCCATCGGCTCCACCTTAAGTTCCAACTACATCGTAACGGCACCACGTTGGGTGTCAACTACATTTTATTGGCTCCACGTTGGGCGCCAACTACATTCAATCGGCACCAAGTTGGGCGCTAACTGCATTTTATCGGCCCCACGTTGGACTCCAACTGCATTCTATCGGTTCCACATTAGGAATCAACTACATTCTATCGGCTCAATATTGGGCTCCTACTACATTATATCTGTTCTATGTTGGGCGCCAAATACCATCGATATCATACCATGTGTGGGGTTGAGGCGGTTGTCTTGTGGCGAGGGTCGCTGCTTCTTGGCCGTGGGGTCTTCACGCGGTTCTTCTACCTGTGCCGGACATTCCAAGTGCACGAGGTGAAATACCTGTACACCAACAAACCAATAGTTTGCTTAAAAAAAAGCTGGTGCTTCGACGCTCGTATTAAAAAATATGTATATACATACTCCGAGAAAAACTACCCCACATAGTAACTTAAAAGTTATAGAACATATTTACTCTGTGTAATAAAATAAATAACAACAATGCAACAGATCACAAGGAGTAAGACTCGCCTCATTAACCGAATTATTAGTGCCGACGATACGTATGATGGAAACTGGCCGGGGACTGAAGTAAATCACTTGCCATGATCTGTAAACGAAAACCAAAAGTTTAGACGCTATTAGTCAATTCAATATTTAAGGCGAAACATGTTTGGCCTGCTGTGGTGTCGACTGTACCTGCAGTGGTCTCTAGTGCGATCGCACACGGTTTCCCAGTCCCAGTAGTTGAGCGATGTCTCCACGTAGTAAGAGTAGTGACGATAATCACAATCCCACAACAACAGTCTGATGGACGACAGTAAGTATGGCTGCGCTAGTTGTACCTGAAATTAAAGAAAAATTAAAGTTACTAATAAAATAAAGACACACTATAATCATCTTTATAAAAAATGTATTATACATATTAATATATTTTCTGATACATACGAATATTATCACACCAGTGATTCTTATTAATATCTTTCATTAACATCTATAATGTATAATAAACTTCCCCTCAGTATCAAAAGCATGAACTATCGACGAATTCGAAAGTACACTGTAATTTTTTTTTTATTCAGCATCCCTTAGACGCTTTCACTGAATTTATGTCTCTGCGTTTGGATGAATATTCATTCCTACATAAAGATGGGTGAGATACGAAATTGACTAGATCTCTATGGTAGATGACAAGATATAATAATCATCAATATTTTATGCCACACTAAAATTAGATCTGAATCTATGTCTGTAATAATCTAACTTGTGATGTCGCAATTTAATTGACTGTGATGTAATTGATTATTAAGGATCGGAAAATCAACCATTTTGACATTGTTAAGGTACTTAATTTATTTGACATTCCTACGTACAATGATTTGACCGGCATGATTTAAACCTTTATTTTTAATTTACTCTGCTTAGTGTAAAAGACTTGACACGTGTGTATCCTTCTGAGTTATATGGCCAATAAATTATTTGATTTGATTTGATTTGATATTTATATATCCTAGATCTATGTGGACGTATCACAAACGAGCTTATGATTAAGCTTTCAAAGTGAATGGAGAGAGATGTCTCAAAATTGCCCCAGAGCACTTTCATGTTCCAATATGAAAAAGACGCATGTGACTTTAAAGGATCCCATATTGAAAATAACAGAGATATAATTTACATTGTTAACGCAAAACAGAAACTTCCGATCTAGTGGGGTTAATGAATCTGATCAATAGAGGTACACCATTTCCGGCAAATAATGGCGCCCAGAGTAGTTTCATATTGCCAAATGAAAAATTATTTTATAAAACCTTACTCAGAAGCAGTGTCAATAAATCGTTCCATTTGTCTTCCCGTTTTATTTCATACCCACCATTATTTATTTCATAGAAAAATACAATCAACCAATACTCATGACAAAATAAAATAAACCATGTAGTCCAATGAAGGCATTGGATTACATGGTTACGATCCATCTAAATATATATAACTCAAAGGTGACTGACATAGTGATCTATCAATGCACATCCCAAACCACTGGACGTATCGGGCTGAAATTTGACATGCAGGTAGATGTTATGACGTAGGCATCCTCTAAGAAAGGATTTTAATCAATTCTACCCCAAGGGGATAAAATAGGGGGTGAAACTTAATTCAGGTATTTTACACGATAAAATGAATAAACATTCGTTAGACATGCTGCTCAAAGTAACTTTACCACGCGGACGAAGTCGCGGGCAAAAGCTAGTTATAGATAAAACGTTGTTACAATAAATAGATATATACCGCGTGTTACAAAAAAACCCGTTACCCCGAAAATGGCATTGAGTATACATAAAACTGAGATATAGGACGCTGTCCTTTATATCGTAGCCATTGTATTTATTGAAAAAAACAATATCGAAGTTTAACAAAATTTTCGATACCATTTATCGAAGCACACCGACATTATGATCAGCTGTTTCAGTTCATTGACTTCTAAATCAAAGACTATTATTTTGCCAGACTGGTTATATCTACTGGTATTTAGTGCCTACGTCACAGTACAGCGAAATAATTTATCTAGTTATGTGTACATACGCAAATATTCGAACATGCAAAATATTACACGAAAACATTATTTTAAAACTTTTTCCAAAATTCGTTTTTATTCAGATTAGAGCTCCCTTTCCAATATACCTTGCCATATTACTATGCCCGTGCTACGCACATATCAGGCACGGAAACAAACAATAAACAGTACGCTATAGTCACTGCACTGGATTAAATACTTTCGCCTGAAATGCTCGTACAATATCTCTTTACGAACTGTAGACGGCCCATCCAAAATAATAATCTTTATAATTAATGCTACGACACGTCACTCAATAATGTACTCATAAAATCAATTTCATCTAATCTAAACAAATAGAGAAGCAGAGGAAGAAGAAATATCGCGACCTCTAGATAAGTAGAATATTCGTTATTGCACGAACAATTTTTTTTCATAATTAGGTAGTTTCATTTTTATGAAAATAATTACAATATTATGAAAGTAGGCGACGTATATCACTGAGTGTCTTCCAGGTAACTTTGTCTATCTGTAGCTGCTTCATCTTTGAACCAGAATTTTTACACATCGTGTCTTTAAATCATGATAACCTGGTACTCGTACCTACAATCTTCTGTTACGAAAGTAAACCTAATATGACGTCAGCGCAGATACAGTCGGGGAATAAATTGAAACATTGATCAATATTCGTGTACATATTTCAATTGTGTTTATGGTCAATTTATTTCTTTTCTAATATTTTTACAATAAAAAGATCAGACTTAAAATGGAATATGAACCTTAATCGGGAATATGATCATTCCCGATTATGGTTTCAACCACTTACTCTTACTACATGTAAATTGTTTCAAGTATAATGGATTGCTACCTTAGAGTTAATGATATGCACTACACTTAGGTATCTTAAAAGCGTCTGACAAGAAAAAATGTCGACAAAGAGCCGCTTTCTGAATTGAGAAAAGTACAAAATCTCAACTGAATATTCTCAATAACTGAAGTTTTTTTATATTACACTAGTCAAAAGTCCTAGTTTTATCAAACTAGGACTTTTGACTATAAAAAAAAACTGCTAACAACTAATTATAAAAAAAAACCGGCCACGTGAGAGTTGGACTCGCGCAGGAAGGGTTGTATCCGGTGCTAAGAAATAACTTCATTAGCTTAACTCTTAAAAATATTTTTTATTGTTTAGGTATTTAAATACGTAAGACAAATCAATACATAATCGGTAAAATCGAGCCTAAAACAAATTCACTTATTCCCCCGAGTGTACAATGACGTAAGATAGAGATAGAGAGGGAGGGAAAGAGAGAGAGAGAAAGAAACGAAACATTATCGTTCGTGTTTGTGTGATGTCGCACGCGAGTGACTACTTGACGCTAGATACGGTAGTAGTAAACATTTGGTACGGATTTTAATTTATTATCTATTTTATTACTGTGGGCTATTCAACTGAATTTTAGAATCAGAGTATAGGATTCACTATTTTAATGCTGTAAGAAATGAAAATGAATGAGACGTTTTATTATGTACTGTTTACCTATTTCCTTAAATAGAAAAAGCCATAAAACGACCGACACAGCTAACAAACAAATGGTCATTTATTTGAAAAATGGTATAAAGGTGTATAAAATGAGTTAAAATTTTAAACAGGTATGTCGATTGTATGCAGATTACTACGGCCCACGAAATACATTAATTTATTTATTTAACGATGTCTTATGATCGATGCTACTTCCTCTCTACAGACTGAGCCAAGCATGCTCGTTTGCAGGTGCAGCGTGAAAGTATATCACATTTCTCACTTAAACTAGTTTTTACCAAACATTAACAACGTTTAAATTTGTAAATACTAAAAATACAACCATGTACTATCTTATCAACAACAATAAAATTTACAAAATCTTTTTCAATTAACAATTCCTAATACGTAACGTTTATAATACGTAACGTACATAACGTGAACTGTTTCACGTTATGTACGTTACGTATTATGTACTTACGTACGTATGTAAAAAAATTAGTTGCAACAATGTCCTGCGACGATTTTTTTAATTTGTACAATAAAATGTTGATCACCTCGGTACTAGGCAACTAGAAGTTTAGGCTCAAACTTTAACATTGCCGCCTGTCTAGGGTTGTCATCTATCCGTCTTTAGCGGGACATGTTTGACTTTTTAGATTGTTTTAGCTAAATGTTAATGTCACATGTCCGGCGGTATAGTTTTCATAGGGTTTTGGTATACCTGTGCCGAAGCTATATCAAATAAACTATGAATAAACACAAATTCGAAAAACGTCAAATACCCAAATACCCAAAAAGACGCAGTGTTGCACGGGCATTTGCGAAATTTGAATACAAATCGTTAGTTTGTTTGCATCGTATAGTCTCCGAAATTACTTTATAAAAAAAACCTTTTTCAAAATAGGTTGTGCAGTTTTGATGTTACGATCAAGCCTTATTTTATGAATTCACGTTTTGGCTGTGATAAAAGCGTTAAAATTATGATGTAGTTATCTTATCTTTAATTACCGCTTATTTGTATGTTACGTCTTACTACAAAATCAATTGAAAGTTAGTGATTTTTGCTTAACGCACCCTCTGAATAACTAGGCAGTAACCCTCGCGAAGCCGTGAACTAATATTACTGTCTACTACGGTAATATTGTTTTACGGCTTCGCGAGAGATTTGACTTAGTCCGGCTTTAAGGACAAAATTTCCGATCTAATAAGAGAAGATGGCAACCCTATCCCGCTACTTCTCAGATTTAATTGCGGAACTATAGGTACCTTTCTGTGCGCCTTTGACATGCCGCACACTATGCAGCGGCTTATAATAAAGGACTCAAATTGGCGGCTTTCCCTTTTTATCACTTTTTCTTTATTCAGTTGTTCATACGTCGTCGATGTGATCACGTTTCGAAAATGTCCGTGTTCTCTAATTCCGAGTACTATGAAAAGTGCTTTTATCAGTGTTACATGGGATGCAGTGTTGTATTGATATAAATTGAGACTATTTTTAAAAGATGTAATTATACTGAAACGTCAGTGAACCAGAGGTTGGCCGCGATCTTTAGTTTTTTCTTGTGGAATAAAATTAAGTGCCTAATAAAGTGTAGGTGAGTGAACCTCACAAGTGATGCTTAAACAGTGAATAAGGAAGTGAAAAGGTAAAGTACAAATAGTAATTCGCAAATATTTATTTTTAAATACGCCGAAATCGTTTGTGAATTATGTCGCATATCATATTTTTTTTTTATTATCGTAATATCAATCAGATTTGTCGGACCATTAAAGTATGAACTAAAAGTTAGACTCGTATATCAGTGTTTAAATAAATTTTACCTATCTATCATAAATAGGTACTACTTAAAATGGTGTTTGATCTGTAATTCAGAAACAGCTGAGTCGGAAACGATGCTATGAAATGATGTGCGCGTTGATAATAATATGTATTATAATTTTTTTTACTGAAATTAGACTACCGGCTGAACAGCGTCGGTTACTATACCATTTTGCCAATGATTTGATTCCTATTTGATTTCTTATCATTTTATTTTCGATCGAAATAGGTTAAGTATTTACTGTGTAAACTGGCAAACGCAGACATGTTTTTAAGTATATTTTCTCTGTCATTCTTAGTGTGTATGTGTGGGTGTGTACTAGGAGAATAGAAAAAAAAATTAGAAAACATAGGAGATAGGTAGTGTGCCATTACTCCTGGTAAGGTCATTAACCTAAAATAGTGATGTGACATAGCACACTCGATGTATTTATTAATTATTAAAAATTAGCCTTTTTACTGAAAGTTAAAAGTTAATGCAAAGGTTTTGAAAATTTGGCAGAGTACTGTTTATATGATATACTTCAACACCCTTCAGCTATAACGGGTATTTTTGTAACACCCGGTATATATATATATATATATTTTTACTTTGTTGGATCAACAAACAGTTTCACAATGAAATTACTTGAACCAGCAACAAATTAATTACATATATCTTGTGATTGTGAAACCAACACCGTTGACCACAAGTATCTAAGTACATTTCACATAGTAGTTGAGAGCAACAATAAAGTCAAACATTATTTAGTTTGTGGAATGAGTTTTCAAACTATATACGAGTGCGACGCGGTGTTAATTTCAGGCTACCAATTCCTCAATGATACATTTCTTATAATATTGCATATTATGATTGAAAATATCAATATTTACAAAATATTTATTATACGTGTCGGCAAGATGATACAAGGGCGAGCGTTTACCAGATATAATAGTGGTTCATAAATGATAGTGTTACCACAATAGCGCCGGAGCCGAGCTGGTGGCACGTGTATCCCTGCTCCCAGTCATAGTGTTCCGTGTCACCGTTCAGGAGCGCGTTGCGGGAACGACTATTAGAATGTAACAGTTGTGTTTATATTTACGAAGTACATTTTTCCAATTAGGAAGTATTTTAATAAGACTTTAGTTCCCAAAATCAAACCAGATGTCGGTACGGTACTTTCTTGGTTTCTGCATGTCAACCCTTCCGGTTTTCTTTGATGTTTTCAAAACTCAATAAACAACTCAAATTGTATTTGTACTTTTTCGTATTTGTATTGATATCTGAGTATTGAACTTTGCAAGTTTCAGTTTTTGATTATGTTAGTTAAAAGGAACAGATATGACTATCTTTGGTCCATCCGATGCGTGCAAAAATCGACTTTGCTAGAGTCGCCATCTAGTGGAGGTGCTTTTTAGTGCTTTCTTTTTTTTTAGTACTCGCGCGTTTTTATATAAGCGTTTTATAAAACTTTTAAATAAGCGCGGTAACAATAAGGCTGTGTTACAAGCACTTGTGAATATCGATAACTGAGAAGAACGGACAAGAAACTCAGCAATGGCTGCTTTTATTGCCATAACGTGTACAATACAATGTACTAGCTTTTTGTCATACTCGGCGCTCAAGTGTACTGATCGTCAAATGGCGCTACTTGAATCATTCTGAATGGCCGACATTTGCCGCATTTCGGTACATCGGCGAACCAAATTAGATGCATCTAATGTAATCTCCGAGTTCGATTCTTAGTATGATGATGATATGTGTGAGTGACATGTGATGATACGTATTTGATGGTGACATATGTGAGTTACATGTGATAATATGTATGGGATGGTGATATGTGCTAGGGACATGTGATGGAATTTTGTAATGGTGATGTGTGAGTGACATGTGATGATATGTATGGGGTGGTGACATATGTGTGTGACATGTGATAAGGTGTATGTGACAAACATGTGATGGAATGTATGTAATGATGATATGTGAGAGTGATATGTGTTGTTATGTAAGAGTTGGCGAGTGATAGTATGTGATATTGACCTGATGCCCTCTATGACGACGGCGGACAGTTCCACGGTGGCGACGTTGTGCGTGGGCTTCACGAGTCCCCCGCACAGCGGCGGCACGCGCGCCGTGTGCAGCGCCTCCAGCGCCACCGCGTGGAACACCTGCACCACCATACATACACATACACATACATACACGTACACGGTTACCTCACACACACCGGCCAACTCACAGGACTAGACTCCTGAGTCAGGGGCGCTGTTACAGATTAACGCTTGTTTTGTTGCAGTTGAAAATTAGTATTTGCTTCACACATTTTATAGGTATTCTAGGTTTTTAACGTGTATTATCTTAGTTTCTATTATTATTTTATGTGTACTATCAATGTCATTTAACATTTTATCTATTTATCTAACATTATAAACGACGACGTGGTTAATAATCCTGTATAATTCCTGATTTATCAGAGTCCAGTTTTATTTTTTTACAAGAATTAGTTACATAAATAATAGCAATATGTTAATAAGCAAACTATAATAACAACTACAGATTACAATTAAGAATAATGAGTGGACCTTATTGACAGTATTGCTGGTGCCGACCAGCTTGATGTACTGCACGACCCTCGGCTCGAAGTACAGGTTCTGCCAGGAGCGGCAGTAGTACGTGCTGTGGTCCACCACTCGCACCCAGTCCTTCTGGTCCACCGATACCTCGATGTAATATCCGTATGACCTAATGAACATTTTCTATATTAACAGTTTTCCCATCTGTTTCTGTATAGGTACTCTGTTTTCTTCTCTGTAACAGTTAGACCTCTAGGATTAGATTAATATGAATCGTGAATGATGTGGAATATCTTGAAAAGAAAATAGTGTTTTTTAGGAAAAAATATATAAATAGATATTTAGTTTCTTCGTTCTATCTTCGTCCCTAAATTTCATTTAGGTTTATATCAGGCATACAAATATGCCGGGCTCGTGTGCCATCACCTCACCTGTTGTCGCCGTCCCACAGCAGCAGGCGCACGAGTGTGCCGTCACCTGACCTAATGTCGCCGTCCCACAGCAGCAGGCGCACGAGTGTGCCGTCACCTCACCTGTTGTCGCGGTCCCACAGCAGCAGGCGCACGAGTGTGCCGTCACCTGACCTGTTGTCGCGGTCCCACAGCAGCAGGCGCACGAGTGTGCCGTCACCTCACCTGTTGTCGCGGTCCCACAGCAGCAGGCGCACGAGTGTGCCGTCACCTGACCTAATGTCGCCGTCCCACAGCAGCAGGCGCACGAGTGTGCCGTCACCTCACCTGTTGTCGCGGTCCCACAGCAGCAGGCGCACGTGGTTGATGATGGTGGCGGTGTGGAGGCGCACGAGTATGCCGGGGTTGTCGGGCGCGTCGCTGATGGTGTGCCGCGTGTAGCCGCGCTCCATGTCGTAGTTCTCCGTGTCGCCGTCCAGTAGCGCGCACCGCATATCGCCCGATATCACGCGCGCGCCACGTTTCGGCGTCGCCACGTTCTCCTCGGGTACTGAACACGATGGCGCCGTTTAAAATGTATTCTCGGCTCGAATGGTCATAGCGAGAATTCGATAAATTAGTAAACTTTCATTTCAGTGATGTTACTATTTGCGCATAACAATATATTATAATTTAAATAAAGAAGGATCACTCTTATATATTTTTTAAAACAAGATTACGGTTAATATAATTCATCCGAACTACATTAAATTATACCTGTTATTTTTTATTATCTTTGTGCAAAAATATTTTTATATAAGCTGCCTTCATAAACGAAGTTCGTATTATAAATCTAAACTGATGATTAAAGGTAATTGTAAAGACACTCACGTAGCATGCCACGATGCGGAAGGTCCGTGCTTTTGGTCTGCGTCTTCTCCTGGATGGCGTCCAGGAGCATGTCCGGGGTGACCAGGGAGAACGGCCTCACAACACTCAGTAGTTCTTCCAAACTCATTAAAGTCAGCCGCACGCATTTCAAGATCTTCTCCTATGAACGCCGAAGTTAAAACAGTAAAACATTGGTCTTAATGAAAACAATAGAACGAAATATGTATTACAAAGTCAGCTAATATGATTGCGTGATGATTCGTACACATGCCATATTTGTTTATGACACAGAATACGGATAAAGAAATACTGAAATGTAAGTGTACTTACAACTTGCGCTTGACCGCTCTCAGATTTGACCCACGCTTGGTTTGCGCTGAACCAGTTACACACAGCCTTGAAGATGTCCACCTCTGCTGCGAAAAAGGAGTCCCGTTCCAACAAACCTTGGAGGGCTTCCTATACAATACAAAAACAGAGAAGTTTATCTTGCCGAGTCGATATTAACTCTTCGTTTTAACCAAAAGGTTGACTATAGCCTAAAAATCAATATTAAATCAACTTACAACTGATAACTGAAGGAATGTGTCATGCTGGAGGACTTCCGTTGCATTTCTATCTAAGAAATTGTAGCAGTAGTCCATGAGAGCATCCAAACCGTATAGCCTGCAATAATCAAATTTTCTTCAAGAGTCCATAGAGCTTATTTTCACTAAAGCGACTAGTCACCTATGATTGCACCGCCGACTAGTAATGTACGACAGTTGTGTGACTGTATTCTATAAAACTACCCCATATCAAAAATGGATGTAGAGAAAACAACATACACGTGCGCGGCTACTCAAATTGCGTACTCTTTTATATGTAATCGCGAAGACTTCATAATCGCAGCCGCGTAAATGGATATTGATAGACTAAACAGCACTCGCGTGCGGCCAGCCGCGACTTAGTAGCCGCTTAGTGGAAAAAACATTAAGGGCGATAATACAAATCAACACACAATTAATTTTCGCGGCTTTCTAGAATATTATTTAGGATCCTGGCCTGCATTTTTTTTCTAATCCACATCAATTATATCCCGATTTAAGAGTGCAGATGACAGATAAAAACTAATTCTAAGTTATGAGCTGAGTCTTGAAATGAAACATGTGCCTTGAAAAATTTGCATGTCTAAAATTAAGTCATCTCATCTTCGCTTAAAAAATATTACCCGAACTGTACACAAAAAGATATGAAGATAATTATGTTTGTATACAATTAATTGAGTCTAAAAACGTTGCATTTTAGAAGACAGTGCTGTCTTTAGGGAGTGTTTTCGCCCTGACAATTGGTTTTCAGGTAGCTCACCTAGCGGCATCTAACACAGCACACACGTTCCTGAGCGCAAGAACTTGGCGCAAGTAATCAGAGATGGCAGTCTCCAACTCCTGGAAGTTGAACTGGTGTGCCAGCCCCAGCATATCTAACACGGTGTCCTCACGCAGCAGGGATAGTCCCATGTGACCTGTGATAATCCAGAATTACTTCACGTCGGCCGTTCCCACTCCCCCACGTCACTACAGATCCCTAAGTACAGTTAGCAACGTTTTCGCCTTACCTCTGTCCATATGTCGGTCGTTATTATAGTCTTTTTCTTTACAATTTTTTTTTTCTTTGTTGAAGTTAATAATCTTTAAGTAAATAATATCAACTACACTCTTTTTTATTATAATTGATCAATTTTGCGTTCACAATGTTATACAGAAAAATATTCTTAATGAGAAATACTTCAAAAATCCACATTGTCCCTGGCACTCTGGGATGGATTTTATAAGCCTTTTTCATTAAGAATATTATTTTTGGTCAAGTCATTTAGTAACGATTGTCAATGCCAATACAAATGAGTATCTTCATAACATAATTTTTATACAATGGGGTCATTGAAATATTAAGATAGAAATAGCTAAATAAATAAATAAAAATACCAACTTGCAAGCGATTTGACTAGTATTATTAAAAATAACTTAATATTATTAAATAACATTACAGAGATCAAGTTTAGACACTACTGACCTGAATAAACATAGCGTAAGAGAGCCTTGAACGCTTGTAGTGGGGCTTGTAATTCAACTTCAGCCTGAGAAAAAACATCAAAATATTTAGAAAGTAATTAACAATTCAAAAACCTTGAACTTATACCTATAGAATATTGTTATAGTATACCTGATTGGCTTCCCTCATACCACCATAGAGGAGTGCCCTAAAATAATCACTGCTTGCAGCTAGTATCACTTTGTGGGCAGGAATCCGCTGCCCTTCCACTATCAGGGTCACATCTGAGTACTCTGATGACAGACATAGAGATCCTATGTGCTCAGATAAGTGAGCTAAAATTGTCAACAAGAGAATACATTAGTAAATATATTTTAATTCATACCATTATTTTAATCTGTACTAATATTAACGCGCTAATATTAATAATAAACGCGCTAATCTCAGGAACTACTGGTTCGAATTGAAAAATTATTTTTGTGTTGAATAGACCATTTATCGAGGAAGGCTTAAGGCTATATAGCATCACGCTGCAACTATTAGGAGTGAAGAAATCGCTTGCGGCTACTAGTTATGTAGTATATGGCTCTCAGAACTTTTTATTGCCACCACCTGATATCCAAAACTCAGCTGTCAGGGCCCATGTTTATTTTTTATACATATATCAACTAAAGACATATAATAAAACAATTATCATACTGGTTTGGGGCAAACTATACAATTGCACAAGCACATTAGAGTGAAATACAAGTAGAAATCTCATAACATTACATTGGCTAACAAAACTATATAAAGAAATCCCATACTTATATGCTCTATATCACCGACACGTGAGCTAGGTGTGTTGTTCACGTTCATATACTGACGCTGGCTACTCATTGTAACTGAGCTGGTTAACAAACCCTGAAAAAATAACACTTTCTATAAGATCATTTAATAAATGAAAACCGACTTTTTTCAGTTTCAGATAGAGTATGGAAAATGTATAAATCATTTATCATCTGACATTCAAAAAGTTAAAACACTGTGACTATTATTATTCTGTTTAAATTTTAATAAATATGATTTTTTTTGTGTTCTAAGTAACACTTATTTGAAAATGTCTGCCATTTGACAAGTAAGGTTGCCACAGAAAATCAGCATCGGGCTGTCTGGGACATGCGACAAATGCTGGTCTTTTGGTTAGTGTAACGCAGTGCTTGCAGTGCACAGCATGTTAAGGATAAGGTGAGTGAAAGGTCTTTATTTAATGAGCATGTCTTATACATCTTCCTTATTCTTAATTTCTTATAAAACTTCCAATTCTTCTTCAGATTTGAACATCAAATCATATTTAATAGAAGTTGATCTTTTACAGTAAATTTGCTTTCAGAAATGATATTCTAGTTTTCTGAAATCAGAAGTTTGAAGAATGGCAAGTTTATTTTTTATATTAAAATTGTGAACTCTGCTTTTTTATCAAATTTCAAAACCAAACCGGGGGAGGATCATCATCATTATCATCAGCCGTACGACGCACACAGCAGATCATAGGCCTCCACCATTAATCTCCATGCCGATCGATCCTGTAATGTCCGCATTATCGCTAGCAATACACACTGATCGAAGACTTTTATCTTGAGACACTGAGGTAATTTGGACGAGAATATTTTTTGTAGCTTCCCAAACGCTGCCCACCCGAGCTGGATTTGACGAGAAATGTTTTTCCTGGTGTTAGACTAGCCTATCTGGAGTGTCTGTCCTAGGTACACATAATGTGCAACAACTTCAAGAGTAGTGAATTTGGATACAACATGGACATTTGACACGATTGTTGTCTTATCCATGTTCATCTTAAGACCCATTCTTTGGGACGGACTAACGAGATCTTTGAGTATGGTGTTCAGGACCTCTAATGTCTCAGCCATTAAGAATGGCAAAGCAACAATACGGCATCGGCAAAGCAAAGTTATGTTAGATATATTCGCCTTTAATGTGGATGGCTTTTCCTTTTCAGTTCAGATGTTTGATAATATCTCTCAACGGGTCAGTTCAGGTCGGGTCGGGTCGGGTCGGCTAAGCTTGACTCAGGGCTATTTGGCAGGTGTTTGCGTGTACTATAACTGTCCACAGAAACTCTCGATCTCCTTCAAGATCTCAACTTTCAGTAAAATGACGCTACCATTCATCAGATTTAAGCTTCATCGTTTTTCTATAGGTATGAGGTAATTTAGAGCTTCTCGTAAGTTGCTCATCCGACCTGTGTTTTATCTCAATCAGCAGCCACTTTTATTCGTTCCGTATTAAATCAGCGCGTCATATGTCAAGGATTTGGATATTTATCTATTTAAAAGCCGATAATAATTTGCTTCTATTGAGTTTTGTAGCCTCATTTCGTATCTAGTTTTTATGAATTAGAGTGTGTCATCAGACAATTTCTTTGTCCTGGGTCGGCGGGTTGCGAAATACTAAGTAAGCCGTAAAAATGTCCACCACCATGCTGTTAAATCGTCCACATCTAAGTTGTTCTCAAGGGCTTCAAAGCAGTTCTGAATCTAGAGTTGAAAGTTTTCGGTGTTTTGGATTTCGATTTCATCTTTCAAGATCTTTCAAGCTTCAATTATTTTATGTGCCTGTGTTCAATGGGCATGACGGTTTAAATAGAGTTAATTGTATAAGTTTTTTTAAGGAACTATAATGACGAAAATTAGTATTTAGTAGTTTAATCGGCTGAGAAGTGAAAAACTATACATATTATATCCCGAAAACGAGAATTTAAAGGAATGAAATTGGGAGTGAAGTTTTTATAAAATGTTGTTATAGTTACCACAGTTTACAATTTAATTTGTTATTTTAATAAATCTATCTAATATTATTTACAAAGATTTTACTATACATAGTTATATAACACAATTTTTAATAAAAATTACATGTTTATATGTCTATTATTTAAAATATTCAATTGCAAGTCATCAAAACTAATATCATAAAGAGGAAAGATTTGATTGTTTATTTATTTGTACTGTTTATGCTCTGAAAGTACAGGATAGATAAAAAAAAATCTAACAACCAGTTACATTGTACTCAAGTGACATACTGGATTGATATTTGTTAAATAGTATCAGTTTTACAGAATTCTAAATATATTAAAGTAATAAAAAACTAGTGACATGTTAAATAACAATTTCACTGGGCCTTATCAAATTAACATACTTGAAATTTCAAGTCTATGAAGACTTGAAATTTCCTGACATTCCATTGAACACAAATGTTAAGTTGACAAATTTTAATGAAAATGGCACTGAAATATCATTATAATAGATAAGACTCTGAATTAAAAAAATGAAGTCTTAACTATACTTTGAATTAGGGGGAGGCTTATGCCCAGCAGTGGCGTCTCTCGGTTGATACGATGATAATAAGTAAAAAGTACATAAAACAAACATTCATGATCCATTTGAGAGATCTAAAATACTAAAAATAATGAAATTTTTACAAATCTTAAAAATTTCCAGACTTTCTCTGATTTTTCAGTAAGTGGACATCCTGTTAATGAATTATTATTATTTTAATATCTGACAAAACATTCAGCCCAACATAGCTCAGAGTCGATCTTTTTACTATAGGAGATGGCAACCCTACTTGGAATATTTTTCTTTTAATGTGGTTGTTCTTTAGCAATAAAGACAAAATAAACATAAAATATTACACACAACTACACTTAAATACCAGTGTTTACAAAAAGTAGATTTAAGATCTTTAAGATCTTAAGATCTACTTTAAGATCTTGCTAGTTCTCACTTGAATCTGATCAAAATCTATTAAATGCAACAGAAAGTAACAATATATAGAATGAAAACTGCAACTGAACAATTGTGAAGATATACATGAGACATATAATTTGCACATAGAAAAATACTGTATACCTGTATTACTTTATTTGGACAAGCAATATCATGTTTTCAAATTAATTAACAGATAAAAACTGTTATAAAATATTGCATGAATACATGAATCATGCCGCGGTTAGTAAATCGTAATAAAAGTTGAAATAAAATTATTGTATTGCTAAAGGTATAAACAAAGCTGTCATGGAATATTCTAGACAAAAGTAATGAATGATTACTCTTCGAATCGGGCACAGTCACATTTATTTTAATAACACTCAATCACCTTTGATTATTTCGGAAAATATTGCGTGCAGATTATACAGAAATCAAAATATATTCAGAAGTTTAAGCTTTTCAAATAATTGTTTAATTACCTAAGATTTTAAGTCTCTAAAACATGACAGTAAATTGAATTTTTTTTATCGTGTTGTGTTATTTAAGTATATTTTCCTTGAATTTATAACTTGTATAATCTATTTTCCACTCACAAGAAAATTATTTATTTTGACATTAACTTTGCATTAAAAGAACAGTATATGGATGCGACTAGCGATGGGCGATTATATATTACTTAAAAAATCGAATTAGTCGATTATTCGTCTTAGTCAATAAATGTCGATTACAATGAGGAAGTATTAAAAAAATAAAAAATTAGTTCTTGAAATCAAACTAGATGTCACTCGCGATGTTTAGATTTTGTTTATGATATTAATTTAAATTTTGTATCTGACATAATGAAAGTAAATTGTCTATCGAAAATTAATAAATATGACATCGTTTTGTGTTTCTTATAATATGTAACTTTCAAATTAATTTTAATTTATTTTAGTCGTGAGTTTAAGTTGTTTAAGTTAGGTTGTAATCGGCAAGAAACTCAGCAAGAGCTGCTTTTTTAATTTCAACTATACAACTCAACTATACTATATTTGGGGGAACGTAACGACCTAACGCACACGACACCACCGCAGAGATTTTAAGAGAGCATCACTACCCTAGGTACTTAGTTGATAATATATTTCAATAAAACTGATTTCTAGAGTAGGTTGTGTAGGAAGTTAATCTAATTAACAATATTATTGTAAGAACCAAAAAGCACATACCCACCGTACGAATTAACTTAACACATGGCTCGACGTCCGCCGTCGACATGCTTTAAATACTTCCTAACTTGGATATAGCACTTCGCATTGCTCTATCCAGTGGCGTAGCTACCAAGGGGCTAGGCGGGGCAGTGCCCCGGGGCCCTCAAGCTCAGGGGGCCCTCGAATCTTTACCAAAAAATCTCAATCGAACTCAACTTTTGAAACATTCTCCCATTTTCAAAATAAATATGACAGGTGACAACTCGAGTTTAATCATGGCAACTCAGTTGTGAGAAATTCCAAAGTTATAAAAAGGGGAATTCCCCTAAATTATTTGTGTGGGTTGACAGTGTTATTAATGTTTTCATCGATTTATCGGATATCAATATCTGCATATTATTATTTATCGATATGCGTTTTTGTGATTCGCGATTGTGAACTTCGAGTCAAGATTTTTTTTCGAGAATGGTTTAAAAGTTAATGTATCAGGAATAAGTAAGCGTATGTCAATAATTTTTTTTGTACTGGTCCATACAAAACTTTAATTTTATTTTATAATACTACGTATACATAGTTACGTAAAGAAATCTATAGATTTCGGCTATTCACTATATAACTAAAAATACCGTGACAAATACAAGTCACATGCGGTAGAGGGCCGTGCATTAATTCCGTGATGTTTTTTTGTCATTTTTAAACAGTTAAATGTGGTAGCACTGGCATAACGATAACATGTTTGCCGGGGATTCCCCAACGACGTCTTGTATTGTATTATTACGTTTCGCTTTCCTTTTACTTGTAACGTTGTCAGTGAACAGTGAGTACCTACTTGAGTACAATCTTACATAAATAAATTTGAAAACTAATATTATGGACAAAAAAAAAGAAACCCAGTGGTGCATTTAAACGCAAACGATGCCAAGAAAGAGAAGAAAGTAAACAGAAATTGCCCAAAATTGACAAGTTTTTTAGTCAGCCTTCTGCAAGTACTTCTGGACAAAATATTTCTATTGATAATTTTTGTAAATAGCTTGCGATAGGTTAAAAAACAGTTAGCCGGTGCAACGTATCTATGAATAAATAAATATATAATAAACCCTTGAATCTTTTCTATTTCGTTTTATTGCTTAATACCTACACCAAGTACAAAAATAATTGTAATTTATGTTGTTAGTGTTTAATAGTTTTATTACCTACCTGCCCATGCACGAAAAAGAGCTAATGATAAAGTTGCTTAGCATTTTTAAAGTATTTGTATATTTAATGATTTTACTTCAACCTTACCAGTTTTGATAGCAGTGGGCCCCATTTTTTTATTTGCCCCAGGGCCCTAGGTTACCTAGCTACGCCACTGGCTCTATCATCATAATCAGCCCTGTTACGTCTCCACTGCAGGAGCTCAGGCCTTCCTTATGGATATTTAAAGACGATGAGCCATGACTCTCCACACGGGCCTAATATAGATTGGATGGTATTGACGACTGCAGACGCAGCCGGACCAATAGCTTTTCTGGTCACCATGGCTCTATGGATTGCGAAAGATAGATCATCTTATAGTACCAGGGACAAAGTGGACTTTTCAAGCATTTTTTATTAAAAATATTTTTTCGGTGAAGCATTTTCGAGTGTATAATTGAGAAAATATAATATGATAACCTTATAATTGGTACACACTGCTGTTTTTTGCTGAATCGTATGTACTCCTCACTAAATCATGGATGATAAATATAATCTAGAAACTGATAGAACCATCCCCTTATTCACAATCATACTAATAACGGCAAAAAACCGATGTAATGAGGACTATAGAGCTCAAATCAAAAAGTTGCATTTGCATCAGGAGAATAAAGGTAACAAATATGACAGTGAACTTAACTAGCGTATCGAATTTAAGAGGTCAGTAGGGGCGGCAAAAATTGAATAGCCTACGAGCGGCAAATTTATAAATCCGCCACTGAGAAACTGCTATTTTCTAAAATATGTAATCGAAATTTCTGTTATCACATGACAATAGGCTTATTTGAGATTTTGAACTAGTATTATTTGCAAGGTCTCTTTCATCCTAAGAGTATATCCATAATATAATGTTTAATTTGTTAAGGAATGTGATTTTGTTTTGTATACTCTATGGTGTGTTAAGAATTCTAATTGATAAGTAGTCTGGGCGCTCCTTCTGTTGCGCTTGCTGCGTTGTAGAAAGATGTCTTATTGTGCGTTGATTTGTTTAACAAATAAATAAAAGTGATTATTAAAGATATAAACTATTGTCATTTTGTCGAGCATAACAACATAATTAATCTATGTAAACTAGTTTATAATATAAAAGTGTTACAAAAGTCGAACTTATTATTGTCACCCTCTTAGAAAGAGACAAATAGCCTCTGCATTACGTATCTCAGCTCGCCTCCCTTTTTATCTGGTGGTTATCGATCCTGTTAGTATGTTACGTTCATGGCAGTCACACAGAGTTGCCACCTTTTAATAAAACCATAGGTCTGACCAAACTATAAATCTGAGATCTCATCCGAAAGGTGATCAAAGAGTACAGTAATAATACGGGAGGTGATGTTAATGATTGGCAACCATATGAGCGGCATCTAACATAAACTTTGGCGCCCTTCTTGGTCGAAGCGTACCGTATTGGAATGTTGCCACATGTAACGGAATTTGGAAAAATGTTTATTATACTTATGTGTTCGGATCCATTTCGTCTCTCATTGAAATCACTTACAAAGATATTTACTGTATAGATTTTTATCAATGATATGTGCATGGATGCACACGCCTCGATGACCCGACCAAGGTCACGCATGAACCAACCAAGATCGCCTGGTTGGAACCCAGACATCCCATTGTGTGCGCGTCACAATTTTAGTTTAGCTAACAGCATCTCTAGTAGTAAACATAGAAGCCTTTGTATATCATAATAATCTACAACGTTCGCAGAGCTTGCGAAACACAAGCTTTATATCACCAAAAACTATATTTCTGTCTTCGAATCTATTTCCTTCTCATCCTTTTAGCGTACCTGTGATTAGTCCCTGATGCATTATTTATTGTATTTAATTACAACTTCAATCCAAAGAGTAGTATTATAATCTGACTTGATACGTTAGATAGGTGCACGTAGAATAGATCTAACAGCTCTTCTCAAATGACGCCACGTGTCCACGACGGTCTTTTAAAAACTATTATTCTGGTACCTCTCTTAAGAAATTAAATCATTATAATTAGCTATAATATGAATTATCATGACTATATTCCATTCTGTCAAAACAAAAATAAACAAAGCTTGATTACTTTTTAGTCTCCTCAAATTTTGTACTTCATTTCAAGATTAATGTTAAATAAACTAATGTTATGAAGAGGAAATATTTTATTGTTTGCCTTGAATTAGCTCAGAGAATACGAGACCGGTTTCAACACAATGACGAGAAAAGCAACCCAAACAATACTCGTACCTAAAGGAGATTACTGAAAAATCTACATTGTTACAATGTTTTCAATAGGTTTTCTTTTTTATTGCAGATTTACACTATGGTATTCTTTACGTTAAACTTTTTCATTGACGTGGTATAATTTCTTAGCAAAGTATACTTTACACACGTGGTATATTTTTCTACTTATGTTATGACAAATTCAATGAGAACAAAACCTCTTTGAATCGTAGCGGGATATTAATGAAAGATGTCCACGTTTCCGGTGTTTCTAAGTTTAGAAAATCTGAAATTAATAGTCGTAAACCTTTATTTACATACTAAATCCTTTGAATAATGCAATAGTTTAATATTCATCATAAATTAAAGCTAATAGTACTAAAGTACTCGAATATTTTATAGATACAGGAATATTAATTACATTTGAGAGTGAAAGACTGCGTTTGCATTTCATGAAGTTAAGCTTATTATGATATATAAATCTTTATTTTTCTCTAAAGTTATATTTACTATTTTTTAAGAGTTGCTGAACATTTGAAAAATCGCAACCGATTTATAACATTTTCAACAGTAAATATCTTGGTCTTCATTTCTAAAAATATCTTTAGAATACCAAAAGTTAGTGCTGACTTTTTTAGCTGAATAATCGGGCGCGAAAGCTTCGTCACGTAAATGCTCTCACCTGATTGGTTAAAGATTTCGATTGTACCAACATACGGAAAATTATTACAATTTGGCAATGTTGTCAAATTATTACCAGTCGTCCCAGGCAGGTAAATATCGTCGCGTTGTAGAAATAAATTTATTTTTTAATGGTTTTTCATACGATTATGATGTTTATTGTCTTAGAGCGATATCAGAAGAGTTGTTCTTTTTGCTGATACTAATAAATGTAAGTACAAAATTTGGATATTTGTGTTTCACGAACTTTTTTATAGGAGGTTGTGGTTCTGTAAAAGTAGCTGCACAAATTGATAGAGTGCAATCTTTGCGAAAGAAAAATATAAAGACAATCTCAATGTTACTAAATTATATAAACTGGAATTAAATCTGTTAATATTGTAAATGATTACATATATATTTTGTTGGACGTTCAACTGTAATTTATAAATGTTGCTTATTGAGAGATATCAGTGCGCCTAAATGATTTTTGTGTTAGCGATATTTTATTTTTACATACATTACAGGTCATCAGTAATGGTTTACAAGAATTAAAAAAGTATCTGTAATGAATTCACTAACGTTCTCGAAGTCGAGAAATGGAGAGACAGCAGTGTAATTCACTTCAAAACTTTGATGAACCTAAAACTGAAATTTTGAAAAAAAGACTATTGAAATCGAATAATACTTCCATTGGTGCTAACTTTTCTCAAAATACATCGCAACATAATGTGCTATTAAATACCATACGCGTGAGTGTTTCACTGATATAACCATTTTGCTATTTTTGTTTGTATACTTAGTAGTCCATAACCTTGTTGTCATTTTTCAGGCGCCAATATCAAGCAGCATGATCGTGTCCTCTGTGCATGCTCCACAGAGCTCAATGCCTATTACTCACAATTTAGTTACTCATTCCATAGCTCCTGTAAAAATTCATACAAACAATTCTCCTTACCCATTGCAATTATCAACGGTTCATGTGCCAGTACAGATACCTGGTTCTACATCAAATATCAATGTTCCTGTACAATTATCAGGAGCGACCAGTAGTGTTCCCTTACAAATTGCTCCAGTAAGTTTACCACTGCAAGTGTCTGGCTCTACTAGTGTTCCCGTTCAATTGTCTGCTGGTGATACAATCAATGTCCCACTTCAAATACCTGCCAGCCAAAACATCCAACTAACTGGTCCCACATTACCTTCTATGCCCTTACTTCAAAATCCAAGCCAACCCCTACACAGTTCAATTATACATGTACATATGGGGTCTAACCCGAGAACAACAAATATGGATGGTGGTTCTGACATGACTGTTTCCAGCACATCTCAAATCCAGTTACCTGATTCATCAGGAGTCCAAATGAAATTGAATAATGCCACATCAGTCCCCCAAGTTCAGGTTGGGACAAATTCTACTGTAATGCAGATTCCGAGCTCGTCCAATAACCCTATACAATTGGCTCTGCCAAATAATGGAAGTGCTAGCACTGTGCAACTGAGGGGTGCAGCACGACCTGTACCCCATATGGTATACATACAAACTCCAAATGGCCTCAAGCCTGTCACAAGTACAGAAGTCATAAGCCAAGCAAGTACAAGTGGAAACCCCCCACAAATTATTGTCAGGAGACCTGTAAGTATTTTATTATTTTGTTAGTTTTTTTTCTGTGTCATTACCCATGTAAATTAATAGTCTGTCACCCATGTTTGCTGTAGCTTTCATTGATGGAAGAATTTTAAAATCATTTTTGAAATTCAGAGCCTATTCAATGCAAAAAACAAACATCGTTTCCCTTTATAATATTAGTTTAGATTGCATATTATAAATTTTCTATATAATAATAAGATTCATTAATTTATTTCCTCTATTTGATAAAAAATATAAAGATACATTTAATCATGTATCATTATAATATTTTTAAAATAAGAGTAAAATATATATGCCTTATTAATAGTATAACAGGAACCTTTTTTCCAATCTTGTTTTTCCAATGTTTTTAAGATGTTGTCTGTATAACTATTTTTTACATGATTATTTCACAAAAAATAACATTGAATCATGTTTATCTAGCTGATAAATATTTTGCAACTCGACTGATTTGGTCTTTAGCCATGTTGAATCTATGTAGATTAGATTCCTTAGTTTCCATTATAAGTATTTAAAAAAAAAACTTGCAATTTTTTTAGGTATTATATGTACCTACTTAAGAAAAATGTTCAACTACAAAAATTAAACCATAAAACTAGATATTGCTTATTCATTTCCAACATCTGTGGAGTGAAAGCTGCATTTATTAAAATTAATTACTTTGTTTAAGTAAAAAGTAGATTATGCTCTTTGGAGCTCTAATGATTTTGATTTCATCCTGATCTCTTTGATGTGTTCATACTACATTGAAATCGTGTTAATTATATTATTATTAAATTTTGCATTCACTATGCTATACTCAAATATATACTTAATGAAAAATGCTTAAAAAATCTACTCACCCCAGGTCATCTCAGAGTAGGTTTGCAATTGTAATTAATATATTATATGTTGTAATGATAATCTGTAATCATTTATTATTTGTTTCTAAACAATTTCTTAATAAACTAAAATATTTTGCTCATAATGCAGTATACATAGTAAAAAGCTCTTCAAACTTTTTATACTAATTTGAATACTTAAATGTTTTTAAATAAGGGATAAAAATAAAATACTTGTTTGCTATTACTATGTTATGTATTACTTTTTTATTATAAAAAAACATTTTTTTTATCTTTTTCAGGTTACAAGTAGTTCTAACTACCTTATTTCTAATGTAAGCAATAAACCAAATATTGCACCAAAAGTTACTCAAAACAAATCCTCTATACTAGCTCCTGTTAATGCTACACAGCCTATTGTTATCCAAAAACCGAAAACCACTGAAAAAATGGTTGTTCCAGTGAGTATTGCTCCTCAAGGGAAACAGGCTATAGCTTATCTTGGTTCAGTAAAGAAATCCACTCCTAAAAATTTAACCGAAAGCCAATCAATACTCATATCCCATAATCAACCAAATGTCACCACAAATAATCAAAAACTCTTCTTAACACCTATGAATATGCCTAAGATTCAAAACACCAAGTTTATATTGCCTGTAAATTTACCTGCAAGCATGGCTTCCAAAGGACCAATAATAAATCTTCAGATAGCGAATGGTCAAATCCAAAATGATCCTCAAGGGAGTATAACAGTTATGAGAGATACTGGTGGTATGGAAAATGCAGAAATGCCACCTCTACAACCACTTGCAAAAATGGTTAATATGAATGGTAAAGAAGCAAATCCTGTGCCTCAAAGTCCACAAACTGAGAAATCGTTTACATTATCTATACCAGGGTCAAGAGCAGAGCCAACCGGAGAGCAGGGTGAATATACTCTCTCTATTCCAGAAACAAATGCTTCCATGAATGATGATATCTATACAGTGTCTATAGCTGATGATGATGGTGGTCAAACTCGTGAGAAATCTTTTACGTTGGCTATACCGGAAAAAGGGAAAAGCTTGTTAAAAAATATGATGGATAAAAATGAAACATGCACAGGACCTGCGGCTCCTGCAATATTGAGACGCTCGAACTCCGACAATAGCGAACGAAAAACTGTAAATGCTAACATTAAGCGACGCATCTCTTTATGTACAGATAACTTCTCAAACAAAAATTTTAAATTCAATACGCCTCATACAAAAACAATTGACAAACATTCTGAAATAGATGAATCCGATATTAATGACGATCATCGTGTTCCATCTCTATTTTGTGATGAAAAATTAGATAAAGATTTGGAGGCTAAGGTCAACTTGGGTGATTCAGACCCCGAAGATTATAAAGAAGGCAAATCTGATGTCAGCTTAGACAAAAGCAATGAAAACTTGTGTTATCATAAGTTTGAGGATTTTGTAAAAAGAGACAATTCCTTAAGAGTTAAAAGAGAAAGTCTGGATAGTACATTGGAAGAAGATCCGCCAGGTTTGATTTGGAGCAATGGAATTGCTTTATTGCAAGGTAGTAATTTACAATTCCAAACAAATGAATTTGGCCTTATCGATCTCATTGTAAACAGTGATAATGAAGACATGTTGATCAACCCAAACACAAAATATCATACACCCTTAAAGCAACGAATAGAAAGAAACAACAGGGATAAAAAACCCACTTCCCCTGAAGATATGTACCGATGTGACGGATGCGGCTGTCATGGTATGGCTGCAGAATTCATAACTCCCAACTTTTGTAGTTTAACTTGTCAAAATGATGTTCAGAAAGCTTTGCAGAAGAAAAAGGACAGGGAGCGGATAGAATTGACGAAAAAGAGGAATAAAATGAAGAAACTATTAATGCGCAAACAATTGTCGGATCCCGACCTATTCTTAGAAAGCAACGAAAAGGCTATGACTAAAAATTATGATTCTGCACCATCCGAGGGTTTGACCGACGTGGCGATGATGAAAATAGGCGAAGACTCCTTCGAGAACGAGAAGTACCCGTGGATGTGTGGCAAAAGTGGGTTTTCTTGGATGCGATATTTGGATGTGTGCAAAGCCAAAGATGCGCCTGCTAAACTATTTAAGGATCCATTCCCGTACACTCGGAATGGGTTCAAAGTGGGGATGCGTTTGGAGGCGATAGATCCTCAGCATCCGTCAATGTTTTGCGTGGTGTCTGTAGCGGAGGTGCAAGGTTTCCGAATGCGATTGCACTTCGATGAGTATCCGGATATGTACGACTACTGGGTGAACGCCGACTGTATTGACATATTTCCGGCGGGCTGGTGCGAGAAGAACGGACGTACTCTGAAGCCGCCCGCTAGTTATGCTTCGTCTTCATTTTCTTGGCCGTTGTACTTGAAGCAAATCAAAGCGGTCGCTGCACCCAAACATTTGTTTCCACATGTCACCAGTTCAGTGAGTATATTAGTTAATGCTTTTTTAATGTTAATGACTTTTTAGATATGTATTATTTCACACTTTAAAGGTTTGAAGGAGGTTCTATTTATTTAAAAAATACATAAGAATGAATATTCAATGCTCGATGCAACGGCAGTGTATTCAATAATAAATAAGTGATAGGATTGTATATAAACACTTACAAACTTTAATATATTAATACACTCACTAGTAGCTAAAACAAGTGCTTGAAAAATTCGTTAGTCCTGTCAGGTCAGCGGTTAGAGCAGTTGCCCGGATTGCGAAAGGCCGTTTTTTTGAGTCCCATTAGTACTTAAGCCAAGTGATTTTTTAAAGCATTTTTCATTAAATATTTATAAATAAATCATTATGCAGATATTCAAGCCGACATGCTTCCGTGTCGGTATGAAGTTGGAAGCTGAGGACCGTAAAAACGAACTGGTGTGCGTGGCGTCCATAGCAGACATGATGGACTGCCGGATGCTGATCAACTTCGACAGCTGGGACGAGATGTACGACTACTGGGTCGACCCCACCTCGCCATACATACACCCCGTCGGGTGGGCTGAAGAGAACGAGGTGTCATTGACCCCACCAAACTGTGAGTATTCAATACAATAATATTTTAGAGTGTAGCATGTTAAGGGGGCATCTATCTCATAAGATAGATATAAGCAGCAGTTCCTATTAATGTTCTGGCAATCTATCTTAACCAGGAAATAATAATCTTAATAAGTTTGTAATTTAATAGTTATTAATATAAAAAAAAACATGGATTCAAAAGTTTTTAAGCTAAATGATTAAAGTGCTAAATGAATTAAATTGATAACGCATTGTGGCTCTTATTAACCTTCCGCTGACATCTGTGTCAGAGTTAAATTCCACTTTTTACCAAATACATTGCCTGCCTACACACACCCAAGACGCCTTGCTTCGGTATTGTTGTGAAGACCTTTTGTCATTACACTATCAAACATTATTCTTTATCGACTTATTATTTTTTTTTATTATGCAATACAAACGTCATGGATATAAAATATTGCAGAAATTGCCTGCCCTTATTTATTCATTGAACAACATCAGAGCAATAACAATTCATCTTCAAAGATTGTGAAGTCCATTAATAATAAATTATGTAATAATTATGCATTCAATAACATCACTCTCCCTGGTAATGTTAGATGATTGATAAGGTAACAAGTACCTTGTGATTTTTTTTTCAGTATGGACTTGTTCCGTTATACACGGGAATTAACCACTCGTTTTAATTACTGTTATTTTATTTTAAAAATTCCATGTCTAAAAAAAACAACTGAAACCCATGTGGTTCTAGTTACCGAGTGTATATAAATATTCACTCAATTGTCGGACTTCCGAAATTATTGGACCAATTATGCTGGACACCACAAATAAGAAATATAGTAGTAGGTACCCAAATACGAAAATATAACGTATGTTAGCGCCTGAATCTAAACGTTTGAATTAGATGGCGACTGTACATAATTCAACAAAACAGATAAATTTATCTGTTTTGTTCTGCTCCTATCATGTCTGCAGTATTCAAAAGTGTAACATTCCCGCTTTTTAAGCGATGCACATACCTACGTTGATTTTTAATGGGCTCGATTCCAGTGTTTTGTCTATAAAAGCTGCTGATTATGTAAGTGAAAAATACCGGTCAAATTTTAAAAAAAGGACTCGCGTAACGTTCCTACCATTATCTATAAAAAAGAACACTTTAGTCATATGGGAAATTAAATATCTATTTTTATTCTGTTTCCTGTATTTGCTGTTATAGTGACAACAGAAATACATCATCTGTGAAAATTTCAACTGTAGTGATTCAGGTTCATGCCGGTAACAGAAAGATGAGTTTCAGTAACCCGTTTTTATCCTTTGGGTACAGAACCCTAAAAAAATATTAGCTTGATATTAATTTGTTATATTTCAATCACCATTATGTAATGAATTTTAGTGAAACATTAACAGCCAGTCTGCATGTGATGTATGTGGTAAACGTGCATAATTATTGTGTGACGTACGGGAAGTAAGTATTCGCGTTTCCCAGTTCGATGAGGATAGTCGGACGCGTGTTGTGTTATTGTGCGGTTTTACCGTACGTTTCATAAAGACATTGAAATATTAATAGGTGCGAGTGATGTTTATACCTATGTTTTAAAATTATTAAAAAAAGAATAAATCTATGTGATAAAAGTCTTGAAAATTAACTTGACTTTAACAAATTCGATGGATAGTGTTATTATTATATATTAAATTTTACTAGTGCGTGTTGACACATTAACATATAAACAAAGTGAACAAAGAGTTTTAATGACAAATTTTACATTCATACTTTTTTTTATTAGAACACGCTCTCGTGTCGTTCGCAGTTATGAATCCATTTATTTGTGTAATTATCAATAATAATTAAAAAAAAACTTATGATAATTTTGATTTTATGAGCTAACGAAATAAATAAAATTAACATATCTGATTTAATATTTATTACTTTAATATTGTTTACTTAGTCTAAATACTTATTATTAGCACAAGTAAAAGTCGAAAATATATCCATCGACTTGCAAATTGTACAACGAGAGACGTTGTGCTGAGAAAAAGCAAGATATTCAGCTAGAGCTGTTTTTTCCGTATGCTTAGTTTCATGTAAAGTCGTGGCAATGAAACAATGACTTCAAGAGAATGAAATCACCTCCCATTAAAATAGTTGTGAATAATAGCAAAACAAATAGTTTCGCACAAAAAAAAGTATATATGTATATATATATAATGCTAAAGTAATGTTATAGTTTTTGCTGGCGCTTTCTTGGCGTACTACTCGTACGAATTCACTTAACAACTGGTTCGAATGGCTTTTGTTCTAAGTACAACGTACAAACATTGTCATTTCTATCTCGATCATGTATTTTATAAAAAAAAAACTGAGATACGATAATAAATCTTATGATAGAGAAAAGAAATCATCAATCAACAAAAAACCTAACGAACACATTCTTAAGTAGGATTAAAATCCGATATCAACAACTAACAGCAACAGTGTTATTAATAAACAAGGTTTACTGTCAGAGTAAATTTACGCTAAAATTGAAATTTTAGTTTTAGCCCAAATTCATATTATACAGAGAATAAGCAAACCTACTTACTACCTTCTAGTAGTAGATATTACTGCCGTAGAATCTCGCATTAGGTTAACCTTTGCCAAGTCTCTGTTTAATAATATGCCTTTAAGCCAGGGCTTAACGACTTTGCGGTATGAACCAAAAAAGCTTTAAACCAGGGCTTAACGACTCTGCGGTCTGGACCAAAAAGTATAAAGCATAAGCTTATATTATGAAAAGTATAAGCTTAAGCGAGGCCGGTCGGCCGGTAACACCCGGTAGGAGTACCCTCCGGATCCGGCAAGTGGCCCGCCGGGGACGTCCTAGCAGTTATGTCTAGAGTTGGGCAAAGTGTTCCCGTCCGGCGGGCAGACAGGAAAAGGCATTTTGGAAATAAATCTTATTTGCCCGATAAATGCCTTATGAGAGGGCATAAGAATTATATTGTTTAGCTATACGATTAAGCTATTAATATTGAATTATTCAAGAAAATAATATTTTAGTATAGATAATTATAACGTAAATAAGCTCATAATCAGTCTATACTTACAGAATAACTCGTTTTATTGACTAATTCACCATCGCCAAAAATAAACTATTGAAGTTGGACCCATGATTTTAAGTCAGTTGAGTTTTTTGTGTAAATTGTTCTCACTAAGAGAGGATTTTTGGAAATTCAAAACCTTAAAAGGGTTGAAAGTTTGCATGGAAGTCCGTTAGTGTTTAATCATAAATATTAGTGGTCAGAGAACAAGTTTCGCATGTTATCTTATAATAAAAATATATATATTTCTAACTTTAAAACTGATAATTTCATACAAACTTTTAAGTCCTATTAAAAATGCCCAGCCAATTTCCCGTCACGAATCCCATTTTGAGAGTACCTGGGACTGGCGAATTTTCTTAAAAAAATCTATAAGATAAATGTATATTTTGGCTTGTTGCAGTCTACAAAGATCCAGACACCTTCTCTTGGGAGAATTATCTATCGGAGACTGGTGCGTCGGCGGCGCCCCCACGCGCGTTCAAACCTCGCCCGCCACAGGGATTCAAACCGGGAATGAAACTAGAGGTGGTCGATCCTAAGGTGAGAGGTTTTTTTTTACATTTCGGCTATTTCCATAATCTAGTAGTTTGAATCAATTTCACCGAGTGGATTCAATTAAGGAATATCCGGGAAAACTTGCAGTATCACAGATTCTTCTTCCAATATGACGTTTTACCTATCTGAAGTTAGATTTCCCAAAACAATGTGACGAATAGTTTAAAATTAAAAAATGTATTAATAAAGACATGTCTTGAGTTAGCAGATATTGACGTAAAAAAGACGTATAAAATCGTATTGACCTAATTTTATGATAATTTCTTTCACAAACTGACAATATTTGTGTACAATAACATCTTCTATCTGAACTTGTTGTTTATTTTTGTATGCTCACAAATATATAGTAGAAGCCTGCATATAAATCTATTGTATATTTTTTATATAGGTGCCGTTCTTGATTCGTGTGGCCACAATCAGTGCGGTGAAGGGTCACCAAGTGCGCGTATCGTTCGATGGGTGGCCGGATGACTTATCCGTTTGGATGGATGACGACTCACCTGACATGCATCCTGTCGGCTGGTGTCTTAAAACTGGACACCCCCTCGAACCGCCGCTCAGTGAGTGTTTTATTTTCTATTAGTGTTTGTCGCGCAATCGTCCGCGTACACCTCATTCATAATATTAGTAGGGATTGGGTTAATTTTATTGTAATTTTTCTTGGATTATACCATTGACTGCTCATTGGTTTACTACGTTTGCTATAAGGATATTAAGAAACGTTAGCGAATATTGGTCGGACGTGTGCTTCCATAGTGGGTTTCGGTTATATTTACTGTCATTAATATAATTTACATGATCGATAAATAGAAGTTATTGTTTTGATCTGTCACAGTCTATAACATGCTATTTAAATTAAATTGACTTGGATCAACGTTCAATGAAAGGTGTTGTGTTTTAAAGTGTTTAATTAAATACATACAGTACTAACTATTTAAATTAAGATGGTCGCTTCAAAAAGTTTATTCTTAGAGTTACGTGTATGTGTTTTTTTGTAATATTGCCTAAATGCAAGAACAAGACGAGACTTAGCCGGTCTTGGTCTTGGTCTTGGTCTTGGTATTGGCAGCAAGAGTCTCGCAATTTTCTATTAGCCTATTGCTATTTATTACAATAATAATAGTTATTATTTATCTCAACACAAAATGATATACTTAATGTATCGTGTCGTGTGTAGCGGCGGAGGAGTTGAGCGTGACCGGCGGCTGCGGCACGGGCGGGTGCCGCGGGCTGGGCTCGAGCCGCGGCGGCGCGCACAAGCAGCACAACGCCGCGTCCGCGTGCCCGTACCGCCCGCGCGCGCCCGCCCCCGACCGGCTCAGCCCCGCCCACGCGCCCGCACACGCCCCCCCGCACGCGCACGTCATGCCGCGCTCGCGCAGGTACGCACGCACGCACGCACGCACCTATACAACCCTGCTGGTCACTTCTGCTATTATGTTTTGTAATAATCGCATCTCGATAGAATCTCAACTACTCGGATTTTTTCCCTTAAATTATCTACCTGAAGTCCAATATTATTATATATCCGTCACCATCGATGTGCGAGGAAGACATTGCGCTAATAATATAGATAGTATATTATTAGCGCAATATAGATAGTACAATGGTAAAATGCAAGTCGTTGAGATTCTATCGAGATGCGATTATTACAAAACATTAGCAGAATTAGCCTACTGTGCCCCGTTCACGTCGATTCAAGAGAGTTTGATTAAAATTTATAGTGACTCTTGTTTCGGTAATCTTTACGTGTAAAATACAAAGCGTCAAGTGTCCGCCTCGCTAACAGTGGTGGGAACTTCAGTTGCATCTTATTGTACATCGATATCCACAAATGTTGATGTATCATGTGACAAAATAAACATTGATGAGTAATTATTGCATCGATATAAGAAATTGTGTATTTCTTTTCGAAAGATTTACTGACAAATACATAAAGTTCCATAGTAAAATAATAATATGCTAATTAAAAATCTACATAACTAGAAAAAGCTCAAAATTTTTACCTAAAAGAGGAACTCCATAGCCGAGTGAATGGTCCGCCGGTTCCAAGATGCCACCATATCTGAGATCCCGGGATCGATTGTTTTTGGGGTCAACGTACCTTGTGTATATTCATTGTTTCAGATATTCCATAAAATTATGGAATCTGAGCACATCCATTGATGTTTACAATAATTAAAAATACCATATTGTCGTTTTAGTCTGTTTTGATTTGTCTGCATTCTGTTACACAATACTAATCTTTATTATTTTTAGATTCTCAGATCCCGCTCTTCAAGGATTAAATTCTTTAGTTGCCTATACAAAAATAATGTTTGCGATAGATCATATATTTATGAAAATATATTGTTACAGAGTTTTGAATAAACCTCCAAAATCGATTCAAACGAGCACGCCGACGAGTGATTCTGTTAAAGATAACAGGTGTGTAAATATACTTGATATTTTTACAGATATACTGTTAGTTGCGCAAACGTCCATTAAAATTGTCATTAGTTTGTAGCGACGTACTGATACAAATTTGACATATATTAGACCCTAATAGCCTCATTAAACGTTAATGGACGTTTATGCGACTGACCGATAACCATACTTTATAATATACTTTTATGACCAACGATCATTTTATTTGCAGGTCCATAGTACGAGGTAGACCTCCCAAACATAAGCGCATCGAGGAAGTCGGGAAAGGTGTTGTGGTATGTATTGTTTTTTCTATATAAGTAAAGTATGTATAAACCAGTGTAGTTGTGTGTTGTCAACAGTTGGTACAGAGAAAGAGAGTTTATTATATGAGATAATAAGTGTAATAGTTTCATCCTTTGCCTAAAACTTAACACATACCTCATATTGCGGTCATCTGGATTGTGATAGGCTGTAGGCCAGAATCGTTACTAACGTTATTACTAGTTAATTTAAATTTCAAAACATTTTACACTGCTAGATAAAATAATTTTACAGTCGACAGCAAATCAGTACCTCTAATACAGTGTTTCCTAACCTTTTCAATGTCACTACCCCTGTGCACAATAATATAACCACACAATTTAAAATAATATAACCACACAAATTCGAGGTTGGTATTGCTTTGCATTCGCAAGTTTAACAATATTAGATTCGGTTTCACTTGACACGCATCTCATGACATGCTCCACATTCAGACAGTTTCTGGCTTTTGTTTTTAATGTGACAAGAGTCAACTAGCTACCGTACTATTATTTTGTTTATTATTTAAATAGTTTTTCGTGCCAACTCTGTTACCCCCCTAGAATTGCCGTTTTACCCCTGCGGGGGTAAATACCCCCAGGTTAGGAAACACTGCTCTAGTACGAGTTTGTCTTTAAAAACGATAGCTTAGTTTTCGTTAAAACGAAAACTATTTGATTACTATACAGTTTACGATATCGTTTATAGTTTAAGTTAGAATTTATGAGGCATCGAATTCCTCAATAGAACGAACTGGACAGATTTATTGTGGTTTTTTTACACGTTTATAGAAAGAAAAAGACAATAACGAAACCACGGGATAGTTTAGTATTCATTTTCGAAAACTACCTCTTCTATTATTTTGTTTTCATATAGTTCACAACGGCGCCTCTAGCGGAAACCATAATAAACTAAAAATGCTAGTTGTCGAATAGTTTTCGAGTAAATGGCAGTATGAGTTACAAGTTAACCGTCTAACTAAAAGTAATTCTAACGGGAAACGAAAACTATCTTAGAGTAGTCACTCGATTAAAATTTTCATGAGAAAAAGGGGATCGTTCTCTTATGAAACACATAATTTTTATATATTTGATATTGAATTGATTGTCTTTCTTATGGTGAGTTATTAAAAACATAATGGCAGATTAGCGCCAGTGTCGGAAGACTTAGAAGCGGATAACCACTCGCACCCAATCCTATCTCAAAATATACTTGTACAGATCGATTCACGAAAATTTCCTCGCCTAATATTTGTGATACTCACATAGTTGTCGGCATGGATGAATTAGATAGTAAACTTAGAAGCTCACAGAGTCCATGTACGTAGTCAATCAGATTACACTTAGGTATTTTTTACCAAAGTATTTCCCTCTTTGTTTCGATATGTACAAATATTGTATATACATAGTTTGTATATTGTGTCCTCGGTCGCTATTGACAAAGCGATGAGACAGCGTTATTGGTGTTTGGTATTACCTACCTTACATTCCTCGTAACCGTTTCGTTCCGTTCGTTTTTGCTTCTATATTCCTTCAAAAGGTCTATTTACCTATTAATCAAGTGAGTCACAAAGCTACTGAACTACCAGAATGAAAAATAAATTCAATATAGGTATAATACCATTTCGAGATTTATTTCCATTCTTATAATTTATTTATGTATAATGGGAGTCCATGGAGAAGTACTATGTGTTCAGAATGCATAAGCCAAAATCACAGATGAACACTTTTCGAAAAGAATCCAACTTGAAGATACTTAAAGTTTCATCTGGCGAGTGCCAGCTCTTGTTTACAAATTAGATATAAATTCATCCTAGGGGCCATCATCTAATATTATTTAAACAGCTAGTTGCACAAAAATGTACATTCATTAGAGCTTAAAGCTGTCATTAAAACTTAATGGACGTATGTGCAACTGACCGTAAGTCGTCTTTCCTGAAAAAAATAGGTATTAATGTTTTAATATTTGAATGCCTTTAAGTATTGGTATTTCAAAATTCAACTGTTATTCATTACCATTTAATGGGCCAAGATTACATACTAGCACGCAATTAGTGCAGTATTTTTTATTATAAAAATGTCCGTCTTTCTTTTTGAGTAATATTTATTTGATAATTATAATAAACAAACATAACGAAACAACAGTCATGTCACGTTTACGTGTAGTTTGTCAACGATGTGGTAACAAAATAATAAAGCAATAGTTTAAAGTATTGAAGTTTAGACGACAATTAAGTATGTCATAGACATATTCAAAACGTACTAACCAATGTTGCCAGTGCCAATTTTCAGTATCCCGTGTAAGTTAGACAAAAAGCTAATTCTAAAATCGGCCTTGACTAAAATAAAATTATTTAATATTTCCCTCATATGTACTCTCGGGATATTCAAGAACAGGAACGATAAACAGATACACTTTCCCATTATAATATTAGTGTCGATGATATTACACTGTTTTTAAATTATCTTTTATTAAAAATTATATATATTTATTGCATATTTTAATAAATTAAATGAACGATATAAACAGGGTAATTGCCATAGCATTGTAACACTGGATTTCCTATTGGTGCAAAGGCCCGACTACAGGTTCCATATTGCTTCTGGGTAAGCCTAAACAGTATTGAATCGCGTAGGCACGACGAGAGTGTAGCAGAGGCTTAATTAGTAATTGGATAGTTTAAACTAATTTAACTTGTGCTGCTGATTTCTATTTAGTATTGTTATCGCTAGATGCGCTACTGTGAAATGTATGGCAACGTAATTAGTTTTGAAAAACTAAAAAGTTGAACTAGAGTTACAGGTGTTTAATACAAAACTATCAACAAGTATCAAATCAAGTTCAACCTCAATTTCATTAACTCATTAGAACCTCCGAGCCACCACACCCCCCACCGCCCACTAGCACACACACAAAATTAAGTTCTCTATACACCGAGCTATTTATTATAGATATCCGACGACGACTCTCTATCAAGCGGAGGAGGAAAACGTTGGCGCACCAGCGAAGGCGATCGTGCGAGTGAGAGCAAAGATATACATAACAGCGATCAAAACGATCGCTCCGAGAAGGAGGAGCGCGAATCTATGAAGAAGGCGCGTGATAGTGCGGCCGCGTCTGCTGAGCCGCGCGCACATCTCGCTAGACATATCGCCGAGCTAGCGTTACCGCCCGATCCGACCACATGGACAGAGGTATAGTATATTAATTGTAATTTTTATATATAAAAAAAGATGTTTTATGTTTAAATAACTAGAAAGTTATTTTGTCAGCCTTTACTATCCAAATTCATTCATACACTAAAAGTGATTATATCATCTATTAGTGTTAAATCAACAATAAAATTATAATGGTTTTATAGGTGATTTCTATCATTTTATATGTACTTGTGGTGTATTTGTTACTATATGAAATAGATATAGATTTGTCTTTTGATTTATTATATTTTTAGCTGACTATAAAAATGTACAGCGGCTACGGGGCTCAACTTTAATCCAGCCCAATTTCAAAAATTAACCTGTATATATTATAAACAGATTGAAACCGTCTTCAAGTATCCACGTCTTGGAAATGCACATTATGTTATATAATCGGACAAATGCATCTGCAATGAATTTAGTTGATCGTGCTCTCCTCACGACGTGTGTAGTGTAGGTGTAAGTGTAGTGTAGGTGTATGTGTATGATGGTGTGGTGGGTGTGTTGGCAGCGCGAGGTGGTGTCCCTGGTGGGCGGCGTGTGCGGGGCGGGCGCGGGCGCGGCGGCGGCGGCGGCGCGGCTCAGCGGCCGCCACCTGCTGATGGCGTCCCGCGACGAGCTCGCCACCGCGCTGCGGCTGCGGCTCGGGCCCGCCGTCAAGGTATGAGACGGGACCGGTTCAGCCACGTAACTAAAGTAGCAAATGCTACGGGCCCTATGGTTCATAGCAAATTAATCAATTTTTCAAGTCGATATTAAAGAATACAAGTAATAAAATAAGACACGCTTCTGACTAGTCATATTTTAAGTATGAACATAAACTGACAAATGAAGCTTAAGTCACAGATTAGTTGTGTTGTGTTATTTAGAAAGCAGGGAGGGTGTTGCTACGGACCCGCTCTAGCTTAATTCGGCACTGACTGTAAACTCAGCGGAGTTTCTGGATAATGTTATATAATGTGATGTATGCAATGTTATGTTAAATTTGTAACTGTATAAGATTCCTCCAGTAGAAAATCGTTATTTGACTACTTTCATATGTTAAAAATGGTTTACACTAAAATATCCACATAGCGAAATTCGTGTTATGACACAAGGAAACGCTCACGATGCGTTGTAGCATTCACAGAATAACCATATAGCAAAATCCGTCACACGTAGTAGCAATGAACCACATTGATTACGTTAGATTAGAGTATGACAAACCAAATTAAACAGCTAGTTGAACCAATTAATTCTCTCTTAATCTCAACACGTAGTGGCCACTACGTGTGTGACGGGTTTGATGCTTAGGCAAATGAATAAAAGGCTGACTAAGTTTGAAAACTTAATTTATTAGATGGTAATAAGAGAAACTGTTACAAACAAAAAATAAATATAAAAACAGTTCATATGATTACCTTAATATATAATTTCAATAGATAAATAGAACTAATAACATTCCAAACTACTGGACTTGTTTTTTTCTTTTTAGTTTTTAGTGAAAGTAATTATACATATTTTTTCTTCTCTCTTTTGTTTTTCCTAATTAAATTTGCACTTGTGTCTTCAGAGAAGTAGTTCTTAGATGGCACCGTCTTCCGTATAATTTATAACCATCTATATAATTATTCAATACTTATGGTTTTTAAAATGTTGATTATGTCTGTTGATAGGTGTACGCAGCGGTGCGGTTGCTCCGGGACGCGTGCTCGTGATGCCGCGACCTTCGGCAGCGCGCCCTCCACGTTTTAGTGTGAGTGTCACACTCGCCGCGCCCTCGGGCAGTGTACAACTACTGACAGACTGGTGTGCAGTGAGCAGTGTACAGTGTAGTGTGCAGTGCCCTCATATCTAAAGTTTGATGCGGTCGAGATGAAGAACAAAGTGTTTGTGTGACGTTAGTTTCATTTTGTTAACTTCAGTGGTGAGTGTAGTGAAACAATTTTTACCTATGTTTTTCAGAGTTTGACATGATTTAATTTTTATAACTTGAATATTTTCTCTCATCGAGTCTTCTTTAAGATGATCTGTCAATATTATCATATAGTAAAGGTCCTCGGGACCTAGCACAAAATAGATTATTTGTAAAAACATGCTTTAACGGCTGTGGTGGCTATCAATTTTGTGTGAAGTTATAAAGTATATTAATGACTCTTAATTTTGTAGTGTTCTTAATTGAAAATTAGGGATTTATAAATGAATCAATGAGTTAAATAATTTGTGCAGCTTGCTGTCACAGTGGTTTGACATCCCATTTGCTTCATTTTTTATCAAAATCTTAAGTATTTAAATCATAATAGTTTTCCTTTATACTTATATATGCATTTTCACTCTAAATTTAATACCACTATGAGAATCAGGTCATTATTACAAAATATAATCATGACACATTTAACGACAACAAACAGATCAGCCTATTTCAAGACATTTTCTTTATGATAATCATCAGCTTTTATTGAAATGAAGCTGCTGTTACATATTTATTTCAATAATAATAAATTGCCTATTATTATATTAATTTTGTACATAATAATTATTAAGTTTCTTGTGCAATTTAATATTAGACAATTTTTTTTCTTTATCATGATATGTACATTTGTCAGAAGATTTGTTCGTTTTTGAAATTATGTATGAATAACCAATGGACTATGCTGAAATGTTAATATTACTTTCATGCTAAACATTTGCCTTTTTAAATCATTATATAATGAGGTATTAGTCATTTGCAATTGCCTAATGAAATCAAATGAAAGCCTAATGAATCTTGGTATGAGCTACTTTATTTTAGGGTTCCATATATCAAAATTAAATAATGGACACTTAGCGCTATCACTTGGCCTTCAACCTGTCTTTCTGTTTAGACTCTTAAGTTCGGACACGCGAGGTGGTGATGGCGCCATATACTCAAAACTATATTCCCTTGAAACTGTTTTTTATAAGTTAATTTTAACGTAAAAAATTATACAGCAATTTATGCAGAGGGATACAAAATTGATAGAGTACTTCCCATTACCCTAGAACTATGAAATTTGGCAAATAATATTTTTATAAGTTCACATTGAGGGATAAATCTGAAACTATACATTTATATTTCAATCATATAAAAAGATGTATAATAGGGGATCAAAATTTAAAAGTGCTTTATGTGCATACTTTTTGTAACCAACAAATTTATATGCAGAATCCTCAGTGGGCGCATCTGACTCGCACTTGACCTATTTTTTTATTTTACTATGTATGGATGGTATTAACCATAGATTAAGTTTGATTTTATTTTACTTATTATAAGTTTTAATATATAATCTCTACTTATAGGAAATTATAACATTATTTGAATTCAGTTTTGAATTGTTAAAATAATGTGTATTTTTTTACTTAAGTAAGGGTATTATTGATAACTTTGACAATATGGGTTTAGTTGGCTGGAAATTGCCATGTTATTATTTACATTTTACTTAAATTGCTTGTATAATTAATTATTGTTATTCATTTGATTGTCCTTGTTGGTTGCTAGTATAATAACAAGGACTCTGAAATGTAGATTGAGGGCAATTTAATGAAATTTCTTTATTTTAGTACCTATGTAAATAGTACCTACCTTTTGTTTAATTGAAGCATTTCTAATGTAGTCATGGTATGTACAAAGTGAGATAATACCTTTAGTATAAGTTTTTACACTGTACCACAATGTTTAAGTGGTTATTATACATTCCTGGATTCAGTGACTTGGGACTTTACGAATTCAGGATAGTGTAACAACTTCTTGAGTACTAAATAAAATGTGCCATCTAATTTGGCGCAAATATTATATTCTAAACTGTTGTTCTGTAATGTAATAAAAGTTTTGTGAAAGTATATAACGTGATTTCTATTGATTTTGCCACTTAAGATCTATCATGACACTTACTTAGGTCATTTTCTTATCTCTTATTTAACTGGCTGGGATATAGTGGTGATGACTAAAGTAAAAACTTTTATGGATTAAGAAATAATGTGGCGCTGCTGGGCTGACGTCAATCTGGCAGCGTCACAACCCTGGAGCGGCTCGTGAATTCTGGTAGCGCCATCCTCTTGTATTTTGAAATGAGTTATTGCTCAATCTAGATCCTTAACAACACTCCGTTACGAAAAAGGGACAAATAGCCAAGTTAGGTAGCTTCGGAGATCAGATGTATTCAATACGACTAATTCATTAACGCGCTAAAGATATATTTTAACGTGTTAATGAAGGCGCTAATTTATTAACGCGTTAATTCAAAGAAGCGTAATGGTGCGTGAAGATTCATTAATATTTGTAAAAAGTTAATTATTTTATATTGTACGTTAAACAGATTACATGCTATATTAAACAATAACTCGTTCAAATTAAGTCTAAATAGTTCGAAATATATTAAAGCAGTGCTTACTAAATTAAAAGAAAATCGATAAACTCCTCATTATACTTTTCCGGCTTAGGATTGTCTATAATTCAATTATAGGCGTATTTCAAATTTCATTAATTTTATGTACAAGAATCTACTATGTACATTTCGCACGTTGTGAACGATAGTGACAATGCAAAAAATGCGATTTTGAGTAATGAGAGTTTAAAGTTCAAGAAATTGTAATCAGCCCCTCTAAACGACACTACGCCACCTAGCAGTTTCTACACAAGCTTCACGCAACGCAACGTTCACAGGGATCTTTGCATTTTAAAGTTTATACTTAACAAAGAAAAATGTTGGCAAAAGTAAAAAATACGTCGTTTTTGGTTAGTGACATTGTCATTCTCAACGTGCGTTTTACACAAAAGTTTATAATCTATTTACACACACAAACTTTTTTAAACATACATAGAATAATACTAATCACCCTTCTAATCTAAAGTATTTAAAATATCGACTTAGTTAGCTTTGTTAAAACTGCGCGGCCGGCCACGGTCTCGTCTCGTTCGGTCGGTCGTTGAATCGTTTTGGAATTTCACGCGTGAATCGTGTTAGCGCGTGAAATTTTTAGCGGCTTCGCGTATACCTACTTAGCAGTGTTAATCATTAAGAGAGAAAAGCGTGTTAATTAACACGCTAGACGCTAATGTAACCACCACTATCGGAGTTTAACGTTATCCCGAACCCTTAACATTTTGGTGTCAGAAGTGGAAAAAAAAAACTAATTACCTTTTACACCACATGACGACCTACAGGGCATTCGTACTAGGAACCAACGCCATCAAGAAGTGACTGCGACAAATACGGCGACTTCGACGGCTGCGACGACCACGACTGCTGCTTTAGACTTTACTGCATTATTGGCACTGATGCAGGAACAGGCTCGTCGTCAAAAGAAAAACAGATACGGCAGCTTCAATAGGAACAGGCTCGCGGACAAGAGGAATAGATACGGCAACTCAAAGAGGATCAGGATCACCGCCCGGGGAACAAATGCGGCAGTCCAAGGAGGATCAGTGCGGGAAACTGGGCGTTCACTTGAAGGAAGTTAAAGAGCGAGTATCCCAGCATGAGAAATGAATATATCAGTATATTGCTCTCGAGTGTATACTAACATAATTACCAAAAGCAATAAATATGTTTTTTTAAAGGCAATAATATAATGGTTCGAAATTACAAAAAAAGAGAGAGAAAGAAATTGACGAGCAACACATGAAGACTGCTGTTCTACAAGTTTTATCCGATCAAATGAAACTCAGACAAGCTGCTGACACGTATAATATAAAACCGAATACCTTACACTATCGAATAAAAAATTACAAAGAAGATATACCGCTTAAATTTGAACAGCTTACCACTAAATATACCGTCACACAAGTGTTTACTTGTAGCTAGTTAAAAGGCTTCATAAAACTGAATAAAAATCTTTCAACCCGAAAACCTGAAAACACCAGTTTGTCCAGGGCAACAAGCTTTACCACGGATTGGGTGCCCGGATCGGCCGCCATACACACCGCTTTGGTGTGTGTGGCGGCCGGCCCGGGCGGTACCATTTCCCGGGGCCATGCAAAGAGGAGCAGCGGAGCCGGTAGATGAGGCCTGATAACGCCTTTTTCAGAGCTGTGGTCGGGCCGTACTCCGGTGGTAGCTGCGACCGTACGGGGGGAGGGATCCACGATAAGGGCTTTGCCTGTGTGGGTCCTTCCAATAGATGGGAAAGAGACTAGAGATGCACAGTTGCGCATCTCTGGTCCCTAGTCGGGGGCAGTCGGCTAGTTCGCGCACTAGCCGGCATTGCACGTCTCCGCCCTGTCTGGGGGGGTACGTCTCGAGTGTCTCTGAGATGTGCCGCCCAACCCGCGAGGGACCTGCCCTTTTCAGGGCGGGCCGAAATGGGGGCGAACTGCGCGGTGTATGGCCTCCGGGCCGATCCCGCGCCTCGCCCACCATGAGAGGGACATCGCTGAGTTTTAGTGGGTAAACTCCTGTATTTTGTCTAGCCCCCATTCTGGGGGCGGGACCACAGGAGGAGACCCACAGACCCCGCGAACCCCAGCGCATGGGGGGAGCGGACATGCGGAATGCATTTCTCAGCGTCAAAAAAAAAAAGGGCAACAAGCTTTAACAAACATAACGTTCAAGATTTTTTTGATAATTACGAAAAAGTTTTACGCGAGTATAGTTTCACACCTGATTGGATAACATAATTGCTCAAACAGGAGCAAAGCAAGTTGGCCAATATGTCTCTGCTGAACGTGGGCGACTCATCACAATGTATTTATATTTCCCAGAGCTCGTTTTCATGATACCATGTTTTTAAAAGTTCTGGAACATATGATGAAGTTAATCAGGTGCTCAAGGGAGGATCCCATATTGCTTTTAATGGATAATCACGAGAGCCGTTGCACATCGTCTGCTATCAACTACTGTCGAGAAAATGGAATAGTAGTTGTTACATTCCCTTCTCACTGCACATATTGTATGCAACCATTAGATGTGGCGGTTAATGGTCCTTTTAAGCGACAGTTATCTGTGGTTCAAAACGATTGGCTTTTGAATCATCCTGGTAAAACCATAACTATCCACGATTTAGCAGGCATCGTGACTCCAGCATATAACGTTACTTATATTGCAAAAAACATGTTAGCTGGCTTTGCTGCACCAGGTATGCTTTCAACGAATGCCTTTTCTGAAGATGACTGAGTGTGCAGAAGTGACAAATCGCCCTCCACCACAGGCATCCACGTCTACTAAGTTTATTTCGGAGGTATCCAAATAGAAGATGATGATAAAACCGTCTGTGAAAGTCATTATTATTTGTAGAAAATTTGTAGAAAAGGATAGCCATGGTTTGACTGTAACATTTCTAAAACGGAAAGGCAGCTTGTATAAGTTGTCAGTTCAAAACTACCCCACATATCTTCAAAGCTACCCCAGGAGCGGGGTAGCTTTGAACATTTGACTACTGCTACTAAAATTGCTGTTGCGGCTACATTTTACATATTCTTCTTTATACGAGGGTCAAACTGAAAGTTCTTAGAACTGGCCACTTATAAACAATATAATAAAAAAATAATTCTAAAAATTGAAAATATAACTCTTTGCCAATATTACTGAGTATATATTTCATTCATTTGTCATTTGTTTTACGATTTGGCGGCAAATTGAAAATTGTCTGTGTCACGTCATCATGAATTTAACACGAGAAAATTTTCGTGCAATGATTTTTTATGACTTTCGATGTCATTTAAGTCAACAATAAAGTTATGATAGACTACGATTGGCCTTTCACGATGAAGCCCCATCTCGTGCGACTGTTTACAACTGGTTTAATGAGTTTAAACGTGGTCGCACTAATCTCACTGATGATTTACGTGAGGGACGGCCTTCTACGGCGACGACTGAAGATAACATCTGTGTTGTGCGGCGTATGATAGAAACTGACAAAAGAGTGACCTATCAACAGATTCGGACAAGCTTAGGCATCGGTATGAGTCAAGTGCACAAAATCCTCCACGAACATTTAGCGGTCAGGAAGCTTTGCGCCCGGTGGATACCTCATAATTTGACTGAGGCTCAAAAACTCCATCGTGTGGATTGGTGTCGTAAAATGATTGAAAGATTTAACGGAGGTGACTCAAATGCTGTGTTCGACATACTAACAGGTGACGAAAGCTGGATTTACTGTTATGATCCTAAAACCAAAAGACAATCTGCTCAGTGGGTGTTTCCTTTCGAGGAGTTGCCAACTAAAGTGAAGAGAGATCGAAGTGCGGGAAAAAAATGGTGGCCTCGTTCTTTGGAAGGATAGGTCATTTTGCAACAATTGTGTTAGAGGATCAAAAAACAGTTTCTGCAGAATGGTACACTACCAATTGTTTGCCACTTGTCTTGGAAAAAGTTCGAGAGAAACGACCTCGCAGTAGGATCCTCCTTCACCACGACAACGCCTCGTCGCACACCGCCAAGCGAACGATCGACTATTTGGCGACATCAAACGTTGAATTACTGGGTCACCCGCCGTATAGCCCCGACCTCGCGCCTTGTGATTTTTATTTATTTCCAAAAATTAAAGAAAAACTTAAAGGAAAGCGGTTTATGAATGCTGAAGAAGCGGTGGCTGCGTATCGCGATGCCATTGAAGAGACCCCTAAGGACGAGTGGGCAAAGTGCTTTTCCCAGTGGTTCCATCGCATGCAGCGGTGTATTGACGTGAATGGACAATATTTTGAAAAGATATAATAAAACTAATAACTGGCTAATGTAATCAGTTTTTGATTTTCTAAGAACTTTCAGTTTGACCCTCGTATGATGCTGCGACTTTATTGCTTAATGGTCGGACTAAGCACTGTGAAACAGTAAAAGGGTTAGGAACTAGAGAATTTTAAGATCTGCCCCCCTCTCCCCTACATACAGAACTCGAGTTGCATCACTTATTTATTATAAGTAGTATTTCCTTCTTAGTCCGTGATTTGATCTGAGCGAAACACTGAATGAGGAAGTATTAAAAAAAAGCACCTCCAGATGGCGACTCTAGCAAAAGTTGATTTTTGCAGAAAACGAATGGACCAAAGACAGTCATTTCCGTCCCTTTTAACTAACATATTAAAAAACTGAAATTTGAAAAGTTCGAAAATTAGATATCAATACAAATACGAAAAATTACAAACAGAATATGAGTTGTTTATTGAGTTTAGAACACTAATTTACTTTTAAACATAAAAAAAAACCGGAAAGGTTGTCATGGAGAAATTAACAACGCATCGTAGCGACATCTAGTTTGATTTCGGAAACTAGTGTTTTTTTTTAAATACTTCCTCATTCGGTGAAATCTACAAGGGTAACGCCATTAATTAAAAAAGAAGAAGATTTTGCTGGTGCTTGCTTTATAGATATAGTGTTTATTTTATAAACTTGTGGAATTATTACAACAAGAATTCTAAATCTGGATTTGCATTGCTAAAGTGGAGAAACCATGGCTCTTTACTGTGCCAGTAAGTAATTATATATTAACAATGACATAAACGCAATGACTTCTACTTTATGTACATGATTTGTTTCGCGCGAACCGGACATGAGACAATGAAAAACAAAATTTACATCGAAATTATGCTATATATTGTGATATCGTATTTTGTAATGAACTATAACTTTATTTTTTGTGTCTTTTAGTAACTTTTCTTTATTGTTTTGTTTGCGTTGCCTTCAACAAGTAACCTAACTTTTGTTTTGCAGTATCCAATGAAGTGCCAGAAGTACCGGTAGTATCACCTTCATCGGGATCTGTTTTTGAGAAAAGGATAATAGAAAAATATATTATAGAGAATGGTGTTGATCCCATAAGTGGGAAAGAACTCAGAGTAGAAGATCTCATTGAAATCAAAAGTAAGTGGCTACTTTTGCTATATTTAAGGTCTTCCAAATCAAATTGATTTAATATAAGAAGAAATATTCGATTTCAATCTTATTCATTATCTATAACCTACTAAATTATACAATCTATTAAATATACCTTATTGACTGATACATTTATTAAAAGTAATATTAGAAAATAGAAATCCTTAGGATGGATGACTGGCTAGCAATATAATTTGCTTGCTTACTTTCACATCTCTTATAGCATAAGTCTGTAAAATTTATATATTCAGGTGCTACTATGGTACAAATACATAAATATTAAATAACATCATATACATTGTTCAGATTCCATATTTAGGAGTATCTTAGACATACACAACAGAGACGATATAGAAAAGTCCATTTCCTACATTGTTTTACCTGGGAATTGAACCAACTGAACTGGGAACTGAACTGGAATTGAACTGTCTTAATATTGAAAATCAAATGAAGAAAACAAATATATGTCTGGTGGTACAAGACCTCTTTGTATTGTTTTCAACAGCTCCTCCTATTGTGAAGCCCAAGCCCCCAAGTGCCACATCTATACCAGCTACACTGAAGAGCATGCAAGATGAGTGGGATGCTTTGATGTTGCACACATTCACACAGCGACAACAGTTGCAGACTGCTAGGCAGGCAAGTCTTAATACACTAGTTAATTATGTCGATGATAAGAAACATGCGTCTTGAAGTTTTACTTTGTCTACAAAATGTGTATCTGAAGAAAGAGCATTGTTTTTTGTTTTTTTTTTATTGTGAAATAAGGTAAATTAGTTTGTCATTGTTATATTATGTAATATGATAAGTTGTAGAGTTACCTAGGGTGATTAATAGTGTGAAAAAATGCATGATTGTAAGGTTATTTAATTGTAATATCCTGGATTTGATATTCAATTTAAAGAATACAGCTTCTTAGTAAGAATTTAAGTTGTGTGAATCCCTTTCAGGTAGGTAAAATTTAACTTGGCTATCACTACCAACATACAAAAAGCATAGTTTATAAAATACTAAAATATGAAATAAACTGAGCAAAGCATTGGATTCAGGTGGAATCCACAAGGGCAATGCCATTAATTAAAAAGAAGAAGATCATAGTCCCTGATAGTTAACCAGTCATTATAGATATATATATTATTTGGAATATAAGACTTATGTATAGATTTTATATTCCATAGAATGTTATATTCAGTTCATCAACATTTAGCCTGTTTTAACCAATTGACTGTTACGTAAATGATTGTTTTTTTTTTTTTTTTAAATAAAACTTCTAAATATTGTTATGCTATATAAGTATATTTTAGCAATTGGTTGTCTACATAGGAGTTGAGCCATGCATTATACCAGCACGACGCCGCATGTCGAGTGATCGCGCGTCTCACCAAGGAGGTGACGGCGGCAAGAGAAGCTCTTGCTACACTCAAGCCACAGGCGGGCATTGTTGCACCTCAGCCAGCGCACCAGGTATATTATTGTATACTTTGTATTTAATCCCTGTTGTTATATTTATAAATACAGTAATTTTTATTGCCACTGAGCATAGTGCCATATGCAAAAACAAATTTAAAAATAAGTTTTGGCAAATTGCCAAAGTTCATGTTTTTAATAAATTTTTGAACAATGTGTCACACTGAGTGTTAATTGTAAAAGAATTTTACTTTAATTTCATGATTTAATTGAAATACATATTGTAATAGTTGTTGACTATTTAATTATTATTTTAGTGTAGATGGTTTCTTTTATATTATGTTTTTGAGAGAATACAATAAGAAAGTAATACAAACTAGGCAGGTCATCATGTCGCTCACTGAATAGTACAGTGGCACAACTCAAAAACCATAATTTTGAGAAACGCTCTCCGAAGTTACGAAAATCTAATATATTTATAATTATGAAAATCAAATTTTTAGCATAACGGTTAAATCGTTTGTATTATATTATTACTGTTAAGTTTTTTATTTTTTCTTGAAATTATCTATGGGATGCCACCACAATAATGTGGCGTTTTCTCGAAATAATGGTTTTTGAGTTGTGCCACTGTACTATTCAGTGAGCAATGTGACCATTCGATCGGGGGAAGTCTGCATATCAATCATATAGTTTACATTTAGTTTATGCTTTCTCGAGTAACAGTTTCTTTAGTAATTTCTAAATTTAAACAATTAGGTTTTGATTGAGTTTACGATTTTCGATTAAACATTCGATTTCCGAAGGGCCCTATTGTTAAAAGACTGCTGCTGGAGATATTGTGTATTTTTGTTAACGTTACGTTTCCATGCAGGCGGAGGCGGGCGCGGCGGGGGCGGGCGCGACGGCCGCGGGCGGCGGCGCGGTGCCGCTGGGCATGTCGGCGGAGGTGGTGTCGCGGCTGCAGGAGCGCGCCACCGCCCTCACGCAGGAGCGCAAGCGCCGCGGCCGCACCGTGCCCGAGGGACTCGTTGCGCCCGACCAGATACGCGCCTTCCTCACACTCGCCTCGCATCCAGTACGTATGCACGCATGTTTATTTATTTACCTTCTTGCTCACATCGATTTTATTCATAGTTTTGTGTGTCAAACTTTGTGATAATATATTTTAAATTTCATCAGAACTCGAGATACCGCTTTTATTTTTACAGTTAGAGAGAATAAAGAATATATTAAATTATTATATTTGATAAGTTTTTAATTTACAATCTTACATTGAATGCTATCATTTTTAAAGAGAGGTGTTTAAAAATTCACCAGTTCTCAAAATCTAAGGTTTCCTTAATATATTTTATAATTTTGTATAATCTTAAAGAAACCCTATCCGATCCAGTGAAGTAATTATAAGGTATCGAGATTTCTAGACATAAGATTTGTATATGCCCCTAACGGATTGGACATAATTCTTTTATCATACTTTATAATTTATCATTTAAATTATTTCCCTCAAACAATAGGGTCTCCACTCGGCTAGTGTACCTGGTATCCTGGCCCTGGACATCAATCCTTCGGACCACAGCAAGCTGCTGACCGGTGGCAATGATCGTAACGCTACAGTTTTCAACAAAGACACCGAACAAGTGGTGGCCATCCTCAAGGGACACACCAAGAAGGTCACCAGGGTTATATACCATCCTGACGAGGATACCGTTATCACAGCTTCACCAGATCACACCATTCGTGTTTGGAATGTACCAACGTAAGTTAACATTTACTAGTTTATGTAAGTCATACAGTGTTATACGTAAGCGCCGTCTCCACGAGCAATAGAATTGCGACGAGTTCGCGCTTCTATCGTCGGGTCATCTCCATGAACGAGCAATTATTCCGCCAGCTTGTCGTCACGACTTGTGACGGAATCGCAACGTGTCCGCAACGACTCGTCGGAATCGCCGCATTTTTTGGCGACGCGTTGTTCTTTTATTTGTTGAAAGAGTTCAGTTAGATGCCGGACGAGATCAAAATAAGTAGTGCCTCGGACAATTTTTTTTTAAAGCTTAATGACACTGCATTTGAAAGCTCACCCGATGCACTCTAGCTGCGGACGCGCCTCCAGTGGCGATAATACGTAGATGTTACGCGCGTACATCGCCACTATATTATAAAGTAATAGCGCGATAACATCGCCGTGCGAAGACGCGTTCATAGAGTATAATAAAAATACGTGGCATGACGATAATATCACCGCGATTCTCTCTCTCTCTCTCTTGGAGATGGCGCCATAGTGATACAAACAGTTTAATACAAAAAAAAAACTATTGCAAAAAATAAAAAAAATAAAATTTATTAGCGTTTCAAATATGTCTGCACAAGTGTAGTTTTTTTTAATTTGAACGATTTTATTCAGATCCTTTTTTCATTACTAGATTTTTTCAACAACCAATTCATTAATAGATTACACAATTATCTTATTTAGTTATATTATTTAATATATACATGTAATATGTCAATATTATTATGTTGTTTCGCCGGTTATATCTGTTTGCCTTTTGGCATAGGCCTCCCCGAGTGTAGTGTAGTTGCAAATGAACACAAACAGTCACTCTCCGAGCAACCAAACGATATCGGCGTGCTATATCTCGAGCGTATGTCGATGCGCAGATGCCAGAGCACGGCGGTCCTGCGTTCGCACGAGGGCGCGGTGACGGGCCTGTCGCTGCACCCGACGGGCGAGTACGTGCTGTCGACGTCGCGCGACGGCCACTGGGCGTTCAGCGACATCCGCGCGGGGGCGCTGCTGGCGCGCGTGCCCGACGCGGCCGCCGCCTCGCTCACCACCGCGCAGTTCCACCCCGACGGGCTCATATTCGGCACCGGCACTGACAACTCGCAGGTCGGTGGACTATGGTCTATGGCCGGCCGTTGCGACAGTTGCTTAGTGCTTAGCAACGCTAGCGACTCCGTCGAGCTCCTCGCTAAAGCTTTTTTATGTACTCGATAAATTTAATAATAAAAATATAAATATTTAACAACATCACCTACATTGCTCAGATTCCAAGAAGGTACCACAACACCCAGACCCGAGTCAATATAGAAAAGTTCATTTTCTATATTGACCCGACCGGGAATCGAACCCGGGACCACAGAGATGGCGACACCTTGTAACCGGCGTGCGAACCACTCGGCTACGGAGGTCGTCCATCCATCCATTGTACTGTCTACCTGAAAACAAATATTATTATATATCTGTCACCGTTGATGTGTGAGGAAGACAATCCACTAATTATATCGAACTTTATTTTAATAAAATCAAAAGCACGATATATCTGATACTTATAAAAATGTCTACAACATTATTTGAAGTAGATAATAATTAAAACTAGTGTTGCCATGTTAAATGATGTTACGAGTCACATACAACATATAACAAGAATAATAATAAATACAAGTCATTGAGATTCTAATGAGATGCAATTATTATGTAAACAGCAGAATTGACCTGCTGAAACGACTACTCTGGACCTTTTTTTTTTAATTGCAGGCACGTAAAACTATGAAATTTGTCGAAGCTCACGTGTGAAATTTAGAAAAAGTATTTTGAACTGTTTAAATTATCATATTTAATCACTCTCAGATTTCTTTTTCTCAAAAAAGTGTTATTAAGTAAAGAAAAAATAACATTTTTATTTTATTCATTAATCTGAAATGCCTGCGAAGACAATCAGTCACGTGACATTTTTAACAGTGATGATGCCTTACGATATTTTACTGCTTTCTCTGTCTACGGCGTAATGTAATATGACGTCATACGACATTCGTTAAGGCTGCCTGCGTTTTAGTCTGCACACTCCACAGACTATAAACCGCAAGTTGATTTTGTATAAATAAAATATACTTACAATTTTATATTCAAGCAAAACATGTAAACGAAGTTACCATTTCATTTATTAATTCAACGTTTCGTTTAAAATACAGGTCAAGATCTGGGATCTGAAGGAGCAAAGCAACGTGGCCAACTTCCCGGGGCACGTGGGCCCGGTCACCTCCATATCGTTCTCTGAAAACGGTTACTACCTCGCCACCGCCGCGGAGGACGCCTGCGTCAAGTTGTGGGATCTCAGGAAACTGAAGAACTTCAAGACCATACAGCTGGAAGAGGGTTATGTGATCAAGGTGAACTTCACACCACAATGTTTTAAATATCTCAGTGCATCATCAGATTGTTAATATAACCAAAGCTGGCCAGCTGTTAATCAGAATTATTCAACTCTTAACTATTTAGCCCCTGCGGAGTGTGAGTGAGATGGTCACCACATGTGATGTATTTTGTATGAGTATTCAAACAAGACTCGCTGTAAATTTTGATCGTCGGATTTGATAGGTCTTGCTGTACTGCTTTTTGCAACTAAGACAATGTGATTTACATTTGAAGCGCTAAGGACTCTCGGCTGCCGCGTTAGGCCAGCGTGGAGGGTCATTATTTATTCATACATTATTTATTCAGTCTAGGCTGTTACAAGCACTTGTGCAAGTCGAGAACTACGCACAGGGCTGATGATGATGAGAGGACATCATAACTTTAGCTGTAAATTATAATTTCCCAAGCCACGCCAATGTAAGTAACTTGTGTGTTTGTCTGTCAGGAGTTGTGTTTCGACCAGAGCGGCACCTACCTGGCGATAGCGGGCACGGACGTGCGCGTGTACCTGTGCCGCCAGTGGCAGGAGTTGAAGGTGTTCAACGACCACACCGCCTCCGCCACCGGCGTCAGGTTCGGCAGGAACGCGCAGTACATCGCCTCCACCAGCATGGACCGCACGCTCAAACTGTACGGCATAGAGTAGGCGCCACGCTACATGCGACTCGTTTGTGATTCAAGTACGTGACTTTTTAGTTGTTCTAGTTTTTTATCGGACGTTGATAAATGAAATTATTTTTATACAGGGTTATTTGTAGATAGCTGACATCATAAACTACAACGTTCGATCTGGGAGTTTATGAAATCATAATTGGATATTATTAGCATTGCAAATGTAAAGTTGATTCCATACCCTAAAGTTAAAAACTGAACCCTATGATTAAGACTCCAGTGTCCGTCTGTATCTGTTGCCGCTGTAATGTAACAACAAAGAGTAAGAACACGATAAAATAAATATTCAAGGTGCTTTTGCATTTTTCTAGAGATAATGAGTACAGAAAGAATCCGACTCGTGCTTGTTTTTATTTTACTTTCGTCTCATTTAAAAGGTCTGTTTTGTTCATAAATGATATGACGACAGGACGATCGCCCGTTTTGTGAAGTACCTACGCGTTACATACTAGCTGTGTGTATTGTTCACATCTGGTAAATTAAAATTTATTTTTAGTACAAAAGCAAAAAATAATTCCCTAAAGGTCATATAACCCTCATTGTTACTTATGATGTTAACTATTTCATGCCGCAAGGTTGTAGGTATTTAACTAATAACCCTGTATTTAAATTCAGATTTCATAGTGCTATGATATTTATATTTATCATAGGAAATTCTTTATGAAATCAATTGCCTAGTCTGGTACTAACAGATTTCTCTAAGATGCGCTATGTTAAAATTGAAGCTCAGAATAGAAAATAAAATTTGAGAATTGATTTACTTTTGTCAATTTACATTCAAAAGATGTACAAAACCATAAACGTAACATTCTGAAAAAAAAAATATTATAAATATTCTTCTATTGTTTCACTTTTATGTAGACCCAAGACCTGTATAAGTAATAATGCAACTGTCTTATCGTGATTAACCAAATGGCGTAAATGACGGCAATCAGACTGTAGGTGTAGTTAGGATAATAAAATAATCTTTGACATGACATTTGTTCTTTTGGAATATCAAATAACAATGTCTTTGACAAGACTCTGAATAAATATATGAACAGAAGCAAAATATATATGGTAATGAAGTGAATTATAAACACACATAATCACTTCTGCAATAGAGTTCATTCATACACAACTAGGAACCCACACCTACAACAAATTGACATGTTTAAAAACAAAACGCTTCATTAGATACTTGGCTGTCGGGACAGCGTTTCTCAACATGTGGTCCACAGACCTCTGAAGGTTCCGAGCATATGTACGGATGCTCATACAATCAACAAATTGCTCTCGGAATAACAATTCTATAGTAACATTAACCCAAATATTACAGATTTAGGCGCAATAAATCTACACCATTCTCAAAACACTTTATACGAAAAATCTAACATTTCGATAAACTGAGATTTGATACAAAAGTATCAAATTTGATATAAGTGGTCCGATTTTTTAATAAAGGGCTTAAAGCCTTTGAATTCGTTTTTAACGTCCTAGAGGTCCATAGAATCTTAAAAGATTTAGAAACGCTGCCTAGGGTAATGTGATTCACCTAAGATCGTGTTATTGCTTGCATTATTTGTGTGAGAGGAACCTAGTCTTTAAGTAGGTGGTTTTAAAAAAAAAAATATTGTATTTTGAATGCCCCTTAAACATCTCGATGACGTGCAGGTTCTTTTGTATGTTGCTGTCTGCTGGGCCGAAACAAATCATACATTGTTCAGGGCACACTCTATTGTTCGTGCACAGTCGCTAGCACGTTGGGGTTTGTATTCTTAAAATTGACATCGATATATCGTGGACTGATACATCGTCTGTCCTGCTCTAATTTTGTTATATTTTAATGCAGTAGTGTGAGATGAAAGTTTTAAGAATATGGCCCCACGTTACTGTGAAAGTCTAAATTTATTTTTAAATCTTACCCGAGTAATGTGTATGTAATGCTTTTGTATGAATTAACATAGTTTAAATATTTCCTACAACATTTCTTTCAAAATCGAGTATGTTAGTTCATAAGTGACTTTCTTAATAAAATATTTTTTTAATCTTCGTAAGTGGCTTTCATATGGTGACTATCAGGTAGTTGCACAAATGTCCATTAATATTATCATTAGTTTAAAACAACATTACCGATAAAATATGACATTCATTAGAACTTAAGAGCCTGTTTAAATTAAATGGACGTTTGTGCAACTGACAGTAAATCCCATTATTTTTATTTTTTCATAAGTCACCTAGGTTTAGGGGATTTGATAATTGTATTGACGATGTGATTTGAAATAAAAAAAATGTATGTTCCCTCATGTTGTAAAATAATAATTAATTAAAATATTAATAACTTGTTTTTCTTAATTCGATAAATAGGTATTGCTGATAGTAAACAGCTGCTAGATAGGACTGCTGCAGCAGTGTTTAAATTATTACATTTAAATAAATGTGTATTTATAGCATATTAAGACCTCACTATTTTGTCTGCTGTAAATTCGATATTGTTTTTTAAATAAACAATAAAGTATCGGACCAATATTATTTTTTTTTTATTTTAACTAGTTTCCGCTAGCGTCTTCGCTCGCGTGGTCCTGTATCATACATATTAACCTTCCTATTGAATTACTCTGTATATGAATGAAAACCGCAATATAAAATCCTTAATGTAGTTTAATAGATCTCAGCATACTGACAACGGGAAGTGACATTGTTTTATACTAATTATTATCAATATCAAATTGAAATTTCCTCCCAGTTTAGAATGTCGCAATTCCTAAAAAGGTATGCGTCAGGCTAGTTGCGCCACCCTCTTCGATTTTGAAATTAATTTTTCGACGACCGACTGATAATAGGGATAGAATTAATTTCAAAATCGTAGAAGGTGGCGCTGCCAACCCGTCTACCGGTTACAAAATATTCAGTTATGCCATGACAAACTGTACTGTTGAATGATTTTTGTCCTATTTTTTTAATTAAATTCTTTTGAAATAAATCAGGGTTTGTGTCGTAGAAAAATTATATTTCTTTGAATACAGTAAACATTAAATTTGCAGCGTTTTAACACTCTAATTGTTCTGTTATCTTCTTCTTTCATTAATGGCTTATCTGCTCGTTTCGCACTGCCAATGTCAAATTAACTTTTACATATAAAATGAAATTGACAATAAATCCATAAGTCTGGTTGGTTGTCTTCCTGCATCTTAAAGCTACGGGTCCACTAGAGATTTTGTGTCTTTGACCGTTTCAGTCATCATGCTCCTGTCATTTGTATGCAGTAGAGTATATGGAACTGAATGAAACACTGGATTTTAGAAAAATCGCCAATAATAAAAAAGAAGATAACAAACGGAGTCAACCGAAACAAATAATAAACACACCTTTGCAACTTGCTATAAGGATGATGAAATTGAAAAAATAAATTAGCATAAAGATATCTTTATTTTCATAATTTAAAAACAATTTTCCATCCCATCACAACTTTTAAAATAAATCAATTAGATAGATATATACACTTATTTTTACAGGAATATTAACATAGAAGCTTATCTATCAATTTATATATTTATAGATGGTCTTTTCGTAACGAGTATGCCAATTAATTTTTGAATAGTTACAGTAAGAATATTATACACAGAGTCTTTAAAACGTTACCACATATATTGAAACTTATCAATCGTGTTATATTTTACGCAGATATCGCGCGTTCACAAATTCTATAATTTTAGGATGCCACAAGTAGATATCCTCTAGTACCCTTAATTTATATTCAGAGTATTTGTGGTTTATAAAATGGCTGCCAGATGCAGTCAGGTGAAATGTGCTCAGGGTGACAGCATCAATATACTCTTCATTACTATCAATTGATCTGCAGTCAACTACTTTCACAATGTTACATTTAAACATTTAAAATAGTGCATGTTTCTAAATGGCTAAGATGGTAAGAAAAGTGTGCTAGGCAGTCATCATTGCAATTTTTACCATTGTTTATTCTTTATGAATTTAAATATATTTATTATGTATCAATAATAAATAGCGCCTTTCTCTTTTTTGGAAATTCCTTTTCGTTTTTCAAAATTATTAGTGGTACACAAAATACGCTTTATTAGTACATATATTTATTAAACAAATAGTTCAATTTCTTGTATCACACATCCCCGTGCATCCAAACTTTTCAAAAATACGCGGAAAGATAAATCAGACATCCTACGAATTTAAATTCTCATTTATAGTAGTAATATCTTGCCTGCCTGATACCGCTGAACATTAATTTCTGTTTAGGAGACTTATTCCATGTGGTAGAATATTAACAGGGTTATTTCAGTTCTGCTCCTTTTTCTCTTTAATTATTAGCGTTGACCTTGTGGATTTCGCTAGAATCTTGTGTCTCGCTTAGTTTATTTTCTTTTTTTATTTATAGACTCTGCTTTTTGTATGTTGTGTAGTTAAACTAAGTAACTCTTAAACCAAAACAAAATTTACTAGATTGAGGCGCTTGTTACTGTATTTAGGTTTGTATCACGATATCGTATTTGATTTCTACAGAAAATTGGTTATCCAGCAGTTTGGTGGGCTAGTCGGAATGCATGATGCCATTGGTTATTTAATTTTTTTCTATATATTTAGGAGATCTTCACAAATTAACGCATAGAACGCTATACAGAGTGAAAATCAAGACTACTAACTCAACTAATTACTAATTAACAAGTGAAACTTAGTAAGTATTAAGACACGATTTATTTAATATTACCCTTGTCAGAGTTCAGAAATTTCGACTAGTCAAAATGATATAAGAACTTTGAAGTGACGCCGTGTTGAATATATTTGATTTTTCCCTACCACCATGGCGGAGTCGCTCATTACCATTTCACATTAAATACTTCTTAATTCACGAACAAATTAGATTAAGCGCCAACAAGGCTGCTTAGAGGTGCACAAGCTACCAATCACAAGTAACAAATGTAATTAAGGCTGTTGCCAACGCAACGGGCACTTATAATTAAACTGCCACTCGGTTAAAATTATATAACTCGATAATATTATAATTCTAATTAACGCCGATATTACAACACGCTGTGTCGATGTCACGTTATCCTCGTAATAAAGCGATTACAACATCAAAGAAAATCGTCATATAAAATTGTAACGAGTAATATAAAATTTCTTAATTACAAGGATAGTGCGAAATCGGTACACATTGTGCATATATATAATTTTTTTTTAACTTACACAATACATACACTAAAACATCTAGCGCGGACAATATACCTTAAAATCAGTAGCGGCACGTATCGCTCATGTCTGTAGCAGCATAGTATATTTGAGCGCACGATATCTTAAGGTCTATATGTCACAGTAGAGTGCGAAGCGGCGAGCGGTGCGGATGTGTCGTCGGCGGGGAGGGACGCCTCCACTATCTCGGGTCATGCGAAGATCAACCACAACACGAACAGTATCGCCACCCACAGGAATATTTTCGACAGGAACTGCTCCTCCTCGTACTGCGCGGTGCCGCGGGGCGCTTGAATTGAATTTGTAAATTAAAAAAGGAATTTTTAATATTATAATGAATAATTCATTGTTAACATTATTCATCAAGTGTTATAATTGATTCATTATTATCTTTGATGTATAAAGTGTAGTGTAATGTGCAGTTTGATTTTTTTTTAAATTTCTACTTCTATATCATACGCGGGCGCGCGAAGTAGCTGGAAATCAGCTAGTACTATTATAAAACGAAAGGTACATAGAATATCGAAATGTTGCAAGAGACAAGACAAAGATTAGTATAAACATACCAGCACTCGGTCTTGGGTCGCCAAAATTAAATGTGGAAGTGAAAACGCCGAAAGGGAATGCTCCAATGCCAAAGGACATATGAAAGCCTTCACCGAATCCAAAGCCGGGGAAACCGCTGTTATTATCAGGCTCCGTGCGCTGACCTGCAGGCCGGGGCGGTACCTGCAATATCGTACACATAAATATAAGTGTAGACAATAAACGGAAACGCGCAGATAAGCCATTAATAAAATAAGAAGACAGTAAACGAAAAAAAAACTATTGAATATAAATTAAATCACCTACAAAAATCGTAATAAAGAGAAATGACTGAAAAGAGTGGAATAATACCAAATATTTTTATCTTCAATAAAATCAAAACAAAATACGGATACACCAACAATTTTTTTTCGAGGTCGGTGGCAGTCGTGTTTATTAGTAAGAAGTAAAACTGACCTATCAGATTTTTTTTTAACTAATGTGTTTAGAAGCGTATATAGACTAACAATATATTATATGAATATTGTGCCATATTTCAACAAAATTACATACATACAGGCCAAATTGATAACCTAATTTCTTTTAAGATATTTGAAAACATACAGGGCAAATAGATAACCTATTTTTTGAAGTAGGTTAATGACATACACAGGTAAATAGAAGGCCTCCTTTTTTGGAGTCTGTTAAAAAAATTCGTCATATTTTTACTCATTCTTATAAGTCTGTTAAATTATTACTACTTTTATAAGTGGCTTAATTTTTAATGATTTGTATCTTCAAAACTACTTAACTGATTTTATGAAACTTGTAGTATACCCTAAGTTTAAAAGTTAAGCAATGAAACAAAAAACGAATAATTGCAAATTGGAGAAATACTTGGACTAAGATACAGACATTACAATATTGTACATATGGTACAATATTCCTACAAAATTACATACATCATAAATTGATTAGCTTAATATATGATAAAATAATGAGGCGTCATTGCTTTAAATAGTGATTAAAAACATACAAGTCTTATAAATATTCTTTTTTAGGTTGGCTAGCGGCCTCCTTTTTTGAAGTTGGTTAATATAAAGTTCAAATATTTTATGTACATCTATAAAATAAAAATATAAGAACAGTTGTCTACACCCCTATTATGCCATTGATTAATGTACTATGAAAACCTTATGTAGCAAATGTTTTAAAAGCTTTCAAGGTCACAAATATATCAAATGTTAATGCAAAGTAAAAACAATTATATGAATAATAACAAAATGTGAATTTATACAAACAACCCTGCGGAACAAAATCATAACCAACATTAAAAAAATGACTGCAACAAACCTTATTCCTAGGATCCTCCTGTTTGGTGTTGCCTCTACCATATAGTGGGATGACTTTATCCCTACTGATTGCAGCCTTGCAGACAGGACACACTTGTCTACTAGGCCGAGTTTCCAGCCATTGGTGTAGGCATGGCCAACTACATGTAAAATATAATTTTATTTGGATAAATGAAATTTAAACTGTTTAGCACTGAAACATGCATTAAAAGTGATAAAGAACAATACATATTTGGACTTTGGTGTGAGAAAGTCAGCTTAATATAAATAATAATTACTATTCAGATGCAATTTCACATTATGACATGACATGATTATGCGGGGTGTTGATGGTTAATAGAATAATACATGTTTTCATGGTTACAGCCAACCCTTGACAACAACTGAATTTTCCTATATCATGCACAAGAGGATTTATTAAAAACATTGTGGGCTTCCAAGGTACCTTATACATAATGTTTTTTGGCTTTGTTATGACCATTATTTTTTATATATACTTTTTGGTCTCATCTACTGCCATGATTATTTGTGTGAGTAATATCTAAGTACACATACATACATTACCAATAAGTGATTTTTTTAAAAGACTTATTAGTATTGGAAGTTAAAATAAAAACTACTGTTTAAACCAACTTATATACAGTGCTTAACTATCCTTATTGTTAAAAATTTACAAAGTTTTAACATTTTATATAAGTACTGAAAATTAAATATCCATACTGTGACTAAAATACTAACAATGAAACAAAGGGGACTTGGGGTCAAACATCAATGTCATTACCAATGAATTATTTTAAATATCAACTTATATGGCTTCTACAGTAACGAAACAAGAATGTAGTTGAAATATTCAAAAGTAAAGACTGATATTAAGTATATTTAATGAGATTAGCAATTTGTCATACTTCTATAAAATTATATATAGACCATTTCAAATATCTTAATATTTACAGAAATTGTAGATATCTGATTATATAAAACAAGAATTGGAACTTTTATAGGCTGCTTGTAATACAGTAGCTACCACCATCCATCCAACCATCATGCATATGAATCAGAATAAAACACAAGATATAGACCTATGTTTTTGAGGGAGATCTTCTTGGTTTAAGATCTTTTTAATTAATTTAAATTTAAATATTGACATTTTGACAATCTGTTCTGCACATGCGCGTTTATTGTTATTATATTGAAAGACTTCGTAAAGCTATTGTCGGTGCTGTATGTATTTTATAAAGTATATATTTTTGGTGGTAAATGAACTCATGTGATCTAAAAGCTCCCTGGTCTTTCTCTATACCCTTTTTACCATCGGGTATCATATGTTTCCTATTGATAAATATCAGATGCATTGCTTAGATTTCAACATAAGAATATAAGGCAGACTCTTCTGTCTAAATCTGAATTTGCTATGCAGTATATGTTATATTGAATGTCTGTATATTTTAGTTAATAAATCTCTACTTAAATTGGAGTAAGTTAGTCCCATCAGTTTCTCTACATCATTCTAAGGTTGATGGGTAGAGAATACTTAAGGCATTAAGTCCGCCATTGTACTATAAGTTTATGTGCATATGCCCTTGTATTATGAAATAAGTCCCAAGGCATAGAAACGTTCTGTTCTTATACTCAACATGAAATCGAACCTGGGATGGACCTTGAGTTATAAGAAAAAAAATATAACAATACCTACCAGAAGAGGTGTCCACACATACTGACAACTGCGTCCCGGGCAGTGTCCAAGCAAATGTTGCATTCCAGCATACGTTCGTCATGTTTATCGTCTTCACCTCCAGCGTCGCCGCCCGGCGCTGATGCCGAAGCGCTCGCCTGTGCTTCACTCGTCTCTGCCATTACTCTGGGGGGACAAAATGCACTCTTAACCGTCTTCGAGGTACGTCGTGCGAAAATACGACACGTCTACTGTGACACAAAAACCATTCCTATTGCGAAACTATATCATGTTTAATTACATTAGATAACAGCTAAAATGTGTCGCCTACTACTGTACAATTTGCAAGTTTTAACTAGCCTGTTTTCACAAAAATTCAACAAAATATATCACATCGCCAATCCCGTTTTATTCTTTATTAAACCAAAGACCAAACTTACTATCTATCCCGTGCTAATGTCAAAAAGAGTAGGAGCACAAGCGATTGCCTTAGGACTGAGTCTGAGGTTTAGGAACAGTGATTTGATCAATATTGTATTGGGAATACATTTTTGTGAAATCAAGTGTATTTCAAAGCAAAAAGAAATCAGGATTCTCAAAACGACTAAAAATCATTAATGCGCTAAAGACTAATTATATATTTTTAACGTGTTAATGATGGCGCTAAGTTATTAACGCGTTAATTCAAAGAAGCGTAAGGTTGTGTGACGACTCGTTAAATTTTGTAGCACTCTAAACCTTGTAAAACTTTAATTATTTGATGTTAAACAGATTACGTGCTAGATTAAACAACTAGCTTTCCGCCAGTGGCTTCGCCCGCGTGGTCCGCTGGTACCTTACTCATAGATCTAAACTCCCATCCCGCACGCGCACCTCCGCCTTGGTGATGAACACTTCGCAACGGGCCGTGCAGCAGAAATCGTAATATTTTAATTTCGCCATAACTTCAAAACCAAACCTCCAATTTTAATCATTCAAAGACCAAATATTATTTACATAAGCTGTACTTAGTGATGAAATAATTTATTTGATAAGGATTGATAGCAACTTGCAACATGAGTAATATAGACGCGTTTAAATGTAGTCCAAAAAAAAATCAAGATTTAAAAAAAAAAAAATGGTTGTTGTGCCTCATTCGACATAGATAGCTATAGTGTGTCGCAGACTTTTTTGTAGATATTTATAAGATCTACAGTTAATTAGAACATCTTATGTATCTATTTTGTATAGTTATAACTTTTCTGGTTGATTTTTTACACCTTGTGTCCTAAAAATAAATATCTTACGGGATCCTATTTTTTCCAAAATAAAATAGACTATGTTACTCGTGGATAATGTAGTTTTCGAATGGTGAAAGAATTTTTAAAATCAGTCCAGTAGTTTTTGCACCTATTCATTACAAACAAATAAAGTTTTCCTCTTTATAATATTAGTATAGATAACTAATTATTATTTAGTCTAAAAAGAAAATAGATAAACTCCCCTTCATATTTTTTCGGCTGAGGACTGTCAAAGTTCATTGATTTTATGTACAAGAATCTACTATGTACATAGTAGATTCTTTGCTATCATATATTTTATTTACATTGTTTACTCACAATAACATAATCACCTAAAAACCATATATTCTAAAGTATTTGAAATATTGACTTAATAAACTTTTTAAAACACAGGATATAGGGTCCCGCATAATAATTACCTACTTAGCGCGCTCCGAGCATTAGCAATGACACATCTGCTAACAATCGCGCTCACGTGTTAACTGCGCAGCCAGCCGCAATCTCGTTACGTTCGTTCGTTGAATCGTTTTGCAATTTCACGCGTGAATTGTGTTAGCGCGTGATATTCTTTGCGCCTTCACGTATGTAGCAGTGTTAATCGTAAAAGAAAACGCTTTATGCTAATTTAACCACCACTAATCATGGTAGGCAAAGTATGTACTTTAAGAGCCATATGACAAATTTGCACTCTGTGAGATAAGGTATTTTGAAGCTTCCCGAGTTCTCGATAATTTGTACAAGGTCACGAGTCCACAATACTGTGTTGAAACTACGACCAAGCTATTTTGATACTTTTCCCAATCTTTGTTTTTTATCTTAGTATTTCTATGGTGAGATTCATTATCGATTCCCGGACATTTTAACACGACTGCCCTCTAAAAGGAGTCTATTGTTTTTAGAATTAATGTATGTATGTGAGTTTTTTTAATGCACCATAACTATAGTTTAGTTACCATAACGTTAGATATAACGGATATGAATGTATAGAGTATTATTAGAAACATCATCCTCAGTTACCACAAACTACATAGAGTATCAGTGACACTTGCTATATTTTTTAACATTAAATAGGAGCGTGATTTGGCTTGTGACGCCATTTAAAAAAGTATGTTTTTTTTTAATTATAGCTTTAAAGCCCGATGGTGTCGGTTAGCGCGTTTGATCTGCGATTAAAGAGGTTAAGCGACGATTGCAAAGGCCGACAATCGGTTGGGTGGTCAATTTTGTAGTAGAGCAATTTAGGACAACCGCGCATGCCCATTATGGATTACTCGGTAGATTAATCATCAATTGAAAATATATATGCAGCACCTCCAATCCGCACTGGCACCTTTATGCGGGCCCAGGGCGGAATTCTGGATTTATTTTAATCATCGATTAATAATATGTGCTTTAACACTACCAATCCTTATTGGTGTGTTGAATGCAGCGAGGAATGCTGGTTGGAATAGTTTTATCTATTAAAAATATCTGTGCTTTAGCACCACCACACGCGGGTCCAGTCAGAAATGCTGGGTGGATTGACTTGATGCTGAAGTAGTTAATAAGTTTGATCTGCGATTGTAGAGGATAAGCGGCGTTTGCAAAGGTCAGTAATCGGATGGGTGACGAAATTTTTTTACACGTTACTAAGCAAGTATGCGTTAAAAAGAGAGCAAATACTAGCCATGTCCCGCTCCGCCCCACCACCACCCCATTCAGCTAAATAAACTAGATTGACCGCTCATCCCACTTTTGCCTTTGCGAACATCGCTTCATCTTTGCAATCGCAGATCAAACCCTAGAGCGTTTGATAGTTAGTACTAATTGTACACATAGGAGAAAAGAAGAGAGCAAATCGCGCCACACCCGGCAGTGCCTGTCCCACCCCATTCAGTCAAATAAAAGAAATTGGTCACCCGTCCCAATACTCACCTTTAGAAACGTCGTTTATTCTTTGTAAATGCCTGTTCCACTCCACCCAGCTCAGCAAAATAAAAAAAGATCACTCATCCGACTACCGGCCCTTGCAAAAGTCGCTTAATGTTATAATCGCAGATCAAACGTGCAAACTAATTATTCATATGTACGCGAAACCGTAAACAGACACATTTTATAATTAAAAATATATTGAATTTGGAAAAAGTTGTTTGATATACGGATCTCCGATAAATTTGTCGAATTATATACATTAGTCAACTTCTAGTGAAAGTCCCTTCAAAATTGGTTAAGCCGTTTCAGAGATTAGCCAGGTTATTTTAATATTACAAATATGCACTCAAATTTTTATGTACAAGTATAAGTGTATTGAGAGAAGAAGTACCTTATTACTTACTTTATTTGCATTTCTTAATATAAATATATATTTTAACTTATTTATACAATTATACCTAGGTCTTTCGACCCATGCTGAAACTAACACATTCATTATATAAGAATTAATTCAACAAGCTATATTAATTTCATATAAATCGAATTTCGTGATCAAAGTTGGAAGTCCCACTATATTGCTCTATTAACGCTCACTCCAACGTACTGAGCTCCGACGGCCGTTGCATCGCATTTTGTGGTGATTTTGCGTTAACATTTATCGTTTTTATTGAAATAATATGATAAATTTATGCTTTAAACCTTTATTCCTTATGAAATAGTCATTAATCTGGCATAAATTTAGTTAAACAATATTGTTGTGGCTAAGAGAAATTCAAAGCTAACTTGAAGTAATTTTTATGTTTTTTGGTTTACAATATGATTATTTTTTCTATATTTTATCAGTGTTATTTCAAAATTTCAACGCTACTGCGTTCTTTACGACTATATAAGAGATAGAGTTTGGCAAGCGAAACGTGACACCACCTATTTTTCCGTTTTCATATGGCAACAACATAGAACTGTCAGTTTGACACTACGTTAGACAATTCAAGAATATTGAATTTTGTTGTTTTTGCGAATTTGAACTTGTGTTTTTGGTTAAAAATTATGTCGAAGCCGATAAAAAGTTCATCGAGGAAACTTCTTTCCATCATGATTGACAAGTTTACTGAAGTGAAAACTGAATTAAATAAAAATTTCATGGAGAAATTACAACGATTAGATAAAGTTGTATCTTTTTTAGGTTAGTTTTGTATTATAATTTTGATACTTTCGTTTTAATTTTCTGTAATTAACTAAACAGATATTTTTTATAAAATATTGCTCTATTTCAGATAACTGTGATGGTGATATTCAACCAATAATGGAGGAGATAAATGCAATAAAAACTTTAGAAAAACAAGAAATGCTGAATTCGGAAACGCAGTACTTACAAAAAATTTCTTCAATGACAGGTCTCTTTTCTTGTTTTGATTTAAGATAGATTGATAGTATTCCTATAATATTTACATAGGTTTTTTATGATGTATTGGTTTTTATTGTTGACATCCAATGATGTCATAAGAATGTTTTGTTTAACAAGGAAATTCACAGAATTCATGAAACTAATCAAACCATGTAATTGTTATACATGCTAAATATGCACATAAACTTAACTAAATTAAACATAAATTGCATTCATAGTTGAATAGGTATTTAAATTATTTTGATGTATGTGTCTATCATTATTTGCTTTTAAATACATTTAACATATCTTTGTTTCAAAGTGTTTAATCTTTTATAGATGTAAGTATAAGGACACTAAGAAGGATAAAAAATGAAGCATTAATTAATAAAGGAAAATGGGACACTCCTGGGAAAAAACGACCTCATCAACCAACAGTGTCTGCTTTAGATAATTTTGATTTAAGTGCAATTCGGAATAAAGTAAATGAATTTTACTGTGTGAAAAAAATTGTTCCAACATTAAGAAGCCTTCACAATGAATTAAAAGATGCAATAGAATTCAGTGGTAGCCGTGAGACTTTACGAAAAATTATGCTTAAGAATGGATTTTCTTTTAAAAGCAATGAAAATGAACGTTCTATGCTTATAGAAAAATACCAGATTTCTGCATGGAGGCACAAGTATTTGAGAGAAATAAATATAAAACGAAACGAAGGAAAGCAAATTGTGTACCTTGATGAAACTTATGTACATCAGAATTATAAAGTTAAAAAGTCTTGGCAAGGACCTTCAACAACTGGTGTCACTACAAAGATATCCTCTGGAAAACGGCATATTGTTGTGCATGCTGGATCTGAGGAAGGTTTTGTGCCTGGTGCATTATTAGTGTTCAGTAGTAAATCCAAATCTGCTGATTATCATGATGATATGAACTCATCGAACTTTATGAAATGGGTCAGAGAAAAATTAATACCAAATTTAAGTAAGCCCAGTGTAATTGTTATGGATAATGCCAGCTACCATATAAAACAAATCAATAAACCGCCTATAATGTCTAATACCAAAGCAGATATCCGTAAATGGCTTGTAAATAATGGAATACATTTTGAGGAATATCAGACAAAGGCAGAGTTAATGTGTTTGGTTAATGATAAGAAAACATTGCCTGTATATGAAGCTGAAGAGATTTTAAAAGAACATAATCATGAACTTTTATTGCTGCCACCGTATCATTGTGACTTAAACCCAATAGAGATGGTTTGGAGTCAAGCAAAAAGAAAAATTGCAAGCAGAAACATTGGAATACCAGGAAAGGAAATGGAAAACTTAATAATAGAGTGTTTTAACTTAATTACCCCTAGTGACTGGAAGAAATACACTGATCATGTTTTAAATGTCGAAAATGATTACAAATTAAAAGATGGCATTGTTGAAAACGAACTTGAAAAATTTATTATATCTGTTGGTGCAGACAGTAGTGAAGAGAGTGACTCTGATGATTCCTTGTCATTGTTATCAGGTGTAGAATATTTAGAAACAGATTTTGACTATGAATCAGACTAAAGTATTTTTAGTCTGATTCATAGTCAAAATCTTATCTTAAATTTTCTATTGTGATTAACATGATGATTTTGTGACACCTGTATTATGTAATTTATCCATGGCACTTAATTGTAACAAAAATAAATGTTTTTTTTATTGTAATCTGGTGTTTATATTGACTAATTTAATTTGATAGATAGTGGTTCTGGATCAGAGCAAAAGGTTGTGATGAAAATCCCTTAGGAGACATGTATGTGTTATGAACACATTATAAATATAAGGGCCAGAAATCAAAATTGGCTAACATCACATTTATTAAAAAAATGTGGCCAGAGTCGCCCATATTCATTACAAAAAAACAAAGAAGTCGTTGCAAAAAACACCCTTTTAATTAATGACAAATATGAATTTTTAATATTATAAGTGCTGTTAGCCAATAGGTATAACGAATGGGTTAAAAAAAAGATTCGATTTAGTCCGTCAGTCAGATAATAGAAAAATATTGGATACGTATTTTTTTTCGCTTTAATTTAACAACAAATGGCTTAAGAGGTACTATGCGACGACTTCAAATATGCTTTGCAACAATGTTACTTTAATACAGTTTATCGATACGAAATCAAGTGTCAAAATGGAGTCCAGTGGAGAATGCCGATATTGACATTTCGAAATTGCTCATCATTGATAGAGAATACGAAATAGTGATTTTGACACAATCAAAGTGTCTATTTTTTACGGTGATGACGATTCTTGGTTGTCAGTTGAGTTAGTGAATAGGCCTACTGATATGCTGTTAACTGTACAATTAAGAACAGTCACGCTTTAGTCAAATGTTCCAAAACAAATAATTTTAATTGATATCTAAATGTTAAGATTAAATATAATTAATAAAAGTATCAAAATTATTTTGCAGTACTACATTCAGTGTTTACTGCTTAAGAATTTTTGAAATTGCCGCCCTTTTCTTGTGACACGTTTCGCTTGCCAGACTCTATCATCCCATTTTTTTTATTTCGTTTGTTAAGAACAGTAGCTCAAAAAAAGTGTCTTTGCGCATTTTATGAAAATCTTTCTGTGCTATTTTGGGTTTAATTAAAAAGATAAGCAAAATTTCCAAAAAGTTAGGCCACTACTCTGTTCTATGCCAAGAGTTATTTTTCATTTTTCAATAAGTCAAAATTGTTAATTTATTTTTGTTTCCGAAATAAAGAACACCATTTTACACAAAAATCACAGTTGGGATATAATATGGCTCTTAAACAATAAATGAATATAACTAAACTGTGTGTGTCTAATTATCTTTATTTATGCCTGTTACGACTTCCGGATATAACGCTGAAATCACGTGGGCCCTTCAATGTGGCTATATCTTAATATAAATATATAGTCACGCCATCTAATGACTTATCCGTTAAACCTTCAACTATCAACGTTGTCGCACAGACTGTATGACAAAATAATTAGAGAATGAGCTCTCTTTTCCGCATTTACATACTTTACTCTTTATATTGGACGAAACGAAGAGAGGTTTGTGATAGATTTTTGCGATTGTAAAAACAAAATTATTTGATTTTGTGGTACTTATTTGGTCTGAAAGTGAAATAGTTACACTATCAATATTCGAAAGTGTCTTCTCATTTTATGAATGTGGTCAAATTACTCTGTTAACCTTTTTAAAGCTGTCCCAAAAATATGTTGAAAAACAACTGTGACGTCACAAATTCAGTCAGCTGAGGTGCATTGGCTACGCTGGACAGATAGATCAGAAGCAAAACAAACAAAATGGGAGGCGCAGTTAGCTCGGGTCGTGACAACAATGAGCTGATAGATAATTTGATGGGAGGAAACTATATTCGCACACGATGCGTCGAGAGAGTATTTCGAGCCCTAGACCGAGCCGACTATATGACGCCAGAGGCACGGGATCAAGCTTATAAGGATCTAGCCTGGCGAAATGGACCTCTTCACATGTCAGCTCCTTGTATATACAGGTATTTCCTCTTTGTGATATTTTTATAGATATAGTTATTCTAATACCGCCATTTTATAAAATTGTGTCGACCCTCTTCACAAACATTTCAATATGAATATGAAATGCTTTTATAAAAAACCCATCAGGATAAAGATTGATTAAAAACTTCTCCAAATGTGATAGTGGTGCACCTTTAAATGTTTTTATGTTGATGGTTATGCCATGTCCATAAAATAAACTGTTATGTTTTTATTTATAGTGAAGTTATGGAAGGTTTAGAGCTGAGGCCAGGACTCTCATTCCTAAATGTTGGGTCAGGTACGGGATATCTGAGCACCCTTGTCGGACTCATATTAGGCTCTGGAGGGATCAGTCATGGTGTTGAAGTACACCCAGTTGTAGTGGAATATGCTAACAAAAAGATGAGCCAGTTTATAGAAAACTCACCTACATTAGATGAATTTGATTTTTGTGAACCGAAGTTTTATTATGGTGAGTAAACTAGTAGTATTTTTTTTTTATTATTCATAAGATTTTTATAAATGTCACCAAACAGGTAATTTAAATGTATCTCTTATACTTTTGCTATATGACTATTGTAGGTCATGACTTGGATATTTTTTGCAGGAGTATTACATGAGTGAGAGTATAACTTATAATCACCAGGTAACGGCTTGTGTCTCGCTCCGCTGCAGGCGCCCTACGATCGAGTGTACTGCGGTGCCGGCTGCCCTGACGAGTATCAGAACTACTTTAAGCAACTCATTAAGGTAAAATCTCGAATCATTTTTTACCTTTTTTAAAAATTGAATTATCAAAATAAACTATTTATACTCCATTCATTATAGCATTAGACAGAATGAAAATAAGGTTCTTTTTATGGTATACTTTGTGACAAAATGTCAAGAATCATGTCAATCTTAAGACTAACGGCTAATTTTCTACATATCCACTTAAATACCAGCTGCTATACTTAACCGTTGTCTTTTAAGCTATATATTAAACAAATTTATGAGTATTTGACTGACTTAAAACATTTAATAATTATTGCAATAAAAAGTGTTCATCTTAAAGAACCTAAAGAAGCAGGGTTAGATAGTTTCGACACGATTCTCATGTCACTATAACTCTACCAAATTTAAGACGTTGCCTAATCCCTTCAAACGTTTCGGCAGTACAGCTGTTTAATTTTGTCAGATTATGATTTATTTATAATAGTCAAAATACGTAATCTGGGATTGTCATTAATTGTGAATGCTACTGCCTTTCCTGTTGTTTTGCCATTTTCGGTGATTGAGTAATTACTGTTTTATTGTTGTTTTCTTGTAGTTTTGTTTTAGTTGTTATCTTTTTGTTGTTTAGTTTTGCTAAATTGCGATTCCGGTGCAGGCCTGAGTGGCCTACAATAATTACCTTTGGCATTTCAGCAAGTTTTTCCAATATCTTAATCAATAGTCTAATAATATCTGAATAAATTTTATAACAGTAATAATAAAAAAATCATTTTGTTTACCTTTATTTTCTGGGCATAGATATAACTAAAATATATTCTAATTATATACACTTACAATTAGAATCAATCAAAACAACAATTAGATAGTTCTATTTCCATGTTGGCTCACAGTAAAATATGAATTTAGAAAATGCTAGTCTCATCTCAACCCCGAAAAAAAATAGAATTGGCCAATTCTTTCAGACTACCTAATGTTCAAAATATCAACAAAACTATAAATATTTTTTAAATTTATCTTGTAAATAAAATGTTCTGCACTGCTGCTTCTGAGATCCCCTTTTTTCTAATGTTATAATGAATGGAGTATAGTTATATTTAGGTATGTTACTGGTAGGCTAATGTTTTGCAATATACCTATGATAATCATATAGAAATTTTTGATTCTTTTAATTTTAATTATAAAAAACACTATAAGACACTAATATATTTTTTTTTGTAATTATATAATGAAATTAGGGTTATGAAATTGCCTTTTAAGATTTGGTGCAAATCTGATCGAAGATCTGTCAAGTGTCTCATGGATGAATAAATAAATATTATACAACATCACATACCTTGCTCAGATCCTAAATTAAGTTTCTTAAGTACTTGTATTATTAAAATCTGAAACAAGGAAGGGACCACAACACCCAGACCTAAGACTATTAACCCAACAGGGAATTGAACCAGAAATCTTTGTTCATCATGCATATGGTGTGCAAGGTTGAATATCATATCAATTATGTTTGACTCTTCTGATGTGACCGTGAAGAACAAGACAATGTATTTTCTGACAGATATGGGCTGACCCTTAAGCTTATCATTTCACATTGTAAATATTTTCTTTAACTCAATTTTTGATAAAACACAAATGTGCCTAAACACATGATAACAGATAACAATAATATTTGCTGTATTAAACAGTACGAATTTACTCAATGACTTTAAAATTATCAATGTAAAATTATAAATATAATCAATTTAAAAACTTTCCTATTATATATACACTTATATGAGTGTTTGGTATCGAGGAGGTGGGTGAAGAAAGCTTTGCTCACCCTGGATCTTACCTTTATTTTTATTTTAAATTGACATTTTATTTCATAGTACAGGAGGAGAATGTATTATATACTCATTTGGTATTATTATCACTAATCTTCCTTAACAATTCATAAGGAAGGCCTGAGCTCTTGCAGTGGGGACGTGAAATGGCTGATGATGATACTAAATATGATGGTTTTAAACATTTATTCCTAGAGTTTTATTTGCATTATGAGTCATAAAATCTACTAGTTATGGAAAAATAAGTAAATGGAATAAATTTTTTAACAAGTAAATTGTGTTAATTAATAAGAAAAAGTCGACTTATTACATTTCCTGACTGCATATATCTAACGCCAAATGATGATGATGTATCAATGAAAACAGCTTCTTTTGTTATTTTGGGATACAGTCACAAGAACTGGGTCAAAAAGCTGCACTATATTATGTGCCATATTTTTGTTTCATTTTACTACTTTGATATGTCTTTTGGACTGGGATAATGACTAATTAGGTAAATCTATATCATTCTTTAACATTTGTTCGTCCACATTATAAAAGTATGTGTCAAAGTAGTAAAATTAAACGAAATATTGACATCTCTATTACCAACTTAGGATGGCACATTCTATGGCTATATAGTTAGGCAGTCGCACTCCTTATAAGGCGGCTGCCACTCGGATGCAGCTATGTAACTGTAACGGCACGTAAAAAGTTTGCAAGTGCTCTAAAAGGTCAGTGGTCATCAACAGGTGGGTGGTTTGTTGGTGATGCCGTTGAACGACAACTTGCTGCAAGTGCGGCGCGTGGGTGAGACGGAGTGGGTATCGCGCAGTCTACTTAACGTATCGTTTGCGTCCCTGCGCGTACCCACAAAGGATGAAGCCATCGACCTCATCAAGCTCGGTCAGTGATCATAGTCAACATGCTTTATATTTAATTGGTAGATACTATTTTGAAGAATAGAGTAATTTACTTACAGGAGATCGATTCTATTATATTTAGTTGGACTTGAAGTGTCTCATTTATTAAATAAAAGTTCCCCGTCGACCTTTTCTGATAACATCATTTAAAATACACAGAACAGAAAAAGTATATGATTAGTTCATAAATTTTATGTTGTATTCGTCACTGTAGATGTTGGACACTTCTCTTTCTTTTTACCATACTATGTTGAAGAATACAGAAGAATTTTTTTTTTATGATCACCCTCCTGTACCCTATTCTTTTTTCTCTCTTATCACCATCAATTGGCTGGGCAGGAATACGATCACGTTTTGCGGACTGTGTGTTCTCACTACACGGAAGCAACTTCTGTATAATGCGCCTAGTCCAGTAATGAGCTGCATCAAGAGTATGAGTTAAGAATTGAAATGTTATCCTGTATAGACGTAACTGTGTGTGCATGTAGAGGAGCAGACGCCCGTGCGGCTGCAGGTGCTGTGCCGCGCGGCGGTGCGCGCGGGCATGCGCGTGGGGCTGCTGCGCCGCCACCCCGAGCTGAGGGAGCCCCCGCCGCGCCACCCGCCCGCCAAGAAGCCCTGCCCGCGCCGCATCTGCATACCCATCGAGGACGACAGCGACGTCGGTCGGTAACAGTAGCCTCCGGCACCGCACCCACCTATATGTGTTTCTGTTTTCCGGTACAGGTTTTTTACTCTGACGTTTTTGAACGTTGCCAATGGGCATTGTTTGTATTTGAAGCCGTTCTCGCTTATTTTAGCAGTCGAAAAAAGGCTCTAGGCTCGGTATACTATTTTTGGCATGGTTAGGTTTCCTTGCACGTTTTTAATCGTTATAGAGAAAGTTCGTAAAGTTAATGATCAATCGATGTTATTTCTCAATTTTTTAGACGTAGCGTCCGAATTTATAAAAAGAGGTAGCAAAATTATTCTTCTACTTCTCTTTATAAATTCCAGATAAACGACGAGACGATATTTATTTTTTTATATAAAATGAAAGAGTCTTAAGAAAATATTCTAACGGGCCGGTCGGTTCGCAGAGGGCCTGAACGCGCTCCACGATTTGGACGCCGCGGACGGAGCCCACGAGATGAACGCCCTCCTCAGTCTCGTCCTGAGCATGGGGCAGAACAGGGTCGCGGGTGCGCTGCGCTTCGACAGGCTCGACTCCCCGCCGCTCGACTCCTCCGACGAAGACGACGAGGACGAGCAGCGCGAAGACGCCGCCGACGACGGCGACGACGGCGATGACGACGACGGCGGCGGCGGGCCGGGCGGAGACGCCCCCGCCGTGCCCGCGGAGCCGACGTCACCCGACCGCGCCCGACCGCGGCCGAGGAGCCGAGCGTGCAGCGAGGACGGGCGGGCGGAGGCGCGGTCTCGGCGCGGGCTGCTGACGTTCGAGTTCCGCGACGTGAGGGCCGGCGCCCCGCCCTCCTCCTCCTCCGCCCCGCCCACGCCCAGCGACACCACCGACTACACAGACTCGGAGAAACCCGACGCCGCGCCCCGCGATGATCCCAAAGAGCCCGACGACGGCCCCGGTGTCCCGGCCGAGGTCGAGATCTATTTGGGGAAATCGATCGACTCCGGGGCCGGGCCCTCGGGATCCATGGAGTGGGAGGTCGAGATGGAGGACGAGGGGTCGAGTGACGAGGAGACTCCGGGAGACTCGTCCGGGGTCAAAGAGGAGAAGCGGCAAAAGTTGGACAGCGGCATCGGCGAAGAGAACACGCCTACCGGCGACTCGTCGCCGACCAAGTCCGATTCGAAGACGGACGAGTCGGACGCGGACTTGTCGCGACCTTCGGATAGTCTCACGGACGACGTCGATGACACCAAAGTTACGAGTGAGTATTGATTGATTCATGAAATAGTTGACATAAATGTCATCACGAGTATCGAAGGTGACTATTTATTTAATATGTCCGTATATCTGTACAGACCAGCTAGAACGGCCACGCATATGTTTACATAATGCTGATTGAGATTTAATATTGTTAAGCTTGAGAATTGTCTTTTCAATTTACGAAAAATTTAATGCATATTATAAAAATTTTTGTTTTTTTTTTCCAATTTCAAAAATACTCAATATTATTTTTCGTCAAATTTAAAGTATTTCGTAAAGTTACGTAAAATAAAAATTCAAACAAACATAATAGTTCTTACGAATCGTCCAACATTTTAACCATTAGTTCTAGTTCGAAAAGAAGGGGCGGCAGAAACTCTCCCGCTCTAATAGAAAGAACGAAATTTACAAAAACCATGTCATTACCAGACCAATCCTAATCGTTTAAAACACAACACTCCACTTGAACTATTTCAGGAGACTTATATGTAAAAGTACCTCCCGACCGATTTCTTAAAACCGATGGTCTACATGTCTGATTTAGGTCGCCGACGGCTCCAGAAGCGCGGACGGTATTCGGGCGGCGCGCGCTCCTCCACCTCCACGGAGGGGTCGTCAGAGGGAGCGGGCGGGGGCGCGGGGGCGGGGGCGGGCGCGGCCGCATGCGGGGAGCGGCGCCGCTGCAAGCGACGCGCGGGCGATGCGCCCTCCGCCGACGCGCGCCGCGTGCGACTCTCTATACTCATGAAGCGCGGGGTCAAGGAACTGCCGCTGCCGTACGCACTCAAGAAGTACGTCAACCTCGGACGCTGCTTCGAATTTTAAATGTGCCGGTGAATAGTGTTGCTTACGACAGTCCCCTGTCGATAGTGAAGGCCGTACTTGTATTATCGATAGTGTCGCCGTCCTCGTGCCGATAGTATCGATTTATTTATCGATAGTGTTTACACATGGCGTATCGATTTCCTGAATATTTTAAGAGGTCGATTATCGAGAGTGAAACTGTCGATGGTACCGCGACCCGAGTGGTGAACGTTGATTTTGAAACGGTGGCTCGCGAACGTCGAATGGAAGGTGAGATCCCCGACGGGGTAGAATGAATTGAAAATGCGTCGTGCTGAAGTTGAAAATTGTCATCGAACCGGAGACGACGGCCGGTGCCCGGTGACCGATTCGGGTGATTTTGTAATTTACTGAAGCGTTTAAATGATAAGTTTGAATTTTTTGTTTAGAATTTTATTTTAGTGACTCTTTGTACTTTCGAAAATTTAGATCCTGGCTTATTATTAAGACTGTATGTATCGTGGGAGGTTTACGAATTAGTCGACTTATTAGAGAAGGAGTATGTTCTTTGTCGGACTGAGTTCGATCAAATAGCAAATCTCTCGGCGTCTTGAGAGTTGTCATCGCTGCCAAAGACCTTCTATTGATGGTAATATTTACATGAGACCTGTCGTATGAGATGTATATAAATAATGTGACAGTATGAATCTAACTCTGGATCGGTCACATCTACCAAGAGAAACTGAAGTATGAATATTGAAGACTGTTCAATGAGAGTGTTCGACTCTAATGTATATAAAATATTTACACGTATATCTCGGAGATCCGTTGGTGCGCGGACGACGCGACGGTTCACTTGTAGTGTTGCGTCAACAGCCGTGTGACGTCAGTGATGCGCATGTGACGTCAGCATGGCATAGACATGTCATGTTAGTGGTAGTCTATTTTATAGTTACATATTATGGGTTTGAACAGTTGGACGTATTAAAACTGCAGGGCAGTTGTCAGAGTTACAGTTTATTTAAAATAAATAAAAAAATATGCGCAGTGTAGTGGATCTAACTGCAATGAATCTACAGTTTGCAACTGAACTATTGAATCCAGCAGGTAAATTTGGCTAATTTTTAAATAATCGCATCTCATTTTTAAATAGAATCTTAACTACTTCCATTATCCCATTGTATTATCTACCTGAAGTCCGATATTATTATTAATCACCATTGTGTGAGGCAGACATATAATGGACTTTACGTAGATTCTATTGAGATGCGATTATTATATAAATATGACAGAATTGGCCTGCATGTGTGCTGCACTATTGAAGTGTAGTTTAGATGCAGTTATGTCAACTTCACTGAAAATGCAAATATAGTCTGTATGCTTAGAGCCTTTGGGTTGAAATTCGTGCTTTAGCATTTTTATTCATGACGAAAGTCTTCACTCAGATTTGACCCACAGTCGAAAATGATGTGTATTATATGGATTCATTAAGACTTGTTGCCGTTTAATTAAAAAATAATGCAAGGGATCTGTACGCGTTATGGAATCTTGTTTTATGTATGTTGTAGCTCACATGAATCCAACTATTATTAGCGAAGTCATTGCTAAGTACTTTTATATATTATAACAAATATCAATGTTTTACTGTAACATCAAGTGGAGTGAGAGTGTGGGAGACTTTTAACCATATTTATACAAGTTTCTGCATTGAACACTCCATATTTGTCAGAACAAATGAGAGATAGCAATCTGTGAAAGAGTTCTACATTTTTTATGACGATCAATGTAGACTCCACTCCTAAGAGACAAGGCATTATAAGATTGAACATTACTGTACTGTACACTTATTTTAATATCAAGATATAAGGTTCATTTTTCTATGTTTCACTCTGTTGAGTCACATTGGTGTCTACTTAATGTAATAAGTGCAGAAAGTTAAGGACTGATTAGCTCACCATATTTACGAGCGTCTCAGTATTTTTCTACAACTTCATTCCCTTTTGTCGTATCTCTAGAGTAGAGATAAGACTTAACTAAATTATCATGTAAATGTGTACACTTGCACCTTTACTTGCTCCAGCTACTCGCACCGTGTGCTAGAGCCAGCAGTTTCGTACATTGTAATATTGCTTAGCAATCACTTGGTTAATACTAAATGATTATATTAGGACCTGGAGCCTCATGCTGTTGTGTCTATTTGCTTATAGAATATGATGTGCTCCTGTGATATTTAATTAATATTCTAATCAAATTTGACTGATAATTTAATTATTCTTTATTTTGTTTATTGCCAGTTTTTATCGGTTTTTATAATAAATGTTCATAGATAGTGGGTTACATCTATCTCATTTTATTATTGAGCTTGTTGTCGAGATATTGGATCATGTTATGCGTAGATGATCCAGCCTACAAATCGGCTAAAATATAAATTTAGTAATAAAAAAAAATATCTTTATTCTGTTGTCTAAAAGACTCGTTATTTTTATTAATTAGAAATAATTTTTATTATCATAAATATCACACTTTTATTATGTAAAACATAATTATAGCTTTAAATTTTAATAGAAGTTAATTGTATAGGTTGAATCTCTTCTGCATAATACGGCTCAATTAAAGTTACCTAGTCGAGAATATTAATTTGGTATATGACAGTGTGTTCTTAAGTTGTGACGTCACGCAACGGCACGTCGCGCCACGTCATGTCACGTTGCGTCGGCCGCAGTCGCGTGCGGCTCTGGGTGTTCATTTGTGTTTATAATAAGTACTGTTTAATTCATTGTAAATATTGTCCATTGTTTTTGTTGCAACTAAATATATAATTTTATTGCCAGAGTTATTTGTTTTATTTACTATTGTACATTGAAACCAGGTACATACCCACCTATTTGATATAATTGTTCAATGCGATACTGTATGGTCAATTTCTTATTTTGTTTTATAGTATCTTAGTTACTTAAGAGGCCTATTACAAATACAATTAAAAAATAAACCTACACGACTGAATAAACTGAGTTCAGACGGCCGGTGCGTCGTATTACTATAACGATAAATATATAGTTATATTTATCGTTTTTATTGAAATAAGATAATAAATTTGTGATTTATAACTTTTATAAAATTTTTATTCCACATGAAATAATATTTATGCTGGTACAAATTTTGTTTAATAATATTACTATTCATCTGATTCTGAGATCAAGCACGCTCAAATTGACTATTTTATGCAAACATCATGTTACATTGTAAGCATTTGTGTACACGAGGCTGTTCGCCGCCACCGCCGCGCATCTAGCTGTTACTGTGACTCTATAAGATCAAACGTGCCGGCGGTGCGGTGGCAGTTAACAGGGCCATTAGTAGATTTACAGTTACGTTCTAATTGACGCGTCACCAAACAGTGACTATATTAATGAGATACGAGGGAAAAATCGATCACATTGGCTAAATGTAGGTAATCAAGGAAGGAGTCAAATAAAACGGTAATTTTCAATTATAAATCGTCGCTCGTTTTTATATAGGTATATCGGCTGAGTTCATAGATAGCCTCGATGTGACAAAACTTAAATTAGGCCTTAAATAAATACGTGCTACTTAAGTCCTACGTGTGAGTATTCACGCGGTGGGTGCCTATCGTGCTACGGAATATATTTACATGCATTGTTCACTGTTTCGGAATATGCGGCCGGATTGTCCTTACTAGCGTCCTACTGTCTGGTAAAACAAACTCCGGGAGCGAATACTACTCCCCGAATTCTGTTTGGGCGGAGCGCAAACGTGCGACGGTATTTCATTGCACTTTTATCGCCAATGGAGTTATCATCTGACGGCGAGTGGAGGGGGAGAGCGCTAGCACCACCTGGCGGGCGGCACGAGCGGCGTGGGCTCCGGGTACAGGTCGTCGGCGGCGGGCGTCGCGCCCTGCAGCGCGCGGCGGATGGGCCGCGGCGTGGCCCGCGACATCTCCCGCCCCCGCTCCCGCTCCCGCGCCCACCTGTCCGCCGCGTGCGTGCGCTTCACCGGCCTTTTGCCCGCATCCCCGCAATCCCCGTTCTGTGTGTTCGAGGGCGGCCGACTCGGCGTCTCCGATTCGCTCCCGTTGAGTAGAGAGTGCGCGCTCCGCGCTTTATGTAGCGACAGCCGGAGCGGTTTCCTCGGCGGCGTCGGTCTCGCATCCGCCTCATCCCGCCGGTCGTCGTTCTTCCTGTAGTGGCCGAGTCTCGTTGAGCCCGACTCGGAACCGTAGTCGATCCGCGGCGTGCTTCCGTATACGTCGCCGTTCGGGAAGTCGGAGCACTCGGACTCGAACTCGGACGATTTGGCGCTCCGCGAGTGCAGTTTCGACGACCGTCTGCTCGACTTGTGCGCGTTCTCGAGCACCTTCCCGTCTATCCGGCGGTACATGTGGCGCTTCTCGGTCTCGAGCCGCACGTCCTCCGAGCTGTCGGCTTTCTTCGCTTTTCGCAGCCGCTGCGAGCGCTTCAGCTGCTCTATTATCGACAGAGTCTTCCTCTCGGCCCAGTTCGTTTTCTTTATGCTCTCTTCGATCCGATCGGCGACCTTCTCCATTTCGGAGGGGTCGCGGTCAGCCTGGCCGCGACTCGCCGGTGAATCCTGGACGTCGAGGTCGCCGGCGGATCGGAACAGGTCGTCGGCTTTCGAGCGGCTGAGCCGTTCCGATTTGAGCCGCTGCCGCTCGATGTGCCGCTGGTTGCGCTCGATCATGCGGATGGCGGCGTCGGTTTCGGCGCCGTAGTCGGCGGGCGCGTGGACGAAGTGGTGGGAGAGCGAGTGGCGGGCACGGTGTGCGGTGCCGCGGTGCTCGACGCTGTGCGAGCTGTGGGAACGGTGCGGGCGCACGGCAGGCGGGGGTGGGGAGGGGGGCGCGCGGGAGGAGGCGCCGGACGCGTTGGAGCGTGGCCTCATCAGCGGTAGGTCCGCCTCCGCACCCTCGAGCCCCGGCAGCTTCGCCACGATGGCCGTGATGTCCGGACCCTTCTGGAACACTTGCACCTCCGATTTGGGGCTCCGCCTGCACGGCGGCTCCGACGTGATGTTGATGTTGGTCACGTTTTTCTTAGTTTTGTTGACTGTTATGCAGCCGCTGTCGTTGCTGCTCATCGGTTGCAGCTGAAATGGCAGAGATTTGGGGGCCGATTAAAAATTACGATACCATATCGTAACGGCTTATCGCGGAATATTAGAATTGATAAATTATATAAAATGACATTCGACCTTTCACATTTCACGGAAATGCAGGCGCGTACGTCCTTCAGACGGATGTTCTGCGAACCTTGTTTACAAAACATGTTATATAACGTACATCGGCCATGTATTTTTTAAATTTTAGCTTAAACGATTGAGGAATAACACGAGATTTCATTATATTTGCCACACCTGCGCATGCCTGGCCAGCATCTCTGCTACTTGTTCCTCAAGGTAGGAGATGCGGTGTGTAAGGCGTGTGTTATCAGCTCGCAAACCCTCTTTAGCTCGTTCCGCTTCTTCCGCCGCGGACCTCAGTACGCCCAACTCGGCTCGTAGCGACGCTGCCTCGGTCTACAGTAAAGAGAAAAACGCGGACTCCTCGATCAAATCAATAGACCGGTGGTTTCTAACCTTTCATGATTTTCATCTCTATGACATAAAACTGATTTTACCCACCAAAAATAATACAAATATTTTAGATAAATAATTGTTTTTTTTCTCTTTACTATCATCAAAACCTGAAGAATGTTATCTTATCACTATATAATGACAAAGTTGCTGAACAGATAAAACATATAACAAATAAATAAATATAAAATATATTAATTTATGATGCTTACGGTCAGTCGCAATTGTCATTAGTTTAAAGCGACATTATCAATACAAATTTGACATTCATTAGAGTTTAAAGGCGTCGTTTAGAGGAGTCAGTTAATAGACGTTTGTGAAACTGACTATTAGAAAAATAAAAAGACAAATTTCATTAAGATTATAAATGGGTAGTTCGCAGAATAAAAATATACTATAGGTAATGCCTGACTTGATTTGAAAATATTGCTGGCTTAGATGTCTATCTGCCACAATTTAAATTAGAATAGAAAACTAAAATCAATTTAGGTACTCGGTAGACCTCCCGTCGATGATTATACTTCGATGTAAGTAACCTTGGGAGTTATAGAGTGTAAACTATTTTCGTTTCCATTACCTGTGTGAGAGCCGTAGGGGGCGGTTGAGTCGCAGGCGTGACGTTACTGGCGGCCACTTGTGATCGAAGCAGCACGAGCCGCGCGGGACCCACGCCTAACGCTCGCTGCACCTCGTCCACGCTCCTACACGACACCATCGCCGTGCCATTCACTTCTACTAACCTGCCATACAATGCAAACATAAATATTATTTTAATCGTTACGTCGTTAAAAAGAGGAGTCCCACAGGGGTCGATTTTGGGTCCGATTCTATTCATTATATTTGTTAATGACTTAGATGCGTATATGACAACAGTACAATCTGACTTAAGATTAACAAATGCCATAGTTTCCGCAAATTCAATGGACGAAAACTGGTTCATTAAAAACGATTTGATTTTGAACAAAAATAAGACATGTGCTATGTTGTTCAGATCAACTGCTAGACATAGGGACATGTTGGACGTTGCCGCGGATGGTGTGGGTGTCGATTCGGTGAAGTCGGTAAAATTTTTGGGTGTACATATTGACATGGACTTAAATTGGACTAGGGAAATGGCGGCTCTGGATTCAACTTTAAGCTCAGCATGCTATGCTATTCGTAGTCTGAGAGAGGAGTTAACTTTAGAACAGCTAAAATTGGTTTATTTTGCCCTTGTTGAGTCGAGGCTCCGCTATAGTATTATGTTCTGGGGTAACAGCTATAAATATAATATTACAGCAGCGTTCGTCCTACAAAAACGTGCTATACGCACTATGATGCGAATTCCACAAATAGAATCATGTAAACCGCATTTCGTAGAACTTCAGATATTAACAGTCACCTGCTTGTATATTTTAGTCCTACTTACGCATTTTGTAAAAAATATACATAAATATGAAACAAATGAGGAAAGAAAGCATAGGAAACTAATACGCCGAAATGATGTGAAAAATGAGTTTTTACCAAGGCTCAACGTTGCAATACATTGTGTGAGGCACCAAGCCAGCAAGCTATATAATGCTCTGCCGATAGAGTTTAAAAAAATTGACGGTCAACACATATTTCAAAATAAACTTAAATCATTTTTATTGGAGAAGTGCTACTATTCAATCGATGAGTACTTGAATGACAAAAATAAATAACTTGACATTTTTGTTTACCTATGATTGTTTTGACATAAGTTGCGCAACCTTGACATTGATATATTTGTAATTTTGCATGTGGAATTTTATTTGACTTTGTATCGTTATATAATTTGATCTTATTTTGTTGTTGTGATTATATATTGTAATTTCCGATACAATGAATATTGTTTTATGGAATAAATGATGAAATGAAATCATCAACCTATCAACGGTGGGCGTAAAACCAAAATAGAAAGATGATGGCGAATTGCGCGTCAGGGACTGATTTTAATTATCACTATTAGATCATGAGAAGCATTGCTGCATAATTCCCTTGGCTGCATATGTCAATCAAAGAAATAAATTAATACCCCTGTACACTATAATAATAATAAGTTTACTTTTAAAAGAGGAAAGATTAGACTGTTTATTTGCATCGAATGAACTCCGAAACTACTGGACGTATTTAAAAAAATATTTCACACTAGCTCTCCGGCAGCGGCTTCGCGGACATGGTCCTGTATTATACATATAAACCTTCCTCTAGAATCACTGTATATATTGATAGAAACGGCATTATAGGCTATAAAATTGGCGCGGGCGAAGTCGTGGGAGAATAGTACGTGTCCGTCAAGACAACCTAAATTTTAGTCTAGTTCATGCAACAGAGATCTTATGGGATGTGCAAATCAAACGTTGCCTTATTTAATAACAAAGTTCCCATGGCCATCTTTCAGTTCATGCTTTGGACCCTGGATATAATTTCGGTCCTAAGTCCTCGTCAAGCAAAATTAAATGAGTTCTTAGAAATATTTGATCAATCACTCTGGGCAAGTGAATTTTACAGCATATTTTTCAGTTTAATAACCCTTGTCATTCACTGCCAACCGATTTTCGCGCGCACCCGCGGCCATATAGGTTAAAACATTTTTTGTATTGCGTTCCCTATTCAAAGGGTAGATAGATAGATAATTAATTTAATCTAAATGCAACACACAACCACATTATACAGAGAATAAAAAATAAATAAAGACATAATAGAAAAAATATTAACTAGGAATAAGTCATGTACCTGTGTGTAGCAGAGAGAAAGGGTCTAGGCTCAGACCCTTTCTCTCTGCTACACACAGGTACATGACTTATGATTGCATTGAAATCAACGAAATGTCGATGAAGCACTGATTTTCAGTCATCACCCCAGCTGAGACGAGCAGGGTCAAAATCGAAGAAAAAGGAGAGTAAAACGAAAGAACAAACAAAATATAGATCAGAAGCATGTCAGTTAGTATGGTCAATGTTATAATAATGTCAGAAAGTACATACTATATATAAAATCAATAAATAATACAGTGTAATAGAATAATTTTTTGAAAAAAAAGCATCGTAATAATATGATATCAAATTTGAATGAACATTTTTGATGGTTTTAAGATTTTATTTTTGTAACATCAATGTAACACTATGGTTTTGCAATAAACATTTGAGTATTGAGTATTGAGTATTTAATATTATGTCAGATTGTAGGTAATTATTAATAGTCATTGTATTGTGATAAATAATGTCATAAGGTAGTAAAATACTATTATTTAATTAAAGTTAAATTAATATTTTTTTGTAATTCCTGTAAGTGTGCCTTCAATTTTAATTTAAATGTCGATACAGAGGTAAGACCTCTCAGAGGTGGTGGTATATCATTCCAACACTTGGTGGATTGAAATTTAAAACTACCTATAAAAAAACTATTACTAAGACTCCACTTTCTATTCGTCTCCGATAATGTATTTGTGTTTGCACTATAGCAATAAATACTAAAGAACAAACGTTGCCCACACAACAAACGTGATTTTTTATATATAATGGTACGGGATCCTTTGTGCGCGAATCCGAATCGCGTGGCCGGTTTTTCTTCATACTTCTAGGTCGTGTTTTCTTCATATATTAATTCAATTATATCTATTGACTGATGCATAAGTAAGATTTTAATTTGTGCTGTACCGAATTACCGTATCATTTTATTAGAATGGATATAAATAGAGTTTAACTAAACTAACATTATGATACCGACTTCAACGATCCACTTTAATAAATGGTCGTAGTCGATTGCATTCCATTATCTTTATAAGGGTCTAGCGATAAAGAGTAAATGGTTTGTAATTACTGTGAGAAAATAATGGCGAAATCATCGATAGCTGGTTAGAAAAAAAGTTGTAAAGCTGCCGCCTTGTTCATTCTCATAAACTACTTAGGCTTACTCGTATGTTATGTAACTAGGATTATTCGTAACGCGTTGATGTCTTTTATTAGAAAAACGCACTATACATATATCGAGATCTGAAATGCCTATAAGATATTATTAGATATATTAAAATATTTTTTTTTGAATGGAGAAAATTTATAAAAAGCGATGTTTATTTTCAAACGCCACGATTACCCGGTGCCAGTTTTAATGCGTTGCATATAAATGAGACGGCAACAAATTGCGCGCCGCGGGTCGCATCCTCGGCTCCATCCAGGTGGTGTGATCAGACTATTTACATTGACCCTCATCTCGGTCATTGGAGGTAACCGAACTGTTTGCAAAATGTATAAATGTGCATTAAACACCGTTACGATCACTTTTAAAACTTCTAACTTTTCGTTCCCATTTGAAGAAAGAAAACTTGACTATCCACCATCACGTGGTTCTTGTGATGAGCGGCTTGCAGTCCAGTCGTTAACAATTGCAGTACCAATGAAGCCTTGAGAACCAGCTCAACGTGACTTATGTATCATGGAGGAGATTGAGATAATAATATTCGGTCACCCATCCTACGAACGAACCTTGCGAAAATTGCTTAACTTCCACATATCAGACCACTGCGCGAGCGAAAACATGTTTAAAATGGACTATTAACCATCGAATAATCACCATATTGGAGGCGAGCCATTGCTGTGGAACATGCGTGACCAACTATTATGAATTGATTGCGTTATTTATCATAAACAGTAATTGTCAGATGTGTTTAATTCACACTGTAATCCATAACGAATAGTCTCTTAAGCGAGGTTTGAGTATACAAACAAATATACTGACAGCCGAGAATAGGAATTTTGGATAAAACATTCCGTAATATAGTCAAGCTTATATCGAGGTTGGTGTGTTGATGTACATGTTTCATTTAATATCATCTGTGATGCTGTCAGTAATTATAAGACAGCATGCTTCGTAAGAACCAAAGATTCTCAAAGTGTGATGCGCGCTTTTTACGAGAGATAATTACGAGTAGAAAGAAAAGTTTTTTTAGGTCAAATCCATCGATGTTTGAAATGTAGCTAGTGATTATATTAAAACTGTGAATTTTATAGGTCGGACGAGCCTTCTTGGTGAAAAGAATAGAGGAATGAGAAGATGAGCTTCTCGGCGTGAGTCTATCCGGCCTATTATAGTTGAGAACTACAGATTATTGAGTGAGTTACACACAAGAGCTAACAGACCTGTCTCCTGATCGTAGTGGTGTATTATCGGCAGTCCAGTCGACGCAGACGCCTGTGCCACGTGCTGCGGGCCCCCATGAACCTTCGCGCGCTTCTGCCGCTACCAGAGTCGCCGTGCCACCACACTCACGTACTGTGCTGCAGTTAAATTTCACACTTAAGAGTCGTAAACACGGACGCAGACTAGAGCTCCGACTATAGTGACCTTACTCTTTGTCAACAGACTGAAAGACTTAGTGCAAACCTTAATAAAATATCGTATGTTTTTTAAATATATATATCTCACCAGTATGGCAATACTGCCGTTTGGAAAACGAGTTTCCACTAAAATCATCTTGGTGGTAACATTTGGTCGTCAACCAGTGCTTCAACCAAGGTCTAAGATCACCTTGGTTGGAGCACTGGTTTGCAACCATGTAGATAGCTTATTAATTTATTTTAGAATACAGACGAAAAAATGGACGACACAAAGTATTTGAAAATATGCATTTTGTAGTCAAACAATAAATTTTAATTTATAATCCTTATTTTTAAACATAGTTAACTTGGTAAAAGGTCAAATAACTACCAAAAATTATAATAATAACTTTTTCATTTGTTAAATTTTCGATCACCTATTGTGGATATTTACCCGAGATACAGATTCCCATAATTTAGATTGAAACAATAAATCGTATATTAATAAAGAGGGAAAAAAATATTAAATAACAATTACAGTTATTGTTCATACTAAAAATATTTTTATAGGTTTAACTATAAAAGATAACATCATACACATTGCTTCGATTGTAAATTAAGTATCTATGCTCTTAAAATTATAACCTACATATTTAATTACCATTATTAGCGATATGAAGGATTTTACAGCACATTATGCCGTTGGATTACGTGTCTTAGTTAACCATAAAACCAAGACACGTAATCCAAAGCGTAAATTAGATATAGCACGTACTATATATATTTTAACAAATGTTATATTCAGCAAGGACTATTTTAACTTTTATTATTGTTGGGAAGATGTACAAAAAGTCTAATTATCGTTGGATATAATTCACTGTAAAGAACAGCATCGAATTCAAAGAAATGAAACCCTTATTACCCTTTGAAGTAAGTTTTATTTATTAGAACCTCTATGCTGATAAAACGCTGTGCTCGATGCTGAATTTATTACAGAATAGCACTGCTGGTTATAACCCCTCATGAGGGTATATAGTTCATTGTGGTAACGAGGCTTCACTGTCACTTCACAAACTAAATGAACGCTTTTACTGTGTGAATTAATATATATTTTATTTTCACTGAAGTTGTCGGATGTTAAGTTTCGTAATACTGTCACTCCAAAGCTTTGATCATTTTAGATCTTTTAGATTTGGTATAAAACCTATTTTGGTATCTATTATGCAATAAAGAATATTTATTATTATTATTTTTTATATAGTTATGATGAAATATACTTGTCGTAAAATCGATCCAAAAACCTATTTATTAGTTTCAATGTTCTTCATTTCAGAGTTTGTTATTAGAGCTATTTACCTTGGCGGTTTTTTCTATCGAGCCAATTATTGCAATTTATGTTTCTGTTTTTAGCAAACAAATGATCATAAGTTTGATTTTTTTGGCAAATATAAGCATAGCCTTAGAATGAAATTGGTTTTTTAAAAGTGTTTCATTCGTAAAATCTCGCCTTAACGTAAACATCAATGTGGTTAGGATAATCTTATACGAAATCAGCAAAAATGTTACTTATTGGCTTCCTTTATGCTTCAGGAGTATCATGAGTCCCTTTGAAACAGGTTTATAAAGTTTAGTAAAGTGACGTGGGCATAGCCTCGGTGGCTATGAGCTGGAGTCACGCGCCAGGGCACACGATAGGGCAATGCACTGACCCTGCCCTTTATAAGGCCCCGTGTCAATGTCTCCTATAATGCCAGGTTCAATAATTCAGGGTATTATAAAATGAAACGCTTAATAAAAAACATACATCCCATAATTGCTCTAATAGAACCCGGGACCTTAGGAATGTCGTCACCTTAAAACTGGTGTACGAGCCACTCGGCCACGGGAGACGTCAAAATAAAGGTTAAAAATATACATAAACATACATGTAGGTCCAATTGTAAGTATAAAAACTATACGTTTTAATTTTATTATTTTTGATATTTATTTTACTATAACTAATATATATGTCACATAAATAGGTGGATTTATATACTTGTCTATTACAGGTTTGATAATACAGGTCAATAAAGATTACCCAGGATTTTCGCAAATGCTCAGTCGGAGTGAAATCGTTTCGCGAGCATTTTAATCACTGGGATTAATAACCAGGGGCTCTATTTTTGAATCATTCGTCTCGCGTCGAGCGCTCGTTTTCTACTGATTTTCGTTCGACTTAACAAATTCGCCATTTCTAAATCGCTCGACTGCAACGAATGGTATGAACCACTCGTCGCTTAGCGAACGTTGTATGCGAGTGATAGTAGAAAACGAGCGCTCGACGCGAGACGAATGATTCAAAAATAGAGCCCCTGGTTTGTTCCAGGCTATGTTCACAAAAGTCAGAACACATATTAAGAAAAAAAGGACCAAACCGAAATTTAAAAATTTTCAAAGGAGAATTATTGTTGCTCATTAACAAGGATTGCCGCGAGATTGTGAAGTTATACACATAATATGAAAGCTATCTTTCGGTAGAGTAACCAAAATCTGTGAGCGTAATTATTATTCTGTAAGTATTTTCAGCAGAAACTGTTTCGTTTTAATCTTTGATCAACCCTGCTATTCTGTAAAAATCCAAACCCGAAAGCGAATTCACTCAGGTGTTTGAACGTGTCCGAGACACGTGTATTTCACATTCAATTTTGTTATGTATTTTTATACAAAAAATGAAACCAAAAGAATTTCTTCACTAAATGACGTGAATCGGACACATGAGTGAATTCAAATTCGGCTCTGGATTTTTACAGACTCGCGGGGCAGAAACGAAATAAACCGAAACTGGAAAGACAATTATATTAACTACTTGACCTAAGCCACTGCACAGGCTCAGGGCTTTCCTATGGATTGAATAAAATCATATAGGGAGAAATTCATTAACATGAAATGAAAATTTCTTTCGCTTAAAGGAATAACAAGGAAAGCTTTAACGGTTAAAACGCGTGTGAAATCGTGCTTATGTTGTGTCTCAAGTTCACTAATGTAAAACTTTAAGATCAGTGAGTTGTAAGCAATGGGCCCAAACTTCGATTAGGTACGTTTCCCACGGTTTGGATACGTGAGGGCGCCGGACCGGAGAAGACAACGCTGCTGGAGGTGAAAAACGTATACTACACGTTACCTGCAATACAATTCGAAAAAACATAATTTAAAATGAAGACGGCGAAATGACACCTACGGAATATGTTTGCGATCACTATTCTATTCTCAGTGCAATAAAACAAAGCATTTGCTCTTTTTTGGTAATTAATTATGGACATCTATAATTCCGAGCAAAATCATATGCTAACCGCGGCAAACGAATAATCATTCTCTCACAATCAAAATCATCTCAATTTTATTCAGTACATTTACTGTAAACAGGCTCTTTTCCCTGTATATAAAATGTAATTAACAATTTTAACGTAACATAATTACCCATTTCATTGACTCCACATATGTAATACAAAAAGAGTAGTACCGAAGACATTACAATATCGCAGATAGTTCAATTTGAAAATGGAACAGATTTTTATCTGACAGCTTAGATATTAGAAACTGTTCGATACAAATAAGGTTCTAGGGTTCGTCGGTAGTAAAAATTAAATAAATTAAAGTAAGTAATTTTAAGACGATGAACATCTCATTCTAATGTTCAAGGAGTCTGCAAAAAATGTAATAAAATTCATAAAAAATATATGTAAATTGTTATATTAAATTCGTACTAAAAATGCCAAATGAGATAGAAATCTTTTCGTTTACGTAAACATTCATTGCCTTGAATTAGTCAAATATTACTCATTGTTGTAGGTAGTAGGACATTAAAGCGGTTCCATTATAAGGTCATTTGTCACATTACTATTATGTTAGTAAGCGGGGCGTTAATGCGCCTAATGTGAAACCGTGCGAATACCGTCCGTTATTTATGAGGAGACGCCCGCCACCGCGACATGCGATCCCTTAATTAAGAGCAAGTCAATGGGAAAAATGTCGTGTTCAGAGGACTTCTCTGAATTTTGTTATAGTAAATATGTTCATATTGATTTCAAACTAACCATGTGATAAAATTAAATTGAATCACGTTCATTTGTAATAATTGATAGTATGTACTCACTATTATAAACATATTTGTAGTATTCTGAAAAATATTGTTACGATAAGAACCTACAAAAAATTATTCGAAAAATTAAAAAGGATTACTTTTTCTATAGGGTTTGATAGGCAACGTCTGATTATTATTATTTTTGATTGACTAATGTATGTTTTAGAATTAATATTTTTTAGATAATTAATTAAAATATACAATATATTACAAATTAATAATATTACAATATAATATACAATATAATAATATATTTTCTCTCCCATCGCAGGGTACCTGAGACTAGTAAATTTTTCACGCAATTTTCTTTAAGATACGAGTAGGTATATTGAAAAACCTTAAAGACCAACAATAACCAGATTGAAATGCCGGATAGGTACACACGGCCACACGTCACACTACTCACCACCACTGTAAGCAGACCTCTGTTAGTAGGGAAATTTTATGCAAACGCGTTCGGTACAAAGTCTATAATGTATACTTTGACATCCGGACTTATCGTATCTTACAAACATCGTCTTTTACCTTGTTTTGCTTTTCTAATAAATTGTTGAGAAAATCTATTAATTCCACATTAACCAATTAAGATTGAAATAGCAAGGTTCAAGTTCAATTATCTGAAGATGTGAATATCAAAGGTCATCGTGTATTACTACGGTCGAGAGTGCGTGGGAGCGCGCGCTCGCGTAGCAAAGAACTCGCGCCTCCGGACAGAATTGCAATGGAACGCGCAATTTTATGGTTAATAAGTATTCTAAAGATACTACGATAGGAAAGAAAAGGATCCTGTACAATTAGTACCTCATTTAATTTTGCTAAATTTTTAGCCAGTGCGTTATTC